CTGTCACCTTTCCGCAAAAGGCAACCCTAAACTCTCCTCTCTTTGTCCCTGCTAACTTTCTTGGACCTCAGTGAAAAGGAGAGCCTGTGACAATTCTGTTGAAATCATAAAGAGAGATCTGCATTGGCTCCCAGTACGTTTCCGAGCACAATTCAAAGTGTTGGTGCTGATCTTTAAAGCCTTAAACGGCGTCGGTTCTGTATACCTGAAGGAGCGTCTCCACCCCCATCGTTCACACCAGACACTGAGATTCAGTGCTGAGGGCCTTCTGGCGGTTCCCTCATTGCGAGAAGTGAGGTTACAGGGAACCAGACAGAGGGCCTTCTCGGTAGTGGCACCTGCCCTGTGGAACACCCTCCCTTCAGATGTGATGGAAATAAGCAGCTATCTTCTCTTTAAAAGACATCTGAAGGTAGCCCTGCTTAGGGAAGTTTTTAATATTTGATGCTGTATTGTTTTTAACACTTGATTGGAAGCCGCCCAGAGTGGCTGGGGAGACTCAGCCAGATGGGTGGGGTATAAATAATAAATTATTATTATTATTATTATTAATGTATGCAAATAATATGCTTGTCATGACAAATGGTGTGTTGTGAGAAGAGCCAGAAGACACAGCGATACCTTAATGCACAGGTGGGCGACCTGTACCCCTAAGGTTGCCTGCAGCCGGTGGAGGCAGGTCCATTAAAGCAAATGGGACACTGTCTGCCCAATTTCCATCTGACCTCGACGATCAGCCCCCAACACCCCTGTCCTCTTACTTACCTCCCATTCAGAGATAGCACTGCTGCCTGTCAGCTTCCTCCTGCTCAGTCTCAGTGTTGTCCTTGTAGAACTCAACTGAGGTGATAATGGGGGCAAAACTAAAGACACATTATGGTCAGGTAAAATCACTAGAGGAGGGTGGGGTGTGGCTGGGGGGGCCTGGTCTGGCCAGAGCTCCAAATACCAGATAGAGAGACTTGGAGGATCATGTATGGCCCTTGGATCTAAGGTTCTCTGTCCAATGCCTTAATTTTTCTTGGATTTCAGCTTGCATGTGTCTTCTGAATTCAGGCTTCCAGATGCAGCCCCAGAGTTTTGGCTGACTCTACGCATCTTCTCTTGGAAGCAGACGTAGCTATTATCCTGGCTCCACGATAAGTTCAGGAATCTGAAGATGACATCCATGCACACCTATTGCCTTCCAAGTGTCATGTGAGAAATGGATGCAAAGTTTAAGAACCTGGAAGCCCGTCTTCCCAAATGTTATGCCAAGATGCCCCCATGTAGGAAAAATATGCCATTGTAAATGTTTACACCGTCTGATTTAGAGCTATACAGTTTCCCTTCAGCCATAAACCAGAACAAATACTTAAAGATTTATTACATCCTTCCCTCCAGAGACCTAAGTAACTGTAGTTAAATAATTGAGCAGTTAAACAACACAGAGTACCATTATTCTACTTCCAGGATTCCTGAGAGGCATATTGTTTTCCAAAGGGATTAAGGTCTAAAAGCTGAGCCTCTAAATATGTCCTTTGTCATTCCCATTGAACAAAGGGCACATGTGTAATTTTTCCCCTTATGTGCTCCATCACATTACACTGTGCTTCCCCCATCCCCATAAACAGAAATGAGCTGATCTCAGAGAGACCTGAAAGCTTGCTTAGGGCTCATCTACACGCTTTCTTTAACCATATGAAGACTGCTTGAAACTGACACCATATGAAGGGTGGCCTTGGCAATTATACAATAACCTTGAGCCAGTCACCCACTTTATATTTTACTGCGCACAGAGGGGGGGGGTATTTGAACCAGAACAGTGCATTCCTGGTGGCTGCTGGTGCTGGCCTAGATAGGCTACATTTGATATGGAAGGGTAATGATGAAGAATCACCCCACAAAAACCACATGTGTATTCCTCATATTGATAAAGCATTTGCGAGGGCTGAACAGGGCCATGGTCTTTGCTCTCCTGCTATGTGATGAAGCATCAGAGCATAAAAGATGTAGTGTTGCATTCAACCCTGTCCTGCTCAGAATAACCCTACTAAAATTAATGGGCATAAGTTAGCCACATCTCTTAACTTCCATGGGTCTGCCCAGAATAGTTCTAGCATTGAATGCCACCCACACTTTCCCATCTATCTCCCACAATGGGAGGTCCACTGAAACTGCAGGTCTGCTGTATAACAAAGTGCTATAAATGTTGACCAGGAATAAGCGTTGCCAGCCATGTTGGCCATAACTTTTGACGGGCAAAATGCATGGTAATGACCCAGGATGTTCAAGGAATATCTGTCTATGGAAACTCATTGTTAAAGTATGGTATGTGTGTTGAAAAGGAACATAAGAAAAATGGGATGCTTTGCAACAGAGAAATGACCGAAAGACACAGAGTGCAAGCAGATCTGGGAACTGCTAAAGAAATGGCATCTGGGGCTGCAGATGTCTCTCTTTGAAGATCTGAGGTGTGGCAATGAATTTGATGGTTTTAGGAGTGCTATGCTAGCTGTCTCCTCCTATGCTCAGCTTGTGTATTTGTAAATAAAGCAAATACTGGGAAATTGTTGTAAGTTCTCAACGACCTTTCCTCCCAAAGGAAGCCAAAATCAGAGAAGCTTCACCCACCGTCACCCCTGAAATCATTCACCTCTCTGGGCAGTGGACACTAGGGCTGGGCGATATATCAATGTATCGTCCAACACTGGTTTGAAATTTGCATCATGATAAACAACAGCAGCAAGAATACTCATTGCAAAGTATTGGAAGACACAAGAGCTTCCCACACTGGAGGAATGGCAGATGAAACTGATGGACTATATGGAACTGGCGGAAATGACTGGCAGAATCCGTGACCAGGGAGAAGAGTTGGTGGAAGAAGATTGGAAGAAATTCAAAGATTATTTACAGAAATATTGCAAAATTAATGAATGTTAGAGTGATGTTGGATTGAAATTAAATGGCTTCTAGCTGCACAGGTTTTAAAGTTATATATAGATTAAGATTAAGGATTGGGATTAAAAGGTTAAAAGAATGGAAAATTGGCTATTAATAGATAAAAATTTAATGTTATATTATATTAAGATTAAGGCTTGGGATTAAACAAAGAGGGAAAGGAATTGCTGGACAAACAAACTGAATTAGAATACAAAAGAGGGAGGTATGAGGAGGTCCAGAAAATAAGTAAATTCAAAAGTAGTGATGAAAAGATGGAATTGTTTTTAACTGTTTTTTCTTTTTTCTTTTTATTTTTGTATCTTGTATTGTGTATTTTTCTTTTTATTGTTAAATTCTTTTTTATCGATGTGTCTCTTTTTATCTGAAACTTTAATAAATATTATTTTTAAAAAATGAAATTTGCATCATGATGATTGTTTCATAATATTTGAGCTGGCAATATACTGCGAATCACAATGTGTGTAAAAGCTAGGCGATATCTGGTTTTCAACATTGCAATAACTCACCAGCTAAACCTCACAATATCATCAGCTTAACATTGCAATCTAGCCAAAGTCTGAAATAAGGATGGGACTATACAGAGGTGAACAGGACAATGTCCTGGCAACTGCTACTACTTAGAGGTCTAAAACAGATAAATGACAATATTATCAATCATCACACACACAGTTTCATCAGCAGGCAAACTGAAATGCATCCCAACAGGACTTTTGGTTTGGGATGCATTTTGGCTTACCTGCTGCTGAAAGTGACCATGAAGTGATTGATAGTATCATTTATCAGTTTTAGACCCTTGAGTAGTAGCAGTTGCCAGGACATTGTCCTGTTCGCCTCTCTGTAGTTCCTTCAATATTCCAGCTATCGTGATATATCACGATGTTTAGCTGGTGATATATTACGGTATTGAAAAATCAGTTATTGCCCAGCCCTCGTAGACACAGCATAGAAATATTCAGTATGAGGGCTAAGTCAAAACTGAATCCCATAAGAGCTCACAAAAATTTGTATTCAGTACATAGGAGCACTTAATTTTATGCATCTGAAGTATACTTTTTTGTAAGTGTTTTTATGTATTTACATTTTTTAAAAAGTAGTTGATTTTCTGTTATGCGAAGTGGAGAGGTAACTCTTTAGGCTTTCAACTTGCTTTTTGTTGTAGGGTTGTAAATATATATTAAGGACTATTTAGCTTCAGGAAGAAAAATTGTGTTCCAGACATCAGACATATACACTCAAGTTGCACCTACTTAAAAAAATAAGAAGAGTCCAGCTGAATGAGACCAAAGGTATATCTAATCTAGCATCCTTTTCCACCATAGTGGCCAACCAGGTGTTTATAGGAAGACCACATGACTACAACAGCCCTCTCTCCACCTGTGATTCCCAGCAGATGCAGACTGCCTCTGACCCTAAAAGCAATATATACCAATCATGTCTAATAGCCACTGATAGCCTTATTCTCAATTAATTTGTCTAATCTCCTTTTAAAGCCATCTAAGTTGATGGCCCTGACCACAATTTGGAGAACTGAATTCCACTGCTATGAACTCTCTGAAATACTTTATCTTGTCTGTCCTGAATTGTATACCATTCAGTGACACTGAATGACCTCATGTTCTAGACAGGGGTGGAATCACTCTACTCACTTTCAGCAGGCAAATTGAGGCAACACTACAGGTAGAGACCCTCTAAACTGAGCAGAGGAAGGGAGAGACACTGCTTAGGAGCCATGTGGAGAACATCAGGCACAGGGTCCAAATGTGGCGCACCAGCCCTATCTGACCCAGAGGACTCTGCCCAGACCATCCACCTCAGATGACACACCCTCATTGGCTCTGCACTTGCACCTGCCCCTACCTGGATGGAATGTGTCCTTGAGCTACACTAATACCTCTTGCTTGCCTTGAAGGAGAGTGGCTTGTGTCTAGCCACACCCACTTTTGCAACACCAACCAGGGCTATGTGACCCCTGGAAGGTTGTCCATGGGAAATTATCATAGACTTGAAGAGCTTGAAGGGGCCCTAGTGCAACCCCCTGCAAGGCAGGAATATTTAGCTGTCCCATATGGGGATCAAACCTGCAACCTTGGTGTTATCAGCACCACACCTTAACCAACTGCGCTAGAATGTGGCCACCAAACTGAAAAAGGTTCGCCACCCTTAACTGAGGGGAAATAGTCTAATGTGGAGTTTTTGCTGAAGGACTTAATATTTCACCCCCATGGAAGCATCTTGCAGGACTATCAACAGCCACTATTCCATCAAGTCTGAAGCTTTGGTCAGATATTGTCTGAGGTATAATCTTAGCGGGGACATGGCTATGGGAGCTACACTTCTAAATCTAGCACCACATCACTGCCTATAAGTGGTCTTTTCCTTAGCTTAAAGATTTGTGTTCTCCTTCCAGAAATCCAAAGGCCTCAAGTAGATAATTACTGCTCTACAAAAAGAAAAACAAGCAAAGGCGGAATCATGTTAACAGCCATTTGACAATAGTGTGTTTTTCAGCTGACTCACACATTCTCTCTCTCTCTCTCTCTCTCTCTCTCTCTCACACACACACACACACACACACACAGCCTCTCTTTCTGTGCGCTTCAATTGGTTTGAAATATAGCCTAGCATTTATCTTGGCTGCATTAACAAGATCTGTTTTACCAATACATTTATATTTATGATGACTAAGGGCAGATTATAGCTGTTAAAGTTGGTCCTCCTGACATGAAAACACTACTTTGTCATTAATACATTTTCTAGTATAAACTGTGATGTCAGGTCAATGGAAAGGGTGAAAACTTTCCTAAAGTATGCACATGTCTTTTTTCCCTTCTTCTCCGAGCAATTGAGCCCTAATGGAATAACAAAAGGTCATAATAACAAACCATTACAGCTTTGGTCTTGGCAAGGAGGCCTACAGAAGAATCTCCAAGAAACAGCCATCATTTCTCCAATGTTATGGCATGAGGGTGACAGGAACGGTACACAGATGTGGGCGCAGCATGGCGGTAGCTATGTGAAAGCTGAGCGATCAATTAGTCAGTTGTTTACCAAAAGCTTTCCTAACTGACGCTAACCAGAGCTCCAGGAAAGAAAGAAGATCCCGGCAGCTGTCATAGGGAGCCCACAGAGCATGCGCTCAAAGGCTAGCGAGGCTGCTATAGCCAGCCTACTCTTCTGAACACAGACCAACAAGCAAGAAGCTAAAATGGTGGCCCCTTTTTTATCTGTTTCTCCTGCACCAGCATTTCTTGGGTGTCACATCTATAGTTAAGGAACAAAAGGAGGGGGCCACCAGGTACAAATACAATTGATGAGACTTAACAGGGTTTCCATTTTGCAATGGGGGCACTTCAGAATATGGAGCATTTTTGTCTTGCAAAGATCTAAATCAGGCATAGGCAAACTCGGCCCTCCAGATGTTTTGGGGCTACAACTCCCATCATCCCTAGCTAACAGGACCAGTGGTCAGGGATGATGGGAATTGTAGTCCCAAAACATCTGGAGGGCCGAGTTTGTCTATGCCTGATCTAAATACCTTGGGCATATAAATTAATATATGGTGTCCATACAAAACTTGGAGGAATGCTACCATCACTGTGCTGCAGTGATTCCTTCTTAACCACTGCATTCAGTGGGACTTATACCTAAATAAGTGCTTTGGAATTGCAGCCAAACAGTGCAGTCCTATGTAGATCTACTCAGAAGTAAGCACCATTTGACCTTCAAGAGACTTACTCCCAGTTAATTGTGTAGGATTGCAGCCTCACAGTGTAACCCTAACTGTATATGCTCATAAATAACTTGCGTTGGATTTGATGGGGTTTGCTCCCAGGTTAAAGTGGATTGGAATTGTCACCTCAGTCTACTTATGCAAGGACTAACACCTGAGGCTAATGCAATGCCATGCATAGATGTCCCACCTGCAAAGTCCAAATCCCAGGGTGGAAGTAAGAATGAGCATATTTACTTCATTCTTTTATTGTTTTAGGGCAGGGGTGCCCAAACTTTTTTCAAAGAGGGCCAGATTTGATGAAGTGAACATGTGTGAGGGCTGAACAAAGTTGGTTTTTAGGACTGAACTTTTTGAGCTTTTTGGGCCAGATTAGACCCCCAAAACAGACTTTGGACATGCCTGTTCTAGGGGTTCACTCTATCTGGTATTTCACTCCACCTGCCTTCCACTTTAACTTAGATCACTAAAATTAATATTGGAATTGGCACATGAGCATTTTGCCATTTCTGTTCGCACCTTCCCCACCCCCAAACTCCTTACAGATTGATCTGAGTGTCCATCTAATAGTTTAAGCACTGTGCCACATTTTATTTAGATCTGCCCTTAATTTTAAAAAATGTCTCTCTGTGCTGGGAGGAGCAGCACTGGGCTGCTGATAAAGTTAGTATCAGCTGAATCTAAGTAAGTATCAGCTGAATCTACTGTTCAGGTTTTCAGGAAGGACTCTCAAAGTTAGGTCTTTTCACAGGCGACACTAACAGTGTAATCCTACACATGTCTACCCAGAAGTACCTCCCAGTTCAACAAAACTTACTCCCGAGTAAATGCAATCACAAGCACACTTACTAGGGAGCAAGCCCCAATGAATTCAATGAGAATTACTTCTGAATAAACATGTTTAGGATTGCACTGCAAGAATGCCTTTTACAAAGTGCCTTCAAATGTATATATAACACAAGGATCACATGTTTTTTAACTGCAGTCTCTCTAATTGTGACTATTCATTCAAATCAAATGAACTTGCAGGTGGGTGCCATCTGTTCCCATGAACAAACACAGTCTTATCAAGCACATCATTGATCCATCAGTCTACCATTTATCACAGATTAACTCAGATTGCCCTCCAAGGACCATGGCCTTCCCTGCAGTAAGAATTATGAGCTGTGGCATGTCTAAATCATTAGGCCTGGACACATTTAACGTAGTTCATTATGATGCCATGTGCAGATACAATCAATTAACAGATATGTATTTATTTATCTATTTTAAATGCTGCCTTTCCAAAACAGTGACCAAAAAACAAGAGAGAGACACTAAGGATAACAGCATGGGTATAACAAAGTGATCTTGCCTAAAAAAAAAAATCTGTTAGTCTTTATAGTATACCACAGAATACTCCTGTTTCCACCCCCATAAAGTTTCGGCATCTTTCGAGAGTTCAGTTCAAAATGTTGGTAATAAACAATTATCTGGTAACATTATACTAATCTGAGTTACAAATTACAATGCAGGTCTTTTTCTCTAAGAAGCCAAGTAAAATTATAACCGGCAGGAAGTATGGGCACAAATTAGCCAACAAATTAAACACTTGGCAAATGAATGAACAAGACACATAGGTGCTTAAATTTCTTTCACTGATATCAGCGGGAATTTTTAAATGCTGAGATTTGGCTGGTTTGTGCCCTATGATAACAACATTGCAACTGCTGAACAGACAAGCACTTTAAGGCAAAGAGTCCTCTGACCCCTCCCTAACATTCGATTATCTTATACACAGGGTCTCCAACTTTAATGGTTCCAAGTTTAGATACTGTGAAAAAGCTCCCAAACAAGGGGGCAGATTTGTAGAGATGCTTGTCCGCTGGATCACACATGCGGTAGCTGCAAAGAAAAAAATAGGACATTTATTAGTGAAATTATGGCAAAGGACTGTTAGTGTGTGAAGAAACGGGTTACATTGTGAGGGAACATTGTGAGAAAAACACTGTTACCTTTAAATTTGCCCACACAACGTGACTGTTTCTTCACACAGCTGCCCCACATTTTAAAACTTTCGAGGGAGCTCATAGGACCCAGTTTTACATTTATTTATTTTTATCCTGCACTAAGGAGGGACCATAGCTCAGTTGCCAGGGCACCTGCTTTTCACACAGCAGGTTTAATCCTGGCAACAACACTCAAGAAAAAGTATTTCGCATGGCGACGTTCCAAGTCTGTAGCTGTAACAGTGGTACTTTAAATGACATGCAGAGTCTTCCATCTTTTGAGAATAGCGTCTCATTCACTTTCCTAAGGTGTCTTACAAAAGTGAATTGTGAAGGGAGCTGAAAGAGTTAAAATGGCTTTTAAAACCTCTTGGGTACTTTGAAATTTATTTCCCTGGCTGCTGTGGGCTTGTCAAGTAACTGATGGGGGGCATGGAGGGGTAGGAATCACTTTTGCTGTTTGGACATTGTGGAGATAGAGTGGTAGGAGAATTATTTTCTTTTCACCATTTACTTGGCTGAGATTTAGTGTCCTGTCATGCTAAACTCTCCCCACGCAGACAAGGAAGGCACTTTGCATTTGCCAGATGAGTTCTTGGGATGATTGTGGAAGACCTTCTCTCGCCCAAATTTATGGTGCCCCCCTTGAAAGTTTACACTTAGTTGTATTTATAATGGCTTAAAGGCTTAGCAAAATCCTGGACGTTGGCCGTCCTGTGTAAGACCTTCAAGCTTTATTACTGCAAATTTAGACGGATAATGTTATATGATAGACCAGATTATGGGACAGAAACCTGTGAGATCCTCTGTGTTATCATTAGAGCAGTCAGCCAAGCAAGACTTATTGGTTGATTAATAGTTTTAGAGGAAGATGATTAATTAAACAATACAATTAAATACATTTGTATATTACCAAAATATCAATAGTGCTGCCTTTTCGAGATATTGAGGGAAGCATGAGATAACTTTCAATTAACGTTCATTGCAAGAAAGTAACTGTTGTTTTTAAGGTACTCTTTTACATTTCCTATTATGGTAACCTGCTGGAACCAAAACTGACTTTTAAAAAACCCAAGTTTCCCCTTAATTTTCAGACCTGGCCTGAAATGGTTAATCAAATAATGCTTAGGACTGCAATCCTAGCTCCACTTATGTGGGAGTAAGTCTTGCTGAATTCAGTTAAAACTTACTTCTTGTTCAAGTTGTACTGTTAATTAATTAATCAACAAGCTCACACGAAATTACTGGGGAGCAGTATAGAAATGTACTGCAATGAGTGAATGAATTAATAATTGTTGCAGCACAATTTAATTGGTGTTGCACAACTGTACTACAATTAACTAAGAAAATGCCCTTCATATTCTGCTCTTCTAAGGGTACTATACTTCACAGAACTAAGCAGCATTATTGATGCTAAATAAATTTTTACAACGACAATATTAGGAGAAGTAATAGCAATAGAACTCCGTGCTGTTTCAGTGGGCAACACTCAGGCTAGTTTACATGTTAGGTTATGTAAGTGAAAGGCTACCTCTCCCTGTTTGTTGCATCTAGCATGGCTTGCCACATGGAGCCTCGTGTTTGCATCAAGTTTCCCATGAGCTTCAACTGAATGTAGAGATTACCAGTGCTGTCTTAGACATTCTGTATCAGGGGTGGAGAACCTTTCCAGATGCTGTTGGATCCCAGCTCCCATCAGCACCAGCACACATGGCCTATGGTCAGGGATGAGGGGAGTTGGGAGTCCAGTAACATCTGGAGGACCACAGAAAGCTTTAAGAAAGCCGACTTCATAAAACTTAGGGAAGTGCTGGGTGAGATCCCATGGACAGTAATACTAAAAGGAAAGGGAGTTCATGATGGCTGGGAGTTTCTTAAGAGGGAGATAGTAAAAGCACAACTTCAGGCAATACCAATGAGACGGAAACATGGAAGGTGCCTAAAGAAGCCAGGGTGGCTATCTAAAGAACTTTTAACTGAGTTAAGATTAAAAAGGATGTGTACAAAAATGGAAAAGGGGGAAACCACCAAAGAGGAATTCAAACAAATAGCCAGCACGTGTAGACACAAAGTCAGAAAAGCTAAAGCACAGAATGAACTCAGGCTTGCTAGAGAGGTTAAAAGCAACAAAAAGGCTTTTATGGGTATGTTCGTAGCAAAAGGAAGAACAAAGAAACAGTGGGGTCACTCAGAGGAGAAGATGGTGAAATGCAAACAGGGGACACAGAAAGGGCTGAACTCCTCAATGCCTTCTTTGCCTCAGTCTTCTCCGATAAAGAAAACAATGCCCGACCTGAAGAATTTGGAGCAAATGATTCAGCAGAGGAAACACAGCCCAGAATAACTAAGGAGATAGTACAAGAATACTTGGCTAGTTTAGATGTATTCAAGTCTCCAGGGCCAGATGAACTGCATCCAAGAGTATTAAAAGAACTGGCAGATGTGATCTCAGAACCACTAGCAGTCATCTTTGAGAATTCCTGGAGAACAGGCGAAGTCCCGGCAGACTGGAGGAGGGCAAATGTTGTCCCTATTTTCAAAAAGGGAAAAGAGAGGACCCAAATAATTACCGCCCAGTCAGTCTGACATCAATACCAGGGAAGATTCTGGAGCAGATCATTAAGCAAACAGTCTGTGAGCACCTAGAAAGGAATGCTGTGATCACCAATAGTCAGCATGGATTTCTGAAAAATAAGTCATGTCAGACTAACCTGATCTCGTTTTTTGACAGAATTACAAGCCTGGTAGATGAAGGGAACGCAGTGGATGTAGCCTACCTTGATTTCAGCAAGGCATTTGACAAGGTGCCCCATGATATTCTTGTAAAGAAGCTGGTAAAATGCGGTCTTGACTATGCTACCACTCAGTGGATTTGTAATTGGCTGACTGACCGAACCCAAAGGGTGCTCATCAATGGTTCCTCTTCATCCTGGAGAAGAGTGACTAGTGGGGTGCCACAGGGTTCTGTCTTGGGGCCGGTCTTATTCAACATCTTTATCAACGACTTGGATGATGGACTCAAGGGCATCCTGATCAAATTTGCAGATGACACCAAACTGGGAGGGTGGCTAACACCCCAGAGGACAGGATCACACTTCAAAACGACCTTGACAGATTAGAGAACTGGGCTAAAACAAACAAGATGAATTTTAACAGGGAGAAATGTAAAGTATTGCACTAGGGCAAAAAAAATGAGAGGCACAAATACAAGATGGGTGACACCTGGCTTGAGAGCAGTACATGTGAAAAGGATCTAGGAGTCTTGGTTGACCACAAACTTGACATGAGCCAACAGTGTGACGCGGCAGATAAAAAAGCCAATGCAATTCTGGGCTGCATCAATAGGAGTATAGCATCTAGATCAAGGGAAGTAATAGTGCCACTGTATTCTGCTCTGGTCAGACCTCACCTGGAGTACTGTGTCCAGTTCTGGGCACCACAGTTCAAGAAGGACACTGACAAACTGGAACGTGTCCAGAGGAGGGCAACCAAAATGGTCAAAGGCCTGGAAACAATGCCTTATGAGGAACGGCTAAGGGAGCTGGGCATGTTTAGCCTGGAGAAGAGGAGGTTAAGGGGTGATATGATAGCCATGTTCAAATATATAAAAGGATGTCACATAGAGGAGGGAGAAAGGTTGTTTTCTGCTGCTCCAGAGAAGCGGACACGGAGCAATGGATCCAAACTACAAGAAAGAAGATTCCACCTAAACATTAGGAAGAACTTCCTGACAGTAAGAGCTGTTCGACAGTGGAATTTGCTGCCAAGGAGTGTGGTGGAGTCTCCTTCTTTGGAGGTCTTTAAGCAGAGGCTTGACAACCATATGTCAGGAGTGCTCTGATGGTGTTTCCTGCTTGGCAGGGGGTTGGACTCGATGGCCCTTGTGGTCTCTTCCAACTCTATGATTCTATGATTCTATGATTCTATGATTCTAGGTTTACCACCCCTGTTCCGTACAGAGACTTGGCAAATTACACTACTAGACATTTGAGATAAGCATGGAGAGGTTTCAAGCAAAAACAGTCTCCACATGGCTTAGCCCTGACCCATAGCAGATCCAAATTTGAACCCTGTTTGTTTGCATATTTCATAAAAATGATACACTGTTCAATGGGGGGGGGGGAGGACCCAAAGCAGTTTGCAAAAGATGAAACAGTAAAATCAAGGAAAATTACAACCCTACTTTAAATTAAACAAAAGTTAAAATACTAAAACGGATTAAAATTGCCTCAACTTTCGAAGCTTCTGGGTAGGCTTGTCTAAAGAGGAATGTTTTTAGCTGGTGTCAAAAAGAGTACAGTGATGGCACCTTATTGATCTCAATAGGCAAGGATTGTTGCATTGCTTTTTATCCCCCAAATGGGATCTTTAGCATATCATGCAACAGGGGAGTTGTATGCAAATTGTTTGCTATTGCATTAGATGCAGCTATACCTGTTTTCTGAGCATCAGTTTGAAGCTGAAGGAGGTTCAGTCATGAAATTACTATCAAATGGTAGTCTAGATCACTGGCTGCCTCTTAATACCCTGATCCAAAACTGAAAAGTTAATGATATTCAACTCAGCGGACAATCCTTTGTATGTTTAACTTAGAAGTTACTCTGAGTTCTCTCTAGTCAAATGAACTCGTTTACCTTCAGTGCTGAACATAATGTATGAAGACCTAGAAATATATGTAGTAATGCAGGAAGGTAAAGTCGATGGACATAAATGCATACTACCCAAATACAGGCCATATTTTTAAATTTTAAAAAGTGGCATACACATCAGGCCTACACAAGGTACTTGGGTGTAAGTCTCAAGGAACACAGTACGTAGGATTAGCTTCAGAAGCAGTGCCACTCATCTACTGAGCAATGGTGTTTCCAGATAGGGGCCTAACTTCCAAATGGGTTATTGAGATATCACAAGCAGGTCATTGGCAACAGTGTTTTCCCTTCCCAAATCAATCCCACTCACCCCCCATAAAGGTAAACCTGGGTTAAATTGGCGAAGATACAGACCAGCATTTTGCTGCCAGCAATAAATGAGGAGCACCCCAACACTATGTCAGACGTGTAACTGTTCGTGATTGCTGTCATACTTTACCTTTTTAGTGTTTCCAGTGGCTCCTTTCTGTCTATGATGCCATTTTCTGGGTCAACAGTTGTAAGAAGACACCTGCAATGGCAAACGACATTTTGTAGTAAACAGGATCAAACAGCTGATTATTCCCTTTGCCAACCCAAGCTTACCTGCCACATGCCATCACCTCTCTCAGTTCCACATCACCAATTATAACTTTGCCCCAGGTGTCCTAAGGGAAAATCAAGCAACAATTTGTGTTTACTTTCATACTAAACCTCTCATACTCAGGTTCAACAGATTTCACCCCCTATTTGCTGATGTGCAGCTGCTTAAAACTAAAATGGAAATGATGTGTTTTTTTCTAATGAAAGGGTCAGATGTTGCTAAACCACAAGACTGAAAGAAGGATTATATTAGTACTTTTCTTTTGCATCATCTGGAATTATTTAGCCTAGCAGATGGGCTAGTTACTTACATGGACTGTTCTTCTGAGCCAGAAAGGCTAGTTATTACATTCTTCAAAACCAAATTCCCATGACTGGTTTTTAAGTGGAAGAGGCATCAAAAAGGCCCTTTCCAACCCAGTTTTCATGCGATAAAGTGGTTTTATGGAAGCAACCCGATATGGTAAAACTTGAAAGTCGCCACATGCTGACAAAAACTTGCAATAGCACAGGGACAGGGAACCTGTGGCTCTCCAGGTGGGTTGGGCTCCAACTCCCATCAGTTCCAGCCAGCATGGCCAATGGTGAGGGATGATGGGTAGTGTAGTTCAGCAACATCTGGAGACTTGCATGCTTTTTACATGACCCCTATGTGAAGACAATCGTGGGTAGTATTCAGCTAAGTTTAAATCAAAGTAGACCTGCTGATATTGCCGAATATGGCCATGTTAGGTCCATTAATAACAGTGGATTTTAATCCCAACTATGTGGTCTAAACCACAGAACCTAGGACTTGCCGATCAGAAGGCCGGTGGTTCGAATCCCCACAACGGGGTGAGCTCCCATTGCTCGGTCCCTGCTCCTGCCAACCTAGCAGTTTGAAAGCACGTCAAAGTGCAGGTAGATAAATAGGTACCACTCTGGCGGGAAGGTAAACGGTGTTTCTGTGCACTGCTCTGGTTCGCCAGAAGCAGCTTAGTCATGCTACCCACATGACCCGGAAGCTGTATGCTGGCTCCCTCGGCCAGTAAAGCGAGATGAGCACTGCAACCCCAGAGTCGGTCACGACTGGACCTAATGGTCAGGGGTCCCTTTACCTTTACCTATATCTTAGTTGACTACTACCCTGCGTCACTTCTTCATTGTCCTGACATTATATCTAGTAAGTAAAGGGGAAAAGAAAGAGGGACACATAGTGTATATGTGGGCAGCTGGGTAGATGCCTCAGGAGGGGAAATGAGGGGAGGGAGCTGGCATGTAGATGCAGAGAGCATGAGAGAAGATTCTGCAACACACAACAAAGAAAGAAATGGGTTATGGAAGACAGATGAAAGAGAAGAACTGAATTGTGGGGAGGGGAAAGAATGAAGGGGAAGCTGGAGCCATTCTTCCCCTCAGTCTCCAATGGCTCCCCAAATAGCTAGTCACCTTCACAAATGTGTGCGCACATGCACAATCTCATCCTCACTATGGCCTGGTTATGTAAAAGTTGCCATTCTTGTGGGAGGAAAGCCAGTTGTGGGATTTTGACAATCAGTGCAGCTGCTTCTGAGGGAAGGCTGAATGTCATTTTGGGTTGAATGAGGGCTTCACTGAATGTTTAGGCACAGGGCGGACACTCTGCCAGTTGCAGAGTTGGTGTGGGTTGACTAGGAAGAGGGACTAGGAGGAGGAGGACCTGAAGAAGTGAGGTAAAGGAGTAGGAGTCCACTTTGGTTAGAATGAGCTGTTTAAGGATCTGAAGGAGAGAGGCACCATTCTTTTACTCCCAGCTAAAAGCTCGAAATTCAGATCACATTGGCATGCTGCCAAAGCTGCTTCTCCCACACTTCACCACAAGATGGCAATATTACCACTATAAACTAACTAACCAAGCTGCAGCCTCCAAAAGAGCTGTATCATAATTCAGTAGAATCATAGAAGGAAACCCGAGGGTCATCTAGGCCCCTCTTGCAGGCTCAGCCTCAAAGCAGAAGCCTCCTTATCTCTGCACTGCTTCACCTTTGTGGTGAGACATCTGAGGGTGAAGAATCCACACCCCTGCCCTCCTATCTGGTACTTCCCAACACTTTTTCTTGCTGTCCTCATTTAAGTGGGTTCCTCATTTTAAACCCTTGCTTCCATCTCACCTTTGCACCCCTGTTGATCTCTTATACTGCCTTAATGTGAAACTGGTTATTAGCTTCCACTTTGGGCCCATTGTGACTCTAGCCCAAACTTTCCAGGACTTGCATTTCTGCCTTCCGTGTGCTCAGCTGCTGGTGCCCCAAAATGCTGAAGGGATATTAATCTGTCCCTAGACAAAGCCATTGTCTTTCGAACCAACCAATCAACCAGGTTAGTGATCAAATAAGCAAGGTTTCTGTTTTGTACACACCCCCTCATTGTTACAATGCCTTCCAGAAACTATCATCATTATAATAGCAGTATTGTGCAAACATTCACAATGCGGGGGAGATTTGACACTGTGCCTTTTGCCTAGATTTGGCATGTTCTACCATATTACACTGGAAAATCCTGATTCATCCTGACCTGCAACATTTCAGAAATAAGGAGGCGGCAGCAGAGAGAAAAATACTTCAAGGCCAAGTGAGATAACCTTGGCTGAGAAGGTTGCAATATGGAACCAAATGCAAAGCATTTTCTCATAAAGAAAACGAGAACATAAAATCTCAACAGCAGGTTGTGTGTGTACGGAAATGGGAGGTGTTATTTTTAGAGGCAAACCCATAACAAACCGATATGCATTCCAGCTCTTAGCTCTGCTAGGAATGCTTAGAAAGTTTATATGGAGGGAATACTAGTTTCCCTTAGGGTAGCTGCCATGCAGCACCACACAACACTGGAAGTGCATCTGAGAAGGGTACTGACTGCTGAATTGTCTGCTAATATTTCTGCTAGCTATGCAAAGATTAACCAGTACAGTAACCAGTGAATAAAGTGGAATGTGCATGCAAGCCCCTAAGAAGGAGATCCTTTTCCAAAAGGAAATGTCATGCAGAAGAAACATTGAAGCTCATCACTTTTAGGGCTTGGAAATATACCTGCACAATGCCTATTACTTTAAATTAAAAAACGACACCAGTTCTACTGCTGCATATATATTTTTTCAGGATCATGGTAAGGAAGGAATGGGTTAAAATTCTATCCCTGTGCCCTGTGTCCTCTATCTAGATTGCTTATTTTTAAATGAAAATGAAACCAGAGATAATGTCACTCCAAGTGAAACATTTAGGTTAGGTGCTCATTAATACAAATTGGTTCAATGAAAAGCCTATCTTACTGTTTGCATTTAAATCAGTGCATCTTGTAAATAGTCTGGAAATGGAAATGATTGCTTTCTCCTCAGTTACACATGTTGTAAATGCTGCCAACATAAAATCCTTGTAACTGTCTATATTCTAAGATACATACTGTATACTGCAGTTGCTACACTATAGCTCAGGTGCTTTTCCAAATGCTCGCATAAAATGTTTCTTTTTAAAAATGCACACATTTTGGATGAATTGTTTTAGAAACCAAAGGGAGACAAACAACATTTTCTCTACCTCCTCATAAGCTCCACAGCCTGAAACAGTAATGTTTGGTCTAAAATGTCGCATGTTGATTTTCTTCTCCATTCTGGAATTTAAATCTTCCATTGAAGCGTCTGAGATGATTAAGAGGGGGGCACAGTCACTATAGGGAACCTGTGTTGCAAAGATACATAAATATTACCAATGTCACTACAATAGCAGGTTAATAAGCATCTTGCTGGCATCCCTCTCAAGCATTCATCATGAGCACATTCCACAGATTCCTCAGCAGCAATAGCAAAAAGCTGCCTTGCCATTTATTATTAGCTCTGGAAAATCCCACCAGTTTACACCTCTTAATCTCTTCCCTCTTTTCGGTACTTAGAATGCAAGGAAGACGTTACAAAATTTGTGACATCCCATGCAATGAATAGCTCATGAAGTCTTATCTATCGATAAAACAGTCTCTCGGACTTTAACTTGTTTATTTATTGCATTTACATCCCACCTTTCCTCCAAGGAGCTCAAGGTAGAATACAGAGTTCCCCTCATCCTCCATTTTATCCTCACAACAGCCCTGTGAGGTTTGGCTAGGAGTGAATGACTCCATGACTAGGGCTTTTCCCCCAGCCTGAACTCAGTTCCAGCAGTTCTCAGATGGGTGCCATTGCCATTATAAGAGAACAAGGGAGGTGTTCATGGTGAGTTTAGGCACCTCCCCTCCCCCCTACAAAAATAGCACTGACCATGACGGAGCAGATATTTAAACCTAGTCTAGCCATTACACCACACTGGCTCATCCTCTTTCAGAAAGGCCAAGGGCTCCAAGTAAATTATTATTTATGTATTATTATTATTATTATTTATTATTATTATTATTATTATTTTATACACTGCCCATCTGGCTGGGTTTTCCCAGTCACTCTGGGCAGCTCCCAACAGAATATTAAAAGTACAATAAATCAAACAGATGTCTTCTAAGAGTCAGGTAGTTGTTTATTTCCTTGACATCTGACGGGAGGGCGTTCCACAGGGCGGGCGCCACTGCTGAAAAGGCCCTCTGCCTGGTTCCCTGTAACCTCACTTCTCACTGGAAGGGAACCACCAGAAGGCACTCAGAGCTGGACCTCAGTGTCTGGGCTGAATGATGACTAGTCCCAGGCTAGTCCTGACTTACATTTTTAAAATCAGCTATCAATTCAGATGTAAAAATATGGCAAGGATTTATTTTTTTTAAGCAGGATGACAAATGATTAATGCTCACAATAAAACAATATTTATTTATCTAACCTCATCATTAGGTTGAAAAGGTTTGTGAATCTTTTCACATTTTCTTGGCGCCATGTCGGTCTCATAATGTACCAGCCGAAATGGTTCTGACTTCAAGAAAGTGGTGAACCAATGAGCCACTTCATCACCACAGTCCCGTCCTTGAATATCAAGCCCAAACACCCTGTTGGAAATTACAAAATGGAGACAGGTGCTACACAAGGTAATACCATTGTAAGGACGTTGGTTTTATCCTCAGTTGAAAAGAAGACATTCTTGTAAGGGAGTACAACTCAAATCTTCCTCAGGTCCACTTTACTAATTCAAGAGAACCATGTTGTTGTGTTTTTATTCCAGTTTTATTTTTAACCCCTTTGCTGTTCACTTTATTTTTCTCGTTGCACACCTTTGTGCATTCTCTCTTCACACCACTTCGGGTGTGTCTGAATATTTAAATTTGTTACAGAAAAACAAATCCCTCTCTCTATTGGCCCTCCCTCCTGTGCTCTACTCTTTTAACATACACTTCTTTTCTCTCAAAATCACAAGGCCTCATCACTATTAGCTCCCTCTTTTTATCTGCACCCCCATCTCTACTCTTTCCTGCTGAGATGAGCGGTAGTAGCACTAAAGACTTTTATTCTCCAGGATGAAGCACACATTACTAGCTAGCTGAATGGGAAAGTTGATGCCAGCTGCATCATGTGCTTTCAAAGAGGACGAGCAATGCAGAACTAGTAAACAAGCATTGTTCTATTCAAACTTCTACTTTTGATGAACTTGGGTGAGCCTTAAGATACAGTGGTACCTCAGGTTAAGAACGTAATGCATTCTGGAGGTCCACTCTTAACCTGAAACTGTTCTTAACATGAGGTACCACTTTAGCTACTGGGGCCTCCTGCTGCTGCTGCGCCGCCAGAGCACGATTTCTGTTCTCATCCTGAAGCAAAGTTCTTAACCCGAGGTACTATTTCTGGGTTAGCAGAGTCTATAACCTGAAGCATGTGTTACCCAAGGTACCACTGTATTCATAGAATCATAGAGTTGGAAGAGACCACAAGGGCCATCGAGTCCAACCCCCTGCCAAGCAGGAAACACCATCAGAGCACTCCTAACATATGGTTGTCAAGCCTCTGCTTAAAGACCTCCAAAGAAGGAGACTCCACCACACTCCTTGGCAGCAAATTCCACTGTCGAACAGCTCTTACTGTCAGGAAGTTCTTCCTAATGTTTAGGTGGAATCTTCTTTCTTGTAGTTTGGATCCATTGCTCCGTGTCCGCTTCTCTGGAGCAGCAGAAAACAACCTTTCTCCCTCCTCTATGTGACATCCTTTTATATATTTGAACATGGCTATCATATCACCCCTTAACCTCCTCTTCTCCAGGCTAAACATGCCCAGCTCCCTTAGCCGTTCCTCATAAGGCATTGTTTCCAGGCCTTTGACCATTTTGGTTGTCCTCCTCTGGACACGTTCCAGTTTGTCAGTGTCCTTCTTGAACTGTGGTGCCCAGAACTGGACACAGTACTCCAGGTGAGGTCTGACCAGAGCAGAATACAGTGGCACTATTACTTCCCTTGATCTAGATGCTATACTCCTATTGATGCAGCCCAGAATTGCATTGGCTTTTTTAGCTGCCGCGTCACACTGTTGGCTCATATCAAGTTTGTGGTCAACCAAGACTCCTAGATCCTTTTCACATGTACTGCTCTCAAGCCACCTTGAAGTGGGAAAGCACAGAAGGGGGAAATGGCATTCAGGTAGGGAACACAAATGAATCAAGCAGGGGCACATTAGCCTGTGGGCCTTATTACTTCTTTATTTATTTGAATCATAGACTCATAGTGTTGGAAGGGACCCCCAAGGGTAATCTATTCCAACCTCCTGCAAACTGGAGTATCCATAAAACATTATCTAGAAAAATCTCAAAACAGCGGAACTCACGGTGATCAGGTCTGCATGATTAAAACAATATGTTTGATATAACCATCTGAGTATCATGAATCAGGTTTTAAGAGAGAGGTCCTAGCACAGATTATTTTGTCTTTGATACTGGACTCTTGTTCAGTACCATCATGAACAGTTAGGGACATGTGACACCTAACAACAAAGGCCAAGAAGGCAAAGAGAAAACAATATGTGGAAGTAACGTTTTCAGCCCGATTAAAAAAGAGACAGACAAAAACCTAATTCATCACCTGCAAGTCTTCACTGGATTGTTCTTAGGAGCAGTGATAGGGATGGTCAGTTCCTTCATTTCTGGAGCATTCAGGATTAAGAGACCATTTTCACAATTTACAGAGACCAGAACCAGGCGAGGCTCCTGCCGAGCTGTGACCATATGACCATCTTCCTTAATCACGAGCCAAAATCTATGATTAAACATAGAGAGAATTGTTAATCCTTTAAATGTTATACCTAAATTGCTGACAGGCCATGAGAAAAATATTGTTACCTGCCACCCCAATCTCCAAGCTGTGTAAGATTCCAGGACTACAAGGAGTGCTTATCTGCATTCTTTGATTCCATTTAGATCACAAGGCACAACAGAGACTGTGGTGTCTTTATGATATATAGTTTAATTATACAGGTTTATAAGGGAAGTTTACCATGGAGGGATCTCCAGCATTACATTCCAAGAGGTTCTGGCTTCCCCCATAGCCACAGCACTGGATCCAAAACAGACATCAGCATCCTGCTTTTTGACTCTCCCTCCAGCCCATTACCACTCCGTTGCTTAGCTCCTTACTGCCATTCTAAACTGCCACCTACCTAAAACACTGGCCTTCTATTTATGAACTAAACTCTCAGCTGAGGGAGGGAGGAAACCCACCCATTTGCAAATGAGATTTACCCTTTCATCCTTTGAAATGCTAACGATTCATTACTCTAAAGTAACACCTCACACAGTAGGCATGTCCTGGCTTAATTGGCTTTTGACACTTAGCTTAATTGAGGGATTAGCTAAGTCTAGCACACAGTTTAATTACACACTGGGTCTGGCTTAAATCCACATGTGTCTAGCTTTGATGCCCCATATGCTAGCACCTATAAACCTATAGCAATATTTTAACACACTATCAAAGCAAGCATCCTTATTGATAAATGAAGTGGTTTGTTGCAGAACACAACTGGATGCCTTCATCTGACCCAGCTGCAACAAAACATGTCTCTCCCCTATTGGTCTCTACACCCACTGGCGGTGTAATTCTCCTTCAACCCCAAAGGCACACTCCATTGGCAGATGGATGCCAACAACAACAACAAGGCCTTTTAAACTGGGGGTGGTGCTGCTGTTGCTGTTACTATGTTATGCAAGGGATGCGGGTGGCGCTGTGGTCTAAACCACTGAGCCTCTTGGGCTTGCCGATTGGTGAGCTCTCGTTGCTGTCCCAGTTTCTGCCAACCTAGCAGTTCGAAAGCATACCAGGGCAAGTAGATAAATAGGTACCGATGTGGTAAGAAGGCAAATGGTGTTTCCATGCACTCTGGAACTCCTCACGGTCCTCTGTGCACCAGTAGAAGTTTAGTCATGCTGGCCACATGACCCGGAAAGCTGTCTGTGGACAAATGGCAGCCCCCTTGGCCTCAAGTGAGATGAGCGCTGCACCCCATAGTCACCTCTGACTGGACTCAGCCGTCCAGGGGTCCTTTACCTTACCTTACAATGTTATGCATTTTTGTGTTTTTATATTGCAAACAGCTGGTGATCCTCGGATGAAGGGCGGTATAGAAATTTAATAAATAAGACTACAAACGTCATAGAATTCCAGATTGTAATTCCCCACGGACACCGCCTGACTGAAGCTCTGGGACATGTGTAGCAACAGCAACAGCAGCAGCACTCAGGGCAGAACGGGCTTCGCCTGGAGGCGCGAGGGTCCTAAGAAGCTTCCTTGCGCGCGGGTAGCAGCTGCAATAGGGCCGTCCCCTTCCCCAAAAAACGACGCGCAGACACCCCGAAACCAACACGGTTCTCACACCAATAAGGGAGGGAGGCGCTAAACTGGCCTCATTTGTCTGCGCGCCAAGTTTGTCCCACGCGTGAAGAATTGCAGCGGCCTGCACAGGCGCGCGGGAGAAGGAAGCGGACGCAGCGGTCCACGAGAGCTTTATGGTGCCATTAGAAGCCCGTTAGTCTTCAAGTCGCCACAGGACGGACTCACCACACACGCGGCCCTTCCTCCGCCCCCGGCCCCACATTCCTTCCCCTCAACTCTCGAAAGGAAGCGGAGCCTCGTCGCCTCCCTCCCTCCCGCTCTTGCGCCCTCCACCCCCTCTCCTTGCCTGTCGCGCAGGTCTCCGCTGCGGACGCCCAGCTTGGTCAGCTCGGCGCTCTCGAGGGGCAGCCCCTGGCAGGACTTGACCGGGTAGATGGCGAGGCTGGACACGGCGCCCACCCGCACCAGCTCTCGGCGTGCGCGGCGCCGGCCCCAGCGCCAGGCCGCGGCGGCTCCCAGGCCCACCACGGCGACCGAGGCGCAGAACAAGGCCAGGCGGGAGGACGGCAGCGCAGGCAGCGAGAACCGGCCTAGCGACGCGGCCATGGTTGCCGAGGGGGAAACCGTGTCGCAGGCGGGAGAACTTTAACCCGAGGCGGGCCTAGGCCGGGCCATGCCTCCCTCGGCCCGGTTCCTTTGCCAGCTTCTCGCTTGGCAGGCGCCGTCGCTGCAGGCGCCCCCGCCTTTATCCAGACGCTATGGCAGCTGGTATTGCGTTCTTGGGCAGACCTACTCCAAAGCAAGCCCCACTGAGTTCAGTGAGACTTACTCCTGGGTAAGTGCCTACGGGATTGCAACCCAAGCGTGTGCATGTGTGCTTACTCTCACCGTTGGGTTTCTTGGCAACCCAGAGAGCTGTATTTTGGGGAGGGAGGAAACACACACACACAACCCTCCCAAAGAAAACAGCTGAAAGAATAGAAACACTCCACTTTCAGGGCTCAACATGAAAAAGTTATTAGGCAGAGACCTAAAAAAAACAAATCAGTGAGTTTTTACTCTTTGTGTTGGAACACTTTGCCACTTTCCTTTCAGGTCAGCCAGAATACCAGATTATACATCATGGTACCCACAGTGATGGATGGGACTTTGTAGATGCCCTAATTCTGTCACCTTCCCAAATCCACACATTCTTTCACTACAAATGGCAGAGAGGGAGACTAAAGACAGTCCACCTCTCTCCCAGTTCCCCTTAGGCACTGAAGGCAGCTCCCATAGAGGTACAAAAGTGCATCTTCCACTTGAAACATCCATTTCTTCCAGTTGGGTATTAACTGATTAATATGCCATATTTTCCAGTTTTGGGATCATTCCTGTGTGTGTGTATATGAAAAGTAAACTGATTGTTCCTTTCCAAAACTAACTTCAGGTTAAATCTGGGCATGTTGCCTGGTTTGGGGGGGAAATCATACTGGCAGACTTTGTAACAACATAGTGTATTTACATCAAATGAAAGAGTCCTATGGGGAGCTGAAATTTCCAAAGCCGCCTACAGAATTTAGGTAGTCATGTACACTCACATGTAAGGAAACAATCACATCTGAAGTAGTCCTTTTTAGAGCAAGACCTCTATACATGCATACATTATAGCCCCTTGCTCCAAGATATTGAGGTAGAGGAATAATTTATTGACTGGAAAACACATGAAGGTGCTTCAAAGAACAAAATATTACAATGCTAATTCAAAAACCATTTTGCATTGGCTTTTGACATTTGAAGTGTTTTATTTTTCAGACCCACCTTATTTTCGTGATTGCAAGAAATTTTAACCCTTTTAATCTTGTGCTTCAATGTTGTAACCCACCCAGGGACCGTAAGGTGAATCTTAATAATAATAATAATTTTATTATTTATACCCCATCTGGTGCTGGATTTTCCCAGCTATTCTGGGCAGCTCACAGCATATATCAGAACATACTAAAACATCAAACATTAAAAACTTCCTGATACGGGGCTTAATGCGCAGAAGACTATCAGGATTTGTTTTTAGAACAAGTATATTCAGCTTAAGCAGGAATCAACTATTTATGAGCTGTCCAATGACATATATTGGGATACTGCACAGCTAGATCAGAACAATTCCCTTGTGAACTGCAGTTAAGACAAGTATATTTTAAAAAAACCAAATTTAATTACATTGGGCTTGAGTTGTGTTTCATTCTACATTAAACTTCTGCTTTGGAAAAAGTAACCATTTATACTAAGAACTCAACTCCTTTAATATTTCCCTCTCTCAGTGACAATCTGCTGGGAATTATACTGTTAAGAGTCTGTTGTTTTTGTAGGAAAAAACTATGGTGACAAAGTTCAGAGATAAAAGTTAAGCTTATTGAAGTCTTATCTGGTAAAATATAAAAGAAAGATTACTTGGGTGTTTGGAACCTACTGGCATAGCCCAGGCCTTTAAATGTGTTTTATAGTTAATTATTCCCAACAACATAGAATTGTAGAGTTGGAAGGGACTATGAGGGTCATTTGAAGCTTATTCTTCTTGCTGTTTTTAAACTCCCTAACACACACAGACATTTATTAACATAACTAAAACTGGCTGTAGAACGAAGTTGCTTCTCACCACCATAAAAGGCCTTTAAAAAAGAAAGAAAAGTATATAGCTGCACTATTTTGGTCCTTTTATTTTTTGGTGAGATACTGAAATAATTATTGCTCTTCTAACAGCTATCAACCTTTGCTACTCTTCTCCAAGACAGAAATCTGTCATTTTCACATACAAAGGAATACGCAGACTGGTGGTTTCTAGTTAACAGCACTATCTGCTGTACAGTATGCTTATTCAGAAGTATGTCCTACTAGGTCAATGAGGCTTACTCTCAGGAGAGCATACAAAAGACTACAGTCTTGATGTGGAATCCTATACATGTCTACTGAGGTGTAAGTTCACGATTTAATTCAATGGGGCTTAATCTCAGAAGTGTATAGGATTGTAACCTAAATTCCAGTTTCTTCAAGCTTCACTGTACATTTTGTTGGAACATTTGCACTGGGATATGAGGCAGCAGGGCGCTTGGAAAACGAGGCACATAGATACTTTTACCATGTGAAAAAGCTATAAAGACTCCACATTAGATACACATGTATACATTTAGTTCAGTTTACTAGCTACTTTGGGCAATGTTTTCAAATAATTTATCTCTGCTACTTCAGTCCAATGATTTTATGCAAGTAGGACACTTTTTATACATTCAAATGTTTCCCATATCAGATCACTTGCAACAATTGCAATCGGTACAATTCTTCTAAGCACATGAAAGAACAAGGGGAGTCGGGGTGCTTAGGAAACAACCTCCAACATTCACAGGGTAGGATGAACCCAAAAGTATCAAAACGTGGCAAACTTTTCAACCCTGTATCAGGGTTTATACAAGTTATGGGGTGGTTGAACAAGATGAAAAACAAAACAAAGTCCAGCAATATTCTTTTCAAACCAATGGAACAATAGTTATCCTTTCTTTCTTCAACCCAGAAGAAAACTGAGCCTGCTATCTCCACTTCCAACTCAGTCTGTAAGCAGATCTTGTGGCTTTAACACCTGGCCTAATTTTTGTTTATTATTCCTTGTCCAGTCACCCTCTATCTCAACTTTTGCATGGTCTTGCCTAACGAATAGTTCTGGAGAACTTGAAATTCTGCCAATTTTGGGGGGGACTTTGGAATAAGTGAGAATCGTTCCAAACAAGCTTAGCACTACTACACACAACAGAAGATAATGCAAGCTGTGTTGCAATGAAAACGAGATGGTTGGATACTGTTCTCGAAGCTACCAGCATGAGTTTGACCAAACTGCGGGAGGCAGTGGAAGACAGGAGTGCCTGGCGTGCTCTGGTCCACGGGGTTATGAAGAGTCGGACACGACTGAACGACTAAACAACAACAACAACAAGAACATACCATAGTATAAAAGTATCTTTTTAATTTGCAAAATATGGATAGATAGATATCTTTTCAAAATGAGCGCAAGAGCATCAAGTGATACTCTCATAAATCAAGCACTAGTCACCTTGATCCTGAACAAGCATGCCATCATACTCACCTACAATAATAGCATATTACTGTCATTACTGAATGCTATGTCGACCAGAAGAGCAGCTTGAAGGACTGCATACGTGAAACAGATTACTTATTTATAAGATGTAATGGAGGTGCTGTTAGGTGAAAAAAGAGGGTAGCTGAAGAATGTTTAATGGCAAGTGAAGGATGTCAACTCGACTCTACATAAGAAATGATTCGGCAATGTGAAGAAATGATGATGATAGTATGTTCAGAACAAAAGCGGGAAACCTGATTTTAAGATATTTTATTATGTTAATTTGGTATGATTTTTAATAATTTGGAAAATTAATAAAAATAAATAAAATAAACCCATGGTTTGTCTTAAAACACCACATTTATTATTGTTGAATATAAGGTAGAAAAGATTCATTTAAAAAGGCCCCCAAACAATTATTTTTGGCACAGTTTTCATAAAAAACGTACAAAATAGTTCCTTTTATGATGTATTTTACACCATCAGATTGCCTTGTACACCATATCTCCAACTTGAATTGTTCCTGTTTTATCAATTCCGAAATACCATCCAAAGAGAGGGTGTGTTCTGTATATGTGCCGTTCAGAAGTATCACACAGGCGGTAACTGTAAAGAAGATTAGAGAACAATAAGCCATCCACAAAATAGCTAAATATGCTTGTTTTCAAGTTAAGTGACTAAGAAAACATTTTGGTAAGAAGCTGATAGAAATACAGGATTTCCAAGCATATAAAAAGTTTCACTTTGTTACTTTCATGATTGGCAAATTAGTAACAATTACTTTTGGGAGTAGATGGAAAGGACATCTCACAGAGAGAAAACCACTGCCAAATTAATGTACTTACTAGAGAGCAAGCACTGATTAAATCAATAGGTCTTAACTTTTGAGTAAACCTGCTCAGAATTCCATTGCATGCTAGTTGCACGGAAACTGGTTGCATTCAGGTCAATAGGACTTCGTTTTGAGTGTTTTACTTACACATCAGAGGGCCAAATTTGTTGATTAATCAGAGCTGTTGTGAAAAACATTATAGCAAATGAAGCACACTTAATTAAGAGGCTCTTTAATATTTAGAATCACAGAACTAGAGGTGGAAGGGACCCTGAGGATCATCTAGTCCAACCCCCTGAAATGCTTGTATATGCAGCTGTCCCATACAGGGATCAAACCTGTAAACTTGGAGTTATCAACACCATGCTCTAACCAACTGAGCTACTGCTTAAAATTTTTGCAGAGGATTACGCAGTGTTAGTCTTTTGCAGCAAAAACACCCAAGAGGCCTGTGGCACGTTAAATACTAACACATTTCTTATGGGATATGTTTTTGAGGTTTACTGTCCATGTCCAATCTGCATCTGATGATGTAGCCTATAGTCCATGAAAGTCTGTGCCTAATACTGTAAATGTAAGTCTTTAAGGTGCCACAAGACGTTTTCTAGTTTTAAAAAATAAGGCTGGAGCCAAAGTGTTAGGGCGTTTCAGCTCAAATCATAGAAATGTAGAACTGGGAGGTACCAGGAGGGTCATCTAGTCCAACCCCCTGCAAGGCAGGAAACCCAGACCATGTTCCCTTTCAAACCATGCCAGACCCTGCTTAGCTTTCCAAATGTGCTAGTAGTTTTATTGCTGCGCCACCACACAGCAATTCTTTGCACATTTATCTGGGAATGGGTACCACTGGACTAAATGAGGGTTACTTCTGAGTAGAGACTTGTACTAGTCATCTTGATCCTAAACAAGCATGCCATCATACTCACCTACAATAACAACATATTGTCATTACTGAATGCTTTGTTGACCAGAAAAGCAGCTGGCATGTTTCATTCTAAATATTAATTTGTTGTTTACTATTATATAATAATACTCGTTGGTTCAGCTATTACCATTAGATCATTAGGAACATTAAAGAGAAAAAGCAGAGCACATTGCACTCTTAAAAGTTGTTTTGTTGACAGATTTCATATTAGTAAGCATTCAGAATGGTCAGTTCAACAAATAATGTATTATTTTTAGTCTAGTTTTGCAAGTTTACTGCCTCACTAAAATGCAGAGAGAATTCCCACAGAACCAGGATTTCAAGACATGATCACATTTTGAGAGCTGCACACAGTCATTAGTCTACCTATTCAGATGACGGAGGAGGAACTCAGAAAATTTTTGTTACCTTTTCAAGGTTTCAAGAGGCTCTTTTCTGTCCATGATGCCAGTGTCTGGATCAACAGTAGTAAGTATACACCTGTAATGAAGAAACAGAATGAGGTAACAGCAACCTCAAGTACTTCCTTGCTTCTTCAGATGCAGTGCAAAATTGCTTACCTGGGGCAGCCCATTGCACCTTTCATTTCTGCACCACCAATAGTTATCTCATCCCAGGTATCCTGTGGAAATATAGTGTTCACAATATTAGGTCATTTGTAAGCTTTGCATGTAGAATGTGTTTTATTTTGTATTTTTTATTTGTTTATTAAATTTATACCTTGCCCTTCCTCCTGAAGGATCCCAAGGCTGCACTAAAGAGTTCTACTTGCATATAGAAACTTGCACCCTTATAAATACAAAAGTACTTTGCTCCAAGTGACAGTTTAAAAATAATACCGTATTTTTTGCTCTATAAGACTCACTTTTTTCCTCCTAAAAAGTAAAGGGAAATGTGTGTGCGTCTTATGGAACGAATGCAGGCTGCACAGCTATCAACAGAAGCCAGAACAGCAAAAGGGATTGCTGCTTTCACTGTGCAGCGATCCCTCTTGCTGTTCTGGCTTCTGAGATTCAGAATATTTTTTTTCTTGTTTTCCTCCTCCAAAAACTAGGTGCGTCTTGTGGTCTGGTCCGTCTTATAGAGCAAAAAATACGGTAATTTGATTTTTTTGTAACACACACACCCCACCCCCAATCTGACTAGGTTGCCCCGGCCTGTCTGGGCGGTTTCCAACAGAATATACAAAAACACAAGAGAACATCACACAATAAAAGCTTCCCAATACAGGGCTTCAAATGTTCACGGAAGGTCATATAATTCTTTATCTCTCTGACATATACAAATGGAAAGGTATTGTTTGGTGAGGGGGATATTCCATGTATTACCTCCTCATGAGAACTGCAACCTGTGACCAGAATGTTTGGTCTGAAGTTGCGTACTGTAACTTTCTTATCCAATCGGGTATTTAATTCTTCCAAAGACGCTTCAGAAAGCACCATAACCGGGCTACAGTCAGGATAGGCAATCTAGAGAGAGAGAGAGATTGTTGCAAGACAGACAGCATTTAATCTGGCAGTGGTTCATTGCCATTTTTTTTTATTGATTAAAACGTACATGGTTGTCCATTAACAGATATTCTCTGGGCTGCTTACAGAACAAAAAGGGGAAAACAACATCCCATATGCAGTGATTAAAAAAAACTTTCCTCCTAGCAGAGGCAGAATAAAGCTATTAACAGCTCAGATTTAAAAGAAAACAAACAAAAGGATCAGAAAGTTCAATGATTATTTAAATGTTTGCTTAAAAGGCCAGCCTGAATTGGTAATGACCATTAAAGGCCCCTTACAGCAGAAGGTGTGGATAAAATATTTGACCACAGGTATAGGGGAAATGGGACGCAGGTGGCGCTGTGGGTAAAACCTCAGTGCCTAGGGCTTGCCGATCGCATGGTCGGCAGTTCGAATCCCCGCGGCGGGGTGAGCTCCCATTGTTCGGTCCCAGCTCCTGCCCACCTAGCAGTTCGAAAGCACCCTTAAGTGCAAATAGATAAATAGGTACCGCTTTATAGCGGGAAGGTAAACGGCGTTTCCGTGTGCTGCGCTGGTGCTGGCTCGCCAGAGCAGCTTCATCACGCTGGCCACGTGACCCGGAAGTGTCTCCGGACAGCGCTGGCCCCGGCCTCTTAAGTGAGATGGGCGCACAACCCTAGAGTCGGACACGACTGGCCCGTACGGGCAGGGGTACCTTTACCTTTATAGGAGAAATGGTTCTCAAAGATTTTTCAGTTTTAGTACTGGGTCTGTTGGATTTGTATGTAATGCCCTGGGCTAGTAGCTACTTGGAAAATGATTAAAAAGCGTTTCCTCCTTGTGAAGGAATCATGTTGTGTGATGGTGGTTTTTTTAGACCATTTATAGCGGATAGTAAATGGCTCTCAAGAATACTATACAAGTAGTGGTGTGGCAGAGAGCGTTCTCTAAGTTCAAATAGCAGCAATTAATTGATGGCAACTGCAGAAGTATTGGGCAACAGTAGCAGTTCCAAAGTCTTTAGCCCAGTAAACAAACATGCTAAACTAGGTCACTCTGTAGGGCAAGGGTAGGAAACTGGAGCCAAGGGGCTGGATCCAGAATTCCCAAACATCCCACAGGCAGCTTTTGACAGAGCTGCCCATCAGGTAATTCAGCTTCAAAGAAATAATCAGGAGTATGCTCTAAGTGCACTCCTCCTTTCCCCTTTTTATTCGGCTCTGTGGGTTTACCTGTCATGACATCGGGTGGGTGTGGTTTGGGACCAAACCATACTGTAGGCCAGGCCAGGGCAAACTCGGCCCTCCAGATGTTTTGGGACTACAACTCCCATGATCCCTAGCTAACAGGAGCAGTGGTCAAGTATGATGAGAATTGTAGTCCCAAAACATCTGGAGGGCCAAGTTTCCCTATGCCTGCTGTAGGCCAAATGGGGAGGGATCTACCATGCCTCATTAGACCCATGGGATAGGTTCTCCTTCACTGCTCTAGGGCACTGGATAATTTCCCAATAGAAACTGAAACTTTCTGATGCAAATTACCTTATGCCAATTTTTCCAATTTGCATAGGAAAATTTTGCAATTCGGTTTTTTTCAAGAAAATCCCCAGCGCTGTATACAAGTGCCAACATTTTATTTATTTAAAAACCATATACCACCCTTTAACAAGGTTTCTAGGGAGATTTACAGAAACAATAAAATACACAATAAGTTACAATACATAAAAAGCTTGGGGAAATAAACACCACAAGCACCTTACACCACAAGCAGCTGCCAACACTGAGAAAACACTCAGCTTAAAGGTATAATAGGGACTTAAGGTGTGTACATTTTTGTTTAGGAAGACTTTCCCTGAGGTGTAACTCACGTCATTTAATCAAGTTCATCTCTGATGAAATTGTCATGTTGCTTCTAGAGCTGGTATGAATTGTTTTATTGTTTTTAAGTTAGTTGAATTTATTTTATTGTTTTCAGAATATGTTTCCATATTCTATTTTGTTCTTAGCATGTACACTGCTTCAATAGCTTTACGTTGTAAAGCAGTCTATAAATTTATTGAATAAATAAACAACTACTTTCCCAGGAACAGGACTACTTTAGTTGCTTATTTTTATATTTACATTTTTCATTATGAATTATTTGTATTGAATCAGATTGTTGCAGGACATGTGATCTTTGTTATACTCCCCCCCCCCCCATTTCTATGCCTTATGTAGAAAGGCAGCATACAAATTAAAAATGAAATGAGAATGAGAACTAGGAGAGCAGCATTTAGCTAATGAGATTATCAGGCTCATGGACTGCAGTTTAATGTAAGTGATCAACGTTGTGCTTATCTCTGAAGAAAGCTTGACAACTGGAAACAACTGTCTGTTTAGTATCCCTCAACGCAACAGCCACCAAATATGTAGGAATTTCCCACTTGCTTTTCAAAGGCAGAGGTCACTAGTTTGGTCAAGCCGGTCTTTGGAAAACAAGTTTAGACATGATAAAACGGTGGGAAAGGATAAGCAAAGGATGTAAAGGATCTGTTAATGTAAAGGCAACATCTAACTAAAGCAACAAAAACTTCTTATAGCAAATGCCATTGTTCAAACAATATTCTATTGGAGCCAAAATCCAGTTATTTTAAGCTTGTACTAGGGGTCTTCCAGCACCAACCTGCACATATAACGTATTTGCCTGCAATCCATTTATATTGGTCATTACTACTCAGCTTAAACCAACAGTAGGTTGGTTGGTTAAACATGAGACAAAGAATATAACCTTTGAAAAGCAAATTCACACTACAAAACTGTGAGTGTGGCACGCTCCAAAGATCACTACAAAGTTGTTTCCTAACCTTATCAGTGGGTCGGAAAGGTTCCATAAGATCTTTTGAATTCCGAGGAACCATGTTCGGCTCAAAGTGAACTAAACGGTATGGTTCTGATTTCAGGAAGGTTGTGATCCACTGAGCTGCTTCTTCTCCACAGTCTCTGCCTTGGACATCAAAGCCAAACAGCCTGCAAGATTTGTGGGAGGCATCAGTACTATCTTTCCTATCAACTGTAATTAAAATAATTAATACTACAATGCTGGAGAAGGGGAGAAGCTAATCATTTTCTCAAATGGAAATCCCTACCCATACCTGTCATTTGCCCTATTAGAGAAAACATAGACAAAGCCAAAGACTTCACATGTTCAAAAACTACTCTTCCTAAAGCAGTTTAGGGTCAAATATAGAAAACCTCTACATACAGAAGCATAGTTTGTGGTAACTCTTCAGAATGGACAATAAGGCTCAAAACTTGAAAATCAGTTGCATCGCACACACAAAAATTAATGTCATTCACTGGTGTCCCCTTGTGGTTATTGTCAAGATTTTTTAGAATGGAGGGTTGCCTTTTAAGCCAACTCTATTGCTGTAGCTTGGTGGGGAGGGGAATATTAAGAATTATGTACAACACCTAAGAGGTGACATACAGGGAAGTCTAAAGCACCTGCAATTATGCACTGGGTTTTTGACCGACAGTTGGACGGGAATACGAAGATCCTTCATTTCTGGAGCTCTCAGAGTTAAACAGCCATTTTCACTGGAGACAGAAATCAATACTAGCTGAGGCTCCTGCCGAGCGGTCACTGTATGTCCATCTTCTTTTATTACAAGCCAACACCTGAGTTAGAAACAGACCAAAATTGAAAGCTGATAAGGCTTTATACATCTGACGGAAATGGACAGTAGCCCACAAAAGCTTAAGACCTACATTTTCAGTCTTCATGGTGCCACAATACTTTTTTTGCTCTACTGAAAGGTGAAGCAGATGAAAGAAGAGGAAGAATACGCTTGTCAGTTTTTGAAACGGGCCCTTGTAGCTGCCCCTTTAACAACAGCACTTTCATCTGTTGCAAATAGCAGGTGATAATGTTTAATGCCATGTCTTGAAGAGCTTCCTCTGATGTTTTCTGTTTGCCAAAGCTCTGTTAAAAGGGAAAGAAGCAAGCCAAGCAAAAACCCTAAGGAGAAAGAAGCATGGTAAGTACAGTGGAGAAAGACGGACAGGATACAGCCTGACAGAAAGCAAAACACAAACAAACAGGGGATGCCAGCACCAAGTACTGTACTGCGTTGTACAACTGGAGAAGAGGAAAGCCAGGGTGAAAGGTGTCAAGATTCAAAAGGTCTTACATTCTGAAGAAAAGAACAAAGGGTTAAGTCCCTACTCACAGTCTGAGTTGCACATCATAGCCAGGTAAAAATACCATTATATTCCACCTTCTGCCACTGCCCTTGTTTTCTTCCATGCAAAAGGCTCATGGGGGCAGGAGTCTGTGTGTTGGGGGTGGGGGAGTGACAGGAGATTAAGCTTAACTTGGCACTTTCAGGGTGTTTTGACCATGGTATGTGCTTCTCTTTTCACAGCAAAGTGCTGTTTAAAAGAACCTATTTCCAGAACAGGCACGGGCAGCTGTAACCTTTATCTCACTTGGAGCAGTTTCATTTTACAGTGGTGCCTCGCAAGACGAAATTAATCCGTTCCGCAAGAGTCTTCGTCTAGCGGTTTTTTCGTCTTGCGAAGCAAGCCCATTGACGGATTAGCGCTATTAGCGCTATCAGCTGTTTAGCGGCTATTAAAGGCTTAAAGGCTTAGGGGATTAGCTGCTAAAAGGCTATTAAAGGCTATTAAAGGCTTAGCAGATTAGATAAAGGGGGGGAAAAGCGAAAAAAAAATCTCAGGACTCGCAAGGTATTTTCGTCTTGCGAAGCAAGCCCATAGGGGAATTCGTCCTGCGAAGCAACTTCAAAACGGAAAACCCTTTCGTCTAGCGGTTTTTCCGTCTTGCGAGGCATTCGTCTTGCGGGGCACCACTGTACTGCGAATCAAGCAATTTATATGAAGGGCTGTCATGTGGAAGACAGAACTAGCTTGTTTTCTCCTGCTCTGGAGGGCAGGACTCGAACCAACAGCTTCGCCTTCTAAGTTACAAGAAAGGAGATTCCAACTAAACATCAGGAAGAACTTTCTGAACAGTAAGAGCTGTTTGACAGTGGAACGGACTACCTCAGGAGATTGTGATCTCTCCTTCCTTGGAAGTTTTTAAAAGCAGAGGTTAGATGGCCATCTGTCATGGATGCTTTGGTTGAGATTCCTACATTGGGCTACATGACTGTCGGGGTCCCTTCCAACTTTACAATAGGGCTGGACTTCTGTGTGGAAGGACTGTAAACTCATTGCACTTCTGCTACTCAAAGACAAATCCCTGATCCAGGAATTGTTAAGGGTATGTTCTTCACAACTGGCTCTGACTGTGGCACTCAGGGTTCCAGTAAATACAGTGGTACCTTGGGTTACATACACTTCAGGTTACATATGCTTCAGGTTACAGACTCTGCTAACCCAGAAATATTACCTCAGGCTAAAGTGGTGCTTCAGGTTAAGAACAGACCTCCAGAACAAATTAAGTTCTTAACCTGAGGTACCACTGTAAATGGAACAGATCCTGCAAGCCTGCTGTACTAGACGATTTTTGTGGAAGTGTGCATAGGCGTAGCCAAGTGGGGGCAGCTGCCCCCCCCCAAATCAATAAAATCAATATAAATACTTAACTGAGGTTCAGCCCCCACTAACATGAAATCTCCGCCCCCCCCAACATAAATCCTGGCTATGCCCATGAAAGTGTGCAAAGGATTTGCGCAAACAGCTACAATCTTATGCAAGCTCGCCTAGGGGGTTAGCTGCATCGAAATGCACACTTCGATCCTTTGCACACTTACCTGGGAGCAAGCCCTAAAATGCACTTAGTCCGAGTAAACAGGCGCACGATCCTGGGATCAAAGGCGATATCTAAATTCGATAAAAATTTGACGCGCGTGTTCTTAAAACACCTGTCCACACGCTTCTCCAAAAGTTTGGGAGGAAAGCAAGTTAGAAGGGAGGCTGGAAGGTGGGGCGGGGTTGGGAACCCACAGAAGCAAGAAAAAGCGACGCCTCCCGACTTGCACACCCACCTGTCGCCCAGGTCCCCGTTGCGGAGGCCCAGCTCGGTCACCTCCGCCCGCTCCACGGCCACCCCGCGGCAGGACTTGACCGGGTAGATGAAAAGGCCCGAGACCCTTCCCACCGCCTTGAGCTCCCGCCGCCCTGGACGAAGGCGCCTCCGCCGGCGCCAGGCTGCGGCAGCCCCCAGCATAAGGAGGACGGCCAGACCGGCGGAGGCCAAAAGCCAGCCGGGACGAGGCTTGGGCAGCGACTGAAGAGCGGAGCCGGTCATGGCGGTGGCGGCTGCAGCAGCAACGCTAGAGAGAAGCAGCGCCGCGAAGGGGCAGCGCGAGTTTATATGAGAAGCAGGCCGCTCCCTCGACGCTTTCGCTGCTGCTGCGGAGGGAGAGGAGACGCCGCCCCTGGAGCCCCACTGGAGGCCGCGGCGTTTGGGCGGGAATCTCGGCCAGAAATCAGGCCGTGAGATCCCTCGTTAGCCGTCCATGCAGAGGGGAAATGGTTCGTCTTAGGACTCTTGAGGCGCTTGTCGCTGCAGACCCAGGAGGAGATGGTGGTGTGACTTTTCAGTATTGTTATAAAATGAGCAGGGAGGCCCCCCCATGGCCAACCAACATCTGGAAGCGAAGGAAAAGCCTGTCTCGTGCAGGTGTGGCGAATCTCTGACCCTCCAGCTATGGCTGAACAACAGCCCAGAGCCCATGAAGCAAGGTGAGGCAACTGCCTCAGGCAGCAGGATCCACACGGGCGGCATATTTGGTCTCTAAATAAGGTACAGTGGTACCTCGGGTTACATACGCTTCAGGTTACATACACTTCAGGTTACAGACTCCGCTAACCCAGAAATAGTACCTCGGGTTAAGAACTTTGCTTCAGGATGAGAACAGAAATCTTGCTCCAGCGGCGCGGCAGCAGCAGGAGGTCCCGTTAGCTAAAGTGGTGCTTCAGGTTAAGAACAGATTCAGGTTAAGAACGGACCTTCGGAACGAATTAAGTACTTAACCCAAGGTACCACTGTATCCCCAGCCGCTGCTGCTGCCGCCGCTGCCATGGCGTTGCGCAACTTGGAGGCTGGAGCTGCCACCTCCTCGGCACCCCCTCCAAGCTCTCCACAACAGCCTCTCAGCGAATTGGGAGGCACTACTGGCTTCCTTCCACTCCAGGGAGAAAGTGGGGGGTCTCTCCTCTGGGGTCTCCTGGGTTCTGCTCCCCGCCAGAGTGATTCAGAGTAGGCCCCTTCCCCAGCCCACCTTTTTATTGCCCTCCCTGTTTCTGATGAAGATTTTCACTTTTCCCTTCTTCCCTGGCAGGGGGAGCACCATTTTATGGTTCACCTCAGGTGCCAAAAGGTCTTGACTTGAGCATGCTCATTTATTTATACCCACCCTTCCTCCAAAGCTTTCAAGGTGGCAGACCTAGTTTTTCCCCTCCCCTCTCCATTTGAAATATACTCGGAGTCGAGTGTGGATTTCATGCTCTTTATTCAGCTCATAGTAGCGAGGAATGAAAGTTCCCCCAAGATATCTGCTTTACATACATTATTTACACAATGGGCTGCACGTGATTGGCTAATTCTGGGATTCTCCTGTAGGCCAATCAGGTTGAGGATTCACTTCCACCTGGAGCTGGATTGGGTGGCTCCTGCGGACCAATCATATTGCTGCATTGTTCTAGGACCAAGCAGACTGCTGCATTTTGGATCCTATTCAACTCAGTACATAATACCATTGTATCCTACCTGTGAGGTAGGTTAGGCTGAGAGAGAGAGAGATTGGCCCAAGGTCACCCAGTGAGCTTCATGGCCAAGCAGAACAAGAACCCTGGTCTCCCACTCTACCCATTGATCATGCTTACTGGAGTGGAAGGAGTTGTAGTCCAGCAACATCTGGAGGGCCAAAGGTTCCCCACACCTGATTCACTTCAGCATTTGAAGTGGATGAAGTATGCACATAACTACCTAAAGAGTCCCACATATGCATAAGGCCAATAAGATTAGAATGTATGATTTCAGAACTACGTTAAAGGAAAATAATTACAGTGACAGCTTCCAAACCATTTTGCTGGTGTAATAATGTCTACTCACAAACTAAGTTCTATTGCCAAACTTTGAGCAGCATGTTGAAAGCTATGCTTACAGTGCATAATCCTTAAAGGCAGTTTAGCTCCCTCACTCAAGAATGTTGAAAATCCAGCTTGGCAGCGCCTTTATTTGGACTACTCTAGAAGACAAAGTTAGATTAGATCCTAACTTACAAATCAGGAAAATTGATTTCATAATGCTGCAAGCAGCATTGAGCAGCTGGAGCAAGGTTTAAATAAAATATCAACTATTTGAATTATTTTCCTCAGCTAGCCAAGTTTTCAATATGCATAATGCAGTTTACATTGATGAAATGGCCTTAAAACATAATTTGTCTTAGCACTGAGATTTAGCCAGGTTTGGTTCAATTCATGTATATTAAATGCCATCTCCTCGTTCATTTTTCAAATAATATTAGAACAGCTTCAGTGGGTCAGGCCAAGAACCATCTAGATTCAATAAGTGTAGCCTTCCGACTGTGGCAGCTGGGTAAGAACATTGGAAACTGCCTTATATCAAGTCATACCATTGGTTCATCTTAGCGTCGCCTACTCTGACTGGCAGTTGCTCTCTAGGATTTCAGGCAGGAGTCTTTACCAATCCTACTTGCAGTTGCTGTGGATTGAACCAGTGTTCTTCTGCATGCAAAGAAAGTGCTTGGCTGAGCAACAGATCTTCCCCAGTGCATCTGAATGCTTAGCTCCCAATCAAAATATTGATGCAGGCACCCCAATTCTCTGAATGGCCCTTCCAGATAGGTGTGGTATCAGCACTGCTCATGTCTGCAAGTCCCACCTCCAGCATCCACAGGATGTCACCATCATCAGAATGCCAGCCCTATCTTTTTCTTTTATCTGGCTTTTGCCCCTTCAGCAGATGAACCAATATGGCAACAGAGCCTGTTAAATCTCTGCAGTCACTGCTGGTGTTGAAGTTTGTTAGTGCCTTCTTTTAGTGGGTGAGTAGTTTCTAAGGTGCCAAATGCACACACAGGAAAATCTGATCTGACTTGCAATATAAAGTCCCCATCCAGAAGCACACAAAGTAGAATTGTATGTGGTGTGAAATCCTTCCCCTTCCTCTGTCCCGAAGCTACAGCAAATCAGCTTCATTAAGGAGACTTAAGGGCGGAAGAAAACATATTTTTATTTCTTTCCAATCCCATAATGGAGGATAGAGAATAATTCTACTTTAGGAGTGGTATGAGGTCATAATGGGTGACCAGCTGTGGTTACAGATACTTCTGACATCACAGTGGATTCCTTAGCAACGGTTGAAGCATAAACACATAAACAATTGGTTTGTGAGCTCAAACTGCCTTTGGCTGGCTAAGCAAGGGTGGTATTTGATTAACTTTCCTGACATCTGAGCTTTGAGGTATCCAGAGCCTTGATCCTGAATTCCCAACGAGCCCAGGATCTTGAGCTGGAACCTCAGGCTTAAAACCTCCAGGGGCTTGGTTTCAAGTCCTTACCTCAATTCCTTCCAGGCTTTCATCTCAATTTGCACCATTTCATCAGTACCCCACAGGCTGATGTTACAGAGGTACTGAGGGTGGATGGTTCTCATGTTTGGGGATATTGTATTCAGCTAGATTTGGAAAGGCTTGCACTCTGCTTCAGAAAGAGCAAGTTCACAGCTTGGGGTGGGGGTGGGGTCTTCCCTGGATCAAGCTCTGTCTTTAGAGACCCATGTCACCCTCTGTGGCATGGAGTGAGTTTTACCAGCCAAGACTGATTCAGCAGCTGTAACCACTGCTGGAGCGTTTTGCAAAGGTTGCCCATGCTTTAGTAAACTCCCAGGTGAATTATTTCAATGTGCCATATGTGGGCTGCCTTCAAAAAGAGCTTCTGTTCAGAATACAGATGCTATAATTTTACTGGTACAGTTTGTCCAGATCCCATTTCTCAATTTTTTAACATGTATTTTAAGCTTCACTAGCCTTTTCCCAAGCCTTAAGCCTTAAATAGCCTGGGACTCCAATACTTGAAGGTGTACCTACTCCCATATTAACCTGCCTTCATTCTAAGGTCATCTGCTGATGCTGTTCCCTAAAACCTCCTCCATCAGAGAGGCAGTTCTCAACCAGAGAGCAAACTTTTTTGGCTGTGCATCCCATTATAAAAGTGCCTTTTCTAAAGAAGCTTCCCTGGTTCCAGTTTTTAGGTGTGAGGCAAAAACCATTTAACCACTTAAGCATTTTAAGTACTCTTTTGGATTTTTACAATTGTTTTTGGTATGCTGTTTTTATTATTCATTTGTTTTAGTGCGGTAACCCCCAACCCGGTGCCCTCCAGATTTTTGTTGGACAACATCTTCCATTGCTCCTAGCCATTGACCATCTCTGGCTGGGGCTGATGGCGGTTGGAGTGCAACAACATCTGGAGCACACCACATTGTGGAAAGCTGTTTAGGAGTATAACCCCTAACTCCAGTTGCTGCCCAGCAGGACTTAATGAAGCAGTGCATCTGCAGCTCTGCTGCACATGCCAGCCAGGGCATGGAAGGTGGAGAGCAGGTAAATTTCTGCACTAGCCTGGAGCCTAGCAGAGCTGGATAGAGTGACACTGCACCCCATTCAACACCATACCCAGTGGCAAAGGAGTATGGTTTGCTTTCTTCTTCTTCTTCTTCTTCTTTCTTTGGCGATCACTCATAGCCGAGTAAGATTGTCTTCTGTAAACATGGTTTTAACAATGAGTCTATAAGTGACTGTGGAGGCTAATTCTGGACCCACACATCCTTCCACAATGGGAACATTGGTTCCCAGGCGGGAGTTGATCACGGTGTGGATTTGCCAAGCGTGCCTTCCTCTTAGCACGTTTCTCCCTTGCGTTCTGAGTTCAAGTGTCTTCAAAGCCCATGACACCTTTGGTAAAGGCTGTTCTCCAACTGGAGTGCTCACAGGCCAGTGTTTCCCAGTTGTCAATGTTTATACTACATTTTTTTAGATTTTCCTTGAGGCAGTCTTTAAACCTCTTTTGTTGACCACCAGCATTACGCTTTCCATTTTTAAGTTTGGAATAGAGTAGTTGCTTTGGAAGACGATAATCGGGCATCTGCACAACATGACCAGTCCAACGAAGTTGTTGTTGAAGAATCATTGTTTCAACACTGGCGATGCATTCTAACTTTCTGCCTGATCTTTTATATTTCTGTAAACTAATGTTGGAGTCAGGTGTTTTTTTTAAAAAAGTAGTGTATACATATTTTAAAATTGATGAATGTATATATTTATATATGTACTTTTAAAAATATTTTAACATTAGCTGGAAAACAACCCAGTCCTGAGACAAAGAAAAGGCAGAACACTTGTCAAAGAAGAAATTGTGGGAGCCAAAGCAGGATGGGAGACTGGAAAGCCTACATCAATACAGTCCTGAAGGACAAAAACATTGAAGATGTAGCGATCGTGGGACATTCTGACAACAAATCTGTCTGGGCTTCAAAGCCAGGAGGCCTGCTGGCCGCCATCTCTCCCCAGGAAGTAGGAATAATTATTGGGCAGGACAGAAAGGCATTCCTGCAGACTGGGATCACCATAGCAGGGAAGAAGTGCAGCGTAATCCGAGACAACTTGTTAGTAGAGAAAGATGCTGTGATGGACACGAGAACCAAAGGTGGCGACAGCAGATCCATCTGTATTGGGAAGGGTGCCAAAGCGCTCATCTTTCTCATGGGCAAAAAGGGAGTCCATGGAGGGGCTCTGAATAAGAAGGTGCATGACTTGATAGCGAACATGAAAGCAAAAGGCAGCTAGAGCCAAGGATTTGTCTGGGTCACCTTTCTCCTGACTGATGAAACGTGGGGAAACTATTGCTGCTTTGAAATAAAAAGCATTTAGCAAACTCCATCCTGTTTCCTTGAGTTGTGAGGATGGGAAGGGCCATAGCTTAGTAGTAGAGCCTCTGCCTTGCATGTAGAAGGTTCCGGGTTCAATCCCTAGCGTCTCCTGCTCTTCTTCTGGCTCACCTATCTGACTGGTGCTAAGGGGGCTGCAGATTCTATCGTGGGGGGAAAGATCAGTATTGGCTTCAGGTTTTGATGGGTCCTTCAGCAAGACACCTTCAGTGCGGCTGCCTGTATACTCTGCTTCTCTCACTGTGGAGATGGTGACTGCTGGAATTGTGACTTGCTTCTGCATTGTAGACAAGTATGAATCCAGCAAAAGGCAGACCCTCGTAACACACATTTCTTGCAGTATTGATGCCAGTGCAAGCATGCATGTGAAGTGCCAGGCATATAAACAGAAATCCATTGTTCAACCAATCACTGCAAGTAGTTTTTTAAAAAACATAGCTCTTAATGGAGTAGCTAAAGGTACGGGGGCATTTTTAGCTCTAGCATTCACTAGGACCTGGTGGGATGTGGGGTGAGGATCCTAAACACAGGAGGTGCCAAACTTTAGGTAGCATACTGAATCACATTACAACTTGACAGCTAAAGGTTGTTGGCTCTCTGTGTGACAGCCCTTCAGAAATGTGAAGTACTATCATCTCTCATCAAGGTCACCAGCACCTTAGTGTATTTTTCTACATGTTAATTATACCCTGATGTTCCTTCACCCTTCCCTCATAGGACTGCTTTTCCATACTGCTGCTCATTTTGGTCTCCATCCTCTGACCCTGTTCCAATTTGTCTATACAGTGGTATCTCGGGTTACAAACACTTTGGGTTACAGACTCCACTAACCCAGAAGTAGTACCTCGAGTTAAGAACTTTACCTCAGGATGAGAACAGAAATCGCGTGGCAGCGGCAGTGGGAAGCCCCATTAGCTAAAGTACCTCAGGTTAAGAACAGTTTCAGGTTAAGAATGGACCTCTGGAAAGAATTAAGTTCGTAACCAGAGGTACCACTGTATCCTATTTTATGTAATAATTGTTTATATCCTTTGAAGTGTTTGAAGTATTCCAGAAGAGGTCAAACCAGTGCAAGATAAAAGCGGGACTATAACTTCTCATGATTTGGGCTAGGAATGCATCCCCAAATTGTATTCACTTTTCCCCCGCACCTGCATCACTGTACTGACTCGCATTCAGCTTGCGATTGACTACAATCCTGAGCTCCTTTTCACATGTGCTGTCTTGTTTCTGAGCCAACTCTTCCCCATCCTATGCCAAATCGAAGCCCCAGTCAGCAAACAATAATCTCCAGGGGCTTCAGCTGTGGCTGCTGGGAGAGTATGCAGACTTCTGCTTTCAATACTTATTAGCTACCCTGAATTTATGGAAACCCAGAAAATAAATATTAATTAAAAAAAAAAAAAAACCTCAGCTAAACTGGAATCTGTTTTCCAACCAATTCAAGCACTGAATTGGTGTTTTTTAAAAATAAAATAAAGATTTTTTTAGTTTACAAAAGTACATGCATTGTCTCTCTTTTCAGGTTGTAGAGTCTTTTCTGCAAATCAGTTACATTTGATATGAGACATTAGTTTTGTATTCAGTATGGGGTCGGTGAAGAAGAGGGAGGGATGGGGAAACATATTCTTTTTATATAGTGTACATGTGGGGGGGGTTGTCAGTGTCAACTGGGTAGGTTCTCTTTCTACTTGCTTATTACCTTTCCTTGGTAATGAGAGGGATTGGTGAGGGGCAAGGCGTGGTTGGTTATCTGTAGTTGGTTGCAGTGGGGTTTGTTTGCATTTGTGAGGGGGTGGATGGATTGATTCATATGCTGTCAGTGGGTTCTTGTTGTTGACTGTTAAGCTGTGTATGTGATAAAGGGGACTCATACTGGGGTGAAGGTGTCCTCTTCTATTTGTCCCCGTGTCAGTTTCAGTCTGTTGGTTAGCTTTTCCAGTAAGGTTGTTTCCCATACGATTTGGTACCAGTGGTCCATGTTCACACCTGACAAGTCTTTCCAGTGTCTGGCTATGGTGTTAAGCACTGAATTGTAGAGCCTCAAAAGTTCTGGTCTAACTCTGGTGACACTTGCAATACTATATTCACCATGAACAGAGCAGCAACAGGAAGAGATAAACCAAAACAAGAATAACAACAAGTGCTTTAAAGAAGATGTTTCGCTCTCACAGACTAGCATGTAGTGCACTATGGATGCATGCAGTCTAGCCACTGATTTTGTAGCACATGGTGGAGCCCTAAGCAATTATAGGATACCTTTGAAATGCAAAAATCGCCACCACAGCAATATCCAAGTGTTAATTGTGGATGCAGTCAGATCCCTAACTCTAAGGGCATCAATTAAATCAAATCAAACATTTCTAGGTGGAAGTTTTGCTTTTTGTAATTAATGTTTGCTCAGATGTTTCCTCCAGCAGGATATTGATCACTTTTGAAGCATCTTAACTTTTTAGCTTGAGAAGTTTCCTGCTGGAGAAGGCAGGGCAGTATTTCTTTTATGTTTCTAAGAATTTATGAACCCTCCTGGACCAGGCCAAAGGCCCAACTAGTCCAGCATCCTTGTCTAAGATTCATGGAAGATAAGGCTATCAATGACTACTATATCAATGATGGCTGTAGGTGTCTCTGAATACCAGTTGCTGGGTATTATAAACAGGTGAGTCCTGTTGTGCTCGTGTCCTGATTGTGGGCTTCTCATAGGCATCTGGTTGGCCACTGTGAATATTTGGTTCTGGGTCTCAGCCAGAGTCCAGTTAGCATAAAGGTGATTCTGCCAAGCTCAAAACCACAGGAGAGCAGAACAGAAAGATTCCTAATTGCCATATTTATTGGTGTGGGCATAGCAAATTCCTACCTTCTGCTTGCAGTATACATCAAGCCTTTTGGTTCATCTGCTGTTGACCTTCAGTTTGCCTTGGCTAAGTGCCTCATGAAATCTCAAAAAATAAAAATAAAATCTTAAAAAGGAGTAGTACACAGCTAGAGTGCATTCCTTTTATTTGCCTGAGATACAAATCTATTGAAGCAAAGAGTCTCTAGTTAAATCTCAGATTTAGAAATGTAATTCTTAAGAGTCCAACTTAATAATGCTCATGGTGAAAACCTTAACAGTTAACACAGCAGAAGATAAGGTTGGGTTGGTGACAATTCCATGTTAATAATAGCCGTCCTTTTGACAGGGAGCTATATTTTTAGAAGGTTTTTGTTCTGTTTTGTTTGGGGACCTGTGGCAGGAAATTAAAGAAAATAACAATGAACATAAACATATTTTTTCCCCAAACAGAAGGGAGGTTGATGAAAACATCTACTCTACCATTTATATTCTCCAGGGGGAAAGCTTGGTGAGTCAGGCACTTTAAGTGATCGCAATGTAGCTAAAGGAGAGGACGGAATTATTCTAGCAAATAACTAGCCAATGATAGGCTTAAAAATAGAGGCATTCATAATAAATGCCTGAAAGAAAAGAGCTGTTTTGCAAAGCAGCAAGATAATGGGTCTCGTCTGCAGTTGTCTCTCTCAGTAAGAAATCGCCTTCCAGGTACACCTATTTTCAAGAATGCATAATTAGTGGTGCAAAAATTGCAGAGAGACCAATAAGCAGCAGGAGACCTTTTACTGGCTCCGTTTGCACTGAAGGATAACCTATTCACATCAAGATCAACCTCTTTGTGACTGTGCCATGGGTCAAGTTCTAACCCAAGGTGTGGGATGGTGTCACTTCATTGTGTACTACCCTGCAAAGATGGTAGATCAGGATCTCCTGGTGAATTTTGGTGTGAGTTGCAGTAGAGCCGCAAAGATTCCTGACTCCCACTTGTTCAGAAATGGCAATGACAAAATAACTCCCCCATCACCATAAAAAATACATTGCGGAAATTTTAAAAAAGTTATGTGGCAAGATTGTGCACTCAGTTCAGTTCTGATCCTCCAAGCAAATTATGGGGCTCCGAGTTCTTTCCTGTTAAATGTGTGTCTTTTGCACCTGAATCATCAGGGATGATTGTTGCCTCCAAATGTCAGACTCCATTTCCCCTTCAGCCCCGGCCAGCATGGCCAATGGTCAGGGATGATAGGCGTTGTAATCCAACAACGTTTGAAAAGCCACAGATTCCCCATTCCAGCTGCATAATATGAGTTTACATTGTTCAGACTTTAGAAGTCTAAACAACTGACCCAGAACATTCCTGAGAAATAAAGTCTAGAACTTGTTTACAATTATGTGCCTCACCCTGGCTTCCGTTTTCTTTTTAAAACGAGAAGCCTGGTTCATTTTTTAAAAAATGTTTATATCCTGCCTTTCTTCTGTCATGGAACTCCAAGTTGGTGCAAATGTACAGTTGTACCTTGGTTTTCGAACAGTTTAATTCTCAAACGTTTTGGCTCCCGAATGCCGCAAACCCGGAAGTGACTGTTCTGGTTTGCAAACTATTTTTGGAAGTCGAACGTCCAACAGGGCTTCCACAGTTTCCGATTGGCTGCAGGAGCTTCTGCAATGTAGTTCCCAGGCCATCACCCATCCAAATCTTTCATCTCTCACCTGCTCTTTCGGCATACCAGGTTACCTGCCAAACTCCACCCACTCTGCCGTCTTAGAATTATGACAGAGCAATCTGCTGAGTCACATTATAAATGACTATGTACATTCCTGGAACATGGTGATAGAAGTTACTGTTTTGAAGCCAATGTTTAGTTCAGCTTTCTTTCTTTTGTGACCTGTGCTTAATCTCTGTCTCTGTATTTCTGCCTACAACCTTAAAATAAGATGTAATTTCTTTACATAACTCCTGTAATTTGTAGTGCTCCTGATGTTTAGCCTGGAAATCCTAAAAAGGCACTGCTACACCCTCTAAGCTTTAAAGTACCTTGGTTTTACATCACAAGTAGTGTAATCCAATTCTTGTTTATGCAGAAGTATGTTACATTGTGTCTAATGGAGTCTAATCCCAGTACAGTAGATGTGTTTAAGGTTATAGCCTAAGTGGCTCAGTAAGTAATAACGGTTGCAATCCTGAATATTACTTACTAGGGTAAACTTGCATAGAATTGCCACCTGCTTTAAATGTATGGTGCCCATGCAAAAACTAGTCACTTCAATTTCTTGGTTTTGCTAACATTCTAGCCCAGTTCCTGTGGACACAAATGTACTTTCCCACTGATCAGTGGAGCAATGATACTAATGTTTGAGCTTACATAATGGTTTGTCTGCTACATTCTATCAGGTATAAAATCAGCAGCAGCAGCTCTTATGCTGTCCTTCATTATCAAAACTACCTCAGGGTAGTGTACAAAACATATCAAACCAACAAGACACACTTGCAATTCTATGCAAGTTTACCCTAGTAAGTAATATTTAGGATTGCAACCCTTATTACTTACTGAGAGCCAGTGTGGTGTAGTGGTTAAGAGCGGTGGACTTGTAATTTGGTGAACCGGGTTCGCTTCCCCGCTCCTCCAAATGCAGCTGCTGGGTGACCTTGTGCCAGTCACACTTCTCTGAAGTCTCTCAGCCTCACTCACCTCACAGAGTGTTTGTTGTGGGGGAGGAAGGGAAAGGAGATTGGTAGCCGCTTTGAGACTCCTTAGGGTAGTGATAAAGCAGGATATCAAATCCAAACTCTTCTTCTTCTACTACTAAAGTACAAAACAAATACATTAAAATGCAGACATAAAAGAAGTACAATAAACCTCAGTAAAAATTATCAGAACAAGGCTGGCAATAAAAACAGCAGAATGCTTAAATGAACAAAGCAGCCTTTAACAGATGCTGAAACAACATCACAGGTGGTAACTGCCTTACACACACACGTGTGTGTGCGCGTCTCTGTGTGTGACACAGAGAAAGAGAGAGATTTCAGAGGTTGGGTGCCACTGCAAAAAAAGTTCATCGCCTGGTTGCCATGAGATCTAAAATGGGTTAGATGCACCAAGGAAAAATTAAACTTAATGTAAAGGTAAAGGTACCCCTGCCCATACAGGCCAGTCGTGTCCGACTCTGGGGTTGCATGCTCATCTCGCTCCAGAGGCCGTGAGCCGGCACCGTCCGAAGACACTTCCGGGTCACATGGCCAGCATGACGAAGCTGCAGCTGGCGAGCCAGCACCAGCGCAGCACACGGAAACACTGTTTACCTTCCCGCTATAAAGCGGTCCCTATTTATCTACTTGCACTTAGGGGTGCTTTCAAACTGCTAGGTGGGCAGGAGCTGGGACCGAACAACAGGAGCTCACTCCGCCGCAGGGATTCGAACCGCTGACCATACAATCGGCAAGTCCTAGGCACTGAGGTTTTACCCACAGCGCCACCCGCGTCCCTTTAATGTAGAGGACCATTAAATATGGGCTGGTCTGAGACATTTGGCTGCCTGAGCCAGAATAGCAAATGGCAAACACATCAAGTAAAGATGCATAGTACCTAAGGAGATTTTGGCACAAAAGGCAGAACAGCCTATAAGCACTCTCCCCCCTCTCCTCCCTGGTGGCAAAAGGACTGTACAACAATAATAAAGTCACTAACAGTTTGCTACCCTTTCACAATATCCCAACCAGCTCCTGATACAGCTGCCTCACTCCGTCTAATGGTAGCTCCAAAGTGTGTGTCTAATGCGTCTCCTTTTTAATGCCTTGTTGAAAAACAACTTTTCCTTATTCTCAGGAGAATTTGAATTCTTCACAGTAGAGGGCACTAAAGAACAGTCTTACGACGGAGGAATCCTAGTTTTCATAGGAATGCCTGTGCCTCTGTGACCAAGCATGCAAGCTGGACACGGTTGTTATGTGTAACATATGTTTCCAGTTAGGTGGAATTATGAGTCCAAATAGCTCAGAGATTGCTTTCTAAGTTCCCATTTTTAAATGTGCATTTTAGGTTCCTCAATTCTCCCATGCAGAAACTGGACTAACACAGCATGACTAAGGGAAGCCTTTCCAAATAGTGGGCTGGCTGCGTGGCATAAACCGCTAGCAGTTTCTATGGGACAAGAGTCTTCATTTTGTGTAAGGCAAACAGAATAAACATTGGGCAAACAAACAGAGAATTTCTTTACAATAGTGCAGTTGAATGCCTTAACCCACCATCTGTCCCACCTTCCTTTCGCTGAATTAAGGATTGCTTGCATGGGATTCCCAGGCAGTCTCTCTCTTTCCCATTCAGACACTGACCAAATCAATCTTAACTTTAGCAAAGTTGCTGCATCTTGTGCCTTTGGACCCGAGCCTATAGATTTTATATAGCATGCAATTTGATGATGAAGAGAAACTTACAAGGCACTGGTGTTCTGCAAAATGTGATCTAACAGGTAAAGATTATGAAGGAATTTGTATATTAAAGTATAAGTTATAAATAATAACAAAAAAATGCTGTGTTCTCTTTGGTGTAAACACTGGTGTTGAAGCTCTTAATTTAGTGCAGCTGGATGGTGATCCTTAAAACCTTTCTCATTCTCAAAGCGGACTTTGGACTTTGACTAGCAAAGGATTAGTACTGACTGATATGACTACACATTATATCATGCCTTTTTTTTTTGCAGGCACATTTTAAAGCAGGCACATCAAGGAAAGTATTCACTGCAATTATAGTTTTTTTTTTTTCTCACCAGGGAAGAACTCCAGGAAACCAAACTATTCCCACTATATCTACAAACTTTAAATAAATAAATAAAAAGAGTTATAGTGTCAACAGTTCCCCCCCCTTAATGTGTTACTTGTATCGATTCCCTTTAAGATTTTTGACAGCCTGCCATTTATTCCTATCAACATATTTCAGTGTGACAGCTGCCCACTGGCTATAATGTAATGCTGGAGCCCCACATACAAACAGTAATGGGGGAACTTAGATGGACTACGAAGGTGCCAAGAGTTCTGATAAAAATGCCCTGGGACCTTGCAGAAATCAGCAGGGGATAGAGAACACAAGAACTATAAAATAAGCAGTGCCATATCATTGGCGTATCTACACCCATAGGCTTAATAGCTAACTTTGGGAAATGCAGTTCTGTGAAGGGGTCTAGGGATCTACAACACAAGATTCTCGATACCCTTATCAAGCCAAAGCTGCTTGTTCTCTTTGGGACTAAGCCATGATATTAAATGGTACAGATGTTCTGGATCATGGGTGTACCATCTATTCATACACAGAGACAGCATGTTTTCTAATATATCCTTAGCATCATGGGGGGGGGGGATACAGTCTTTAATTCTGACTCTCCATAAGTCGCTGGACTCCAATTCCCATGGAGTTCACAGAAGGTGATCGAGTTGTAGTCCAATAACACCTGGAGGGCCACAGATTCCCTATCCCTGCTTTATTTAAAAACGATGGAAGACGAGATTTTTCTGGAGCAAAAATCAGGCAACTATACAACCTTATCTGTGTAAAGAATCTCCTTCTTCCTCACTTTTGTCCAGTACCCAGGATTTTAGGTGCTTTATATAAATCATGAACTGCGTATACTAATTAGTCCAGAACTGTACTAATTAAGTCACAGCTGGAGGCAGTAATGCTTCTTGATACTAGGGGGTGAGGGTGGGTGGGGATGCTCTTGCCCCCAGGCCCTGCTTGAGGGTTTCCTATAGCTGGCCACTGTGGGAACAGGATGCTGGACTAGATGGTCCATTGGCCTCATCCAGCACACTCTATTTACATTCTTGACTGCCATCCAGCAACAGCAGAGAGGGAAGCAAAGTCTCTCCATCAGCTCTACTAAGAGACTCCTTGCTTCCTCAGAACTGTTTCCATTCAAGCTGATAATTGTATGAATCTTGCTTGTAACTTCTAGAATCGGTATCTGAGTTTGCTTGCTTTCCTCTTCCTCCCCGTCCCCTTTTTCAGCTGGAGAACTGGGTGAAAATGTTCTAAATTAATGAACAAATCATTGTGATTCACAGAAGACAACCCACTTTATAGGAAGTTGTTACAGAGATCTTACCTTATGGGCTATTCACACACCAGTCCTGAATGAATAGTAGGTAAGGTAAAGGTAAAGGACCCCTGGAAGGTTAAGTTCAGTCTTGTCCACAAGACAAGATTAATAGTAGAGAATGTTTGGAAAATCAAAAGCAGTTTACACACAAATTGCACTCTGGTTAAATCTATTTAATTTATCTTAGTACACCAGCTTACTTGTTAGCAGGTTCATTAATATTAAGTAAAACAAAATAACAACCAGCTTTAAAGCATATTTCTTTTAAAAAGCAAGTATTCTTGAATGAATTCTGTAAAGCTCAGAAGGTATATATAAAACGTATCAAAATTAACTATTATCTAGGTAGAAATATATCATTTTGGGAATGCAAAGGCTTGATTCTTCTGTCAACACTGGACAAGATAATTCTTTAAATGGCAGCTTTCGGAGATTTCCATCCATAAGGTTAAACCCAGCAAGCCAGCTTAATGCTTTTTCCAGTGAGATATTCATCTGATCTCTTACTCTTGGTGCCTAGGGCATTCCAGGAAGATGAGTTTTATTAAACACCATGACAGATACTTCTGTCCTATACACACAGGCTGCTTGATTGTCTACAGCTGCTTTGACTGGAGCAGGATAAACAGAGAGCTGTGCCAAGGCAACATCTAGTACCCAACAAATGGGGCAAAATTCTGCATGCCATACAGATGTCTTACACAACTCCCACCTGCTTTGTAATCCTAGGTGTAGCATTCTAGCTGCAAAGCAAGATTGCTGGGGCTACTTCCTATGCCTGCCCTGATTTCTCTGCCAAAAATGCCCTTGAGTGCCACATGAACTGCCCTAGACTATTGAGGATGTAAGGTGGCCCTCTGCACCACCAGTAGAACAAGAATTGTCATTTGCAATGCTGTCAGAAGCCACATGGTCCCAGGACAATGAGATCATAAGGAGCCACCTTATACTGAAATGGACCAACTGCTCATCCAGCTTGGTATTATTTATTTACACTGACTAGTAGTGGCTCTCCAAAGTTTCAGACATGGAGTCTTTCCCAGCCTCACCTGGAGATGCTGGAGAGTGAGCCTAGGAGCTTCTGCAGACAGACAGGTGGGAGACACTCACTTATGAATCATCTGACATCATGGCACCAGGTGGCCCATTTTTGCCTGCAGGGGTCTTCAGGATCATTTTGTGAGGTGCTTCACAAGACCCAAGTAGGACTTCGCAAGCACCACCCATCCGTGGTACCTGTAAACCCCCTTTCAGCTGAGCCAGGTCTTCATCTGCCCCACAACTGATGACATATATGAAGTCAAGGGTAGGGCAGGTGGGTGTGGCTTGGCCAAAATGGCCTTGGGGCCATGAGAGGAGGCCTAACTAGGTCTAAGTCGGCCTGTGGGCTGAAGATTCCTCACCCCTGACCTACAGTCACAGGTCAAGCAGGTGATACAGAAGAAGAATGAAAGTCTACCACAGAGTAGTGGTGGGGAAATGACATAATAGAGTAGGTGTGGGGAACCTCTTTTATAATGCTAGAATTCATGGACATACAATGAAGCTGAATGTTGGAAAATTCAGTATGTATTTTTAAAAATAAACACATAAACTATGGCACTTGCTCGCATAGTGCCCAATTTAGATGGGTTTGAAAGAGGATTAGATTCTTAATTCTATGAAAGGGCTATAGATGGATACTAGCCATGGCAGCTGTGCTCCACCTCCAGAGTTGGAGGCAGTAAAGCTTCCAAATACCAGTGCTGGAGACCACAGGAGATGAGAGTACTCTTGGGCTCAGGTCTTGCTTGAGAGCTTCCCATAAGCAGCTTGGCTGGCCACTGTGACAACTGGATGGCCTGATCCCGCAGGATCATCTTATGGTCTCACGTTCTAACCTGATGCTGCCGACCTACAACTCCCATAAACTCTTAGCTATTGAGACATGCTTGCTGAGGCTGATAGGAGTCATAGTTCTGCCACATCTGAAGGGCCAAAGGTTACCCACACCTTTAATAGAGGTTTATAAAAGTACGCATGGTGTGAAATTAGCACAGTGGTGGGGGAAATTATTCAGCTCTTCTGGGCAGCCTTCTGGGGGCTGCATGACAGTGGTGGGCAGGGCCAGAGGCAAAAGCAGGCAGAGCAATGAATGTAAATATTACCTTTGTACCACAGACTAGTTTATACACACACCCCTGCCTCTATACTCTATCCAAGCAAATGAAACTAATTATCTGCCCTCAAAAACACATTTCAGCCAGTGATGGTGGGCATGAGGCTGGTGAAAGTGGGCATGGCTTGCCAAAATATTCCCTTCCCTTAAGAGAGATAAAAGCACTACCAGGGCCTGGCAACCCTACCCAGAGAGCTCTCACAATTCTCCAGCTGAGAAACTGATTGCAAGCTGCTTGGCTACGTGATGGGTCCAATGCAATAATGTCCTCAAGTTCTTATTTTGTCAAATAATTTCTCTTCCCAATTCCCCCTTTTCATCCATCTTTTCTGGTCTTTGCCTGCTTCTGCTGTTGCTCCTGCGTGCTCTAACATGTAGACCAGGGATGGGTAACCTGTGGCTCTGCAGATGCTGTTGGACTCCAATTCCCATCCAGCATGGCCAGTGGTCAGGGATGATGGGAGTTGTAGTCCAACAACATCCAGAAGTTCCCAATCTCTGATACAGACATTCCGTAGATGCAGCTTTTCCTGCCTCTGTGGAACACCAGCCCACCATGCAGCTTTACTAAGGCTTGACCAGAATTATGAAAACTTCCTCTCTTTGTTTTCCTTTCATGTGTCTCCCTTACCTGTCACTCTACCTCCATTTCCTCCTACATGCTGTCCTTTTCTTTGTCCACAGATTTTGCTTTTGTCAAGGCCAGCCCGACTAATAGGCGGCAGTACAGTCTGGTCCATTGGGCTGAATGGGGCACTACCGCACCAACTTCAGTTTACCCTCAGTCAACCTCCATCTCCCTACCTTTTTTTCAATTATAATTGGTCCAAAGGATGTAACTGGCTTTCAGCTTCCTCCTCCTTAGCTTCAGTGTTTCCTGTGCAGAACTCAGCAAGGAGGAGTTTAGGGACAAAATTAGAATTAATTGACTTTGCCTATCATTGACCGTGGTTGTGCCTGTCATTGGCTCTGGCTCTACCTACTGTTGGCCTCCTGCCTTACACGCCAGCAGTCCCAGTGGAGACCAGTCACCACTGTTAGGCAAAGGTGGCTGCCTCAAGGGGTGAGGAATGGAGGTGAGGTGTTGAAGGACAGAGTTGTGCATGTCGCATAGTCTGCCCTTTACGTCTCAGGCCTCATGTGTGGCGGGGGGCACTGTCCTGCCACCAATGTTCATTCAGCTGACAATCCAGTTGAATTTTGCACATGGAATGGGAGGTGGGGTGCCATCCTTGCCTCAGGCGGCCAAATGTCTTGGGCCAATCCTGCTGGTGAGTGGTTGACACACAATTACTATATTTCTAAAGCTAGCCCAGCTAATCAACGTTTTGTTCTTTTGGCCTTACTCATTCTTTTGATCAAAGCACTTATCAGAGAACTACTCAAGTCCAGAGCAGCAAATGAGCCATCCCGAATGTTCAATCTGATCTATTTTTTCTTTCTTGCTGCTGAGTTGGGAGACATTTCTGAAGACGAAGTTTCAGTGAAAGGGAAATTTGGCCAGGTGCTTCAACGACCGTTCCTTCCATCTTCAACCCAAATGTGGCAGGCTGCAAGTCTTAACGAAACGCCGTAGCTATTGAAACAGCCACTCCAAGAGGAGATGAGTAGGCATTAGCTAATCCCTGCAGACCGAGTACCAGATAACGGCATCCTTTTTGCAGCGCTTTGCCCACATTCTAGAAGAAAAGAACAGAGAACACTACTGAAGAGCAGGACATACTCAAGAAAGTGACAGCATATACCCCAGGTTTCCTCAAGGTGGCATATATGGGTCTCCCAACCTCTCCATTTTAATCTCACAACAACCCTGTAAGGTAGGTTAGGCTGAGGGATTGTGACTGGCCCAAGGTCACCCAGTGAGTTGAAATTTGAACCCCTGTCTTCCAGGTCCTGGTCCAACACTAACCATTACACCACACAGATTTTTTTACATTTATTTTCAGCTTCAAAAAATATTACTTGAGTGAGGCTCTGTTCTCACAATGCTTTCTGGTCACAGGGTATAGGAAAGCCAGTGCAGTGTACAGTGGTACCTCGGGTTACATACACTTCAGGTTACATATGCTTCAGGTTACAGACTCCGCTAACCCAGAAATAGTACCTCGGGTTAAGAACTTTGCTTCAGGATGAGAACAGAAATTGTGCTCCGGCAGCGCGGCAGCAGCAGGAGGCCCCATTAGCTAAAGTGGTGCTTCAGGTTAAGAACAGTTTCAGGTTAAGAACGGACCTCCGGAATGAATTAAGTACTTAACCTGAGGTACCACTGTACTAGAAAGAGTTGTGTACTCAGATCTGGGAGACAAGGGTTTGAATCCCTACTTAGCCATGAAGCTCACTGTGGAGCTGGTCACCATCTCTCAGCCTACACTACCACACAGAGTTACTGGTTAATGGTATGGGGTGCAGCCCCTTAGTTCCTTGGGGCAGGGAACAGGATACATTTGTAACAAAGGCCAGCTCACACGTGAGACAAGGTGAGGCGATCATCTCAGGTGCAGGGATCCACAGGAGCAGCAGGTTCTGATATAGATTTTTATCCCCCTCCCCCTGGTTTCTGATGCAGATCTCCACTTACCTATTCTACTCTGCTGGGGAGCAGGGCACTATTTTGTGGTTTGCCTCAGGTGCCAAAATGCCTTGGGCTGGTCCTGGATACCATGTTGATTTCATCTGAATGTGACTTTTGAAAGCGGTCAGAGACAGCATTTATCACATTCATGCAAGGCTTTGTTTTCCATGCAATTCCTCTATATGGTATCACTTTCATTGGCCAACCTACGTACATATATATGCACACATACGGACATCCCTTTCCTGCCTTATACCTCAAAGGGTTCTCAAGACAGCTTACAAATAATGTAAACCCAAACAGAAAATATACAATGCAATCCCCCACCTACCCCCAATTCCTTCTCACCAAAACCACTTCCTTTACACTGCCTGCACCCCTTTAGGAAGGCACATCAAGCGCCTCAGAACTCCATTAAAATCTGAGAAGAGGAAGAACTGTGAGGGGAGAGAGAGACCATGTTTGCCATCAGGGAATGACTGTTTCCACCTGCCTTGCACCACCCTTCAGCAGGAGTGCTAGATTGGCTCTACTGGTGCATTTGCACTATGCCATCATCCCTACCTTCCTCCCCTTCTCCTGACAACTCATGGGGTCAGGTGAGTACCACCACTCTACCATGGCATCTGTTACTGCCTACGGAAGCTGCTTCCAAAATAAATCAGTGGGGAATTTCTGGTCTTTGGTTTGTTTGGTTTTGCTAGGAGCTAATGTCATCAGCTTTGCAATATTCAATATTTTTGAATATTGGTGACCTTTGTGTTCACTTAAATTTTGTCGGGGTTTTTTTTTTTGTAATTTGTTGTAATTGTGTTCTACTTTTTATTAGGTATCGTTGTTGCACTGCTCTCTTTAGACTTTCTTTTTATGTGAATCTATGACTATCACCTTTTTGAAAAAAACCTTTATTTAGATAGGTAAGGTTGTTGCCTTTATTTTATAACATAATAAGTAACAAGCCTTAAGGAATAGAGGGTTGAAAGGACATTAAAAAGAACAAAAGGCAGCTCCCCCAGATTCATGCTGAGACAAATGAAACAAAACCTCACTGGAAGCTGGAGGCTGCTATGCTGTTTTTGCAGCAAATACTTGGTGCTGAAGGAGTGTATGAGACTCCCTGGAATTCAAGCTATTTCCTTTAGACTGAGATTGCCTCAAGTACTAGATTACACAACACCAGCTATCTATCACCATGGGCTCATTCATCAATTCATACTCAGGAAAAACTTAGTTGTGGATTGTTGAGTGAGTCTGAATAAAGGCTTGGTCATATCAACAATATACATTCAAAACACTAGGATACCACATTAATTATCAAAAGCTAATGCTATTCTAGGCTGCATGAACAGAACTATAGGGTCCTCATCAAGGGGCATAATAGTTCCGCTCCATTTCGCCTTGAGCATACCACTCCTGGGGTACTGTGTCCAGTCCTGGGCACCACAATTTAAGAAGGATATTGACAAGCTGGAATGTGTGCTACGAGGGCTACCAAGATTATCAAGGTCACCTTATGAGGAATTGGAGTCGGATATGTTTATCCTGGATAGGAGGAGACTGAGAGGAGATATAATAGCTATCTTCAAATATCTAAATGGCTGTCACATGCAAGATGGAGCAAGCTTGCTTTCTCTTTCTCTGGAGGATTGGACTCTAACCAATGGCTTCAAGTTATAAACAATGAGATTCCAACTAAACGTTGGGAAGAACTTTCTGATGGTAAGAGCTGTTTGGCAGTGGAATGGACTCCCTTGGAAGGTGGTGGATTTTCCTTCATTGGAGGTTTTTAAGAAGAGGTTCGATGGCCATCTGTCATGGATGTTTTAGCTGAGATTCCTGTATTGCAGGCAGTTGAAATAGTTGACCCTCAGGGTCCTTTCCAACTCTTCAATTCTATGAAGTGGCTAAATTTTGGCCCTTTGGTCCAAACTACAGTGGTACCTTGGGTTACATACGTTTCAAGTTACATACGCTTCAGGTTACAGACTCCGCTAACCCAGAAATAGTGCTTCAGGTTAAGAACTTTGCTTCAGGATGAGAACAGGAATTGTGCTCCGGCGGTGCGGCAGCAGCAGGAGGCCCCATTAGCTAAAGTGGTGCTTCAGGTTAAGAACAGTTTCAGGTTAAGTACGGACCTCCGGAATGAATTAAGTACTTAACCTGAGGTACCACTGTAATTCTAAAACTTGCTGCAGCTGCAAACTTAAGGCAGGGCAGTGATTGAACTTGTGACCCTCTAGTTGTTGGACTACAAATTCCATCATCCCTGACCACAGGCCATGTTGGCTGGGCTGATGGGAGTTGTAATCCAACATTATCTGGAAGGTTCAGAGTTCCTCATCTCTGTGATAGGGCCTACAAATAGTTGCACAATCACACCTCTTTAAAATGCACTGGTGCAGCCAACTCCCTATCAAATGCTTAGAATTGTATGAAGTCATTGGTGCAAGATCAGAATAAATTCCTGTTCAAGGAAGAGAAAGATGAAGCTGGAAAGCCACCAACAGAGGTGGTCACATAGAGGACATAATTGTCTCATCCTCTATCTAGCCTTGGCCAAATTACTTCACCTCTTTTGTTTCATTGGGCCTGGCAGAGATTGTGTCATAAAATGCTTGGACCTTGGCCAAAACAATGGAGCCCTGATTTCAGCAGGGTTCAAGGTACTTTCCAACACAAACATACAGCATGACCTTTGTGTTCATTTCCTATACACGATGAAGCAATATTTAAGAGGCGGGATGTGAAAGTCTCACCGAAACCTGTAGCAAATGACACAGACAACAAATCATGGCCATCAAACTCCCTGTGTACATACATTATACCTTTAAATCACATTTGAAGCACATTTGCCCCCTCAAAGAATTCTGGGCACTGCACTTTGTTAAGGGTTACTGGAATTGTAACTCTTTGAGGGGTAAACTACAATGCCCATAATTCTTTGAGGAAAAGAATGTGTTTCAAATGTGCTTTAAAGGTGACATGACTGCTGCATGTTGAATCTCATATACAAGACTATCAGCACCAACACGTGAGCTAATCATCCTTTCAGTTGACCCATACAATATATGAAATTTCCACAGACAACCTGATGCTTACTATTTTGTCCAGGGATAGGGAACCTATGGCCATTGTCCCTGACTGAATGACCTTGGACCAGTCACTTGGGACAGAGTAACCTACTTCACAGGGTTGTTGTAAGGATAAAAGGGGAAAGGGTCATTTATATCCCAATGAGTTCAAGGTGACATACATGGCTCTCCCCACCTCTCCGTTCTCTCCTCACAACTACCCTGTGAGGTAAATTAGGCTGGGAGACAGTGACTGGCCAAAGGTCACCCAGTGAGCTTCCTGGCTGAGTGGGGATTTGAACCCTGGTTTCCCAGGTCCTGGTCCAACATTCTAACCACTACACCACACTGGCCACCTTGACCTCCTTGCAGAAAAGGGTTGGTATGAGGGAAAGACTGGTAATTCCAATGGCAGAGCATGTAGAAGTTCGCAGGTTCAGTCCCCAGGTAGTGCTGAAACCCTGGAGAGCCCCTGATAGTCATTGTAGACTGAGCAAGATAGACCAATGGTTTGATTCAGTATAAGGCAGCTTCCTATGTTCTTAAAAGGACAGGTATACATATAATGAATTAATTAATAAACAAACAAACAAACAAACAAACAGCAAGAGTAGTATTTTCAGTGGTAAAACTCTTGCAGTAAACCAGCAGCAAAGTGTTAATGCTGATGCAGTCGGACACAGAACGGGAGGTCTATTATTTTATCTCTTTGTCTCTGTTGCAGAGGGTGGGAAACGAACCTCACACTTCTTGCTAATTGGAACATTGTCAAAGTAAGGATGCCAAGCCAAGAAATGTCGCACAAAGAGATGCAAAGCATCTGTCACGTGGATAAGCTTAGAGTATTTTACAGACTGAAATGGCAGGTCTCTCTTTTGATCTACAGGAATGCTGGCTTCAGCTCAGATAGGACTGGTTTCTTCTTAAAAGGGAAAGGGAAAAGGGGGGGGGGAGGTGAAATCCAACAGGCTCCTTCACTGGATTTAACTTGTTATTTGTTTTTTTCAAAGACAGTTCTGTTTGTGCTGCAAGAGCAGCCTTCTGCCACAAGAATTATCCAAAGAAGATCGCATGAACGTAAAGTTGTTATTACGTACTTCTAAGTGGAACCTGCAACAAAATGTGGCACTCTTATTTTCAGGGTTCCAACCACTCAAGTTCCCCTTGTCCCCTCCCAACAGACAACAGTCAACCAACCAGCATTCTGTAGCCACTGAGCAGCACTCTCAGTCCTCACTAGGTTCTTTGCAGGGAGGAGTGTCCTTCACCTTTTATCTAAGGATATATAGAGACTTAATTCTCAAACCTGGTTATGAACTTCCTCAAACCTGCTAAGAGGGTAAGAGGCCTCTTCTGGATCAGGCCAGTGGCCCACACCCACCTAGTGCAGCATCCTGCTCTTACAACCAGATGCCATGGGAAGCCCAAAAGCAGCACCTGGGCACAACACTCTCCATCTTCTGCTGTTTCCCTGCTGCCAGCATTCAGAAGTATGCTGCCTCCATCAGTGGAGGTAACAGCACAGCCATCAGTTAGTAGCCAGTCACTGAGATATCCCTTCTTGTTTTCTGTGTGCTGTTTTGCCTACAGAAACAACAGCAATCACACCTGGGGCACTGAAAACAGAGGAATGTATTATGCCTCACCTATCTGTCTACATGAAGTTCCATAAGGGGAAAAAATCAGATCCCTTTTCCCAAGTAGTTTGCAATGTAAATAGGCAACAGGGGAGATAAAATGGGGTTTGGAGAGAGAAGCAAATGTAATAGTAATAGTAATTTATTATTTGTACCTCACCCATCTGGCTGGGTTTCCCCAGCCACTCTGGGCAGCTTCCAACAAAGATTAAAAATACATTAAAATGTCACACATTAAAAACTTCCCTGAACAGGGCTGCCTTCAGATGTCTTATAAATGTCAGGTAGTTGTTTTTCTCTTTGACATCTGATGGGAGGGTGTTCCACAGGGCGGGTGCCACTACTGAGAAGGCCCTCTGCCTGGTTCCCTGTAGTTTAGCTTCTCGCAGTGAGGGAACCGCCAGAAGGCCCTTGGTGCTGGACCTCAGTGTCCGGGCAGAACGATGGGGGTGGAGGTGCTCCTTCAGGTATACTAGACCGAGGCCGTTTAGGGCTTTTGTGTGAGCAAAAGCAGGTTTACGCACGTAATACTTTGCTACAGGGAGATGGATTAAGAGGTTTTTAAGCTTTGTAGAAAGACTTGGATTTTGAGGAGGGTGTTGAAGGGGTGGGGCAGACAGACAGACAACAGAGAGATGGGAGGGAGGGAGAGAAAGAGAGAGAGAGATGTACATGGTCGGGGAGCAAGGAGAAAATTTCACCCATACTGGGCAGCATAGGAGAATGTGCAGCAGGAGACTCACTTGAAGGTGGCAAAGCTGAAGGTGTGGTTGTAACAAGCAAACCAGGGCTGGTGTGCTCTAGAGCAGTCAAGATCAGCAGCACTGTCCTAAACAAAGTAATACATGCTCTGATAACCTCCAAGCTACATTACAGCAATGCACTCAAGGTGGCTTTGAAGATGGTTTGGAGGCAGCAGCTGATGCAAAATGCTTCAGTTGTTTGGAATCATGCAATACCTCTTCTGAAGAGTATGCAGTGGCAACCTACATGCTACAAAGCCCAAATCAAGGTTTTAATGCTTCCCTGAAGGAGTAAGGACCCAGTTATCTAAAGAATCACCTCCCTTGGCATTGTCCTGCCTGGGCATTTAAGATTTGTCAGGAAGGTCCTTCTTGTCACTCTCTCACTAAGCAAAACCTTAGGTGCTTTAGCTTGAGACAGGGCCTTCATGGTGATGGCGCCTTGAATGTGACATGTTCTTCCCTCGAGGCATGATTGGCACCAACACGGTTCAACTATTGGCACCAGCTGAACAAATGCATCAGAAGGGTGTTCAGATATTGAGCCACCTGGTACAGATACAAAATGAGCTTATATATGCCCATTCAACCACTTTGAGGAACTAGCGCTTTTACAAGTACTGTACCACAAAATATTTGTCCTGCACTGGTAGGGAACTGAATTTTCAGCAGCACTTACATTTTTTTAACTCCTAGCCGATTGATATTAGGCAGGTGCCTTCACTGTATTGTTTTTAGTACCTGCTAAATTATTTATTGCTTAGGCAAGCCCACCCACATATGTAAGGTTGTCATGCATTTTAATAGGCTTTTTTAAAAGGTATATTTAAAACCACTGGTTTTATGTATACTTCAATTGTTTAGGCCAGCTTGTCTTTAACTTCTGCTTTTATTGACAATTATAATGTAATTATCTAATCACACCCTTCCTCCAAAAGGAAGTATGCCAATTAGAGGTTTTGACAAAAGGCATACATATTTTATAATTAAATAAATAAATATTACTATTCATGCTTGAAATAGTTTTATTAACTAGTTTTATATTGTTTTTATCTGAATGTGACCCTACTTGAGTTTGCTTTTTAGTGAAGGAAGTGATACAAAATTTTCTAAATAACTAAAACAAAATGGAATTTAAAACAATAAACTTTTAATGTACAAATGTAAACAACTGATTGCATTCAGGATAGCACAGTTACAAGGAAAATGAACATTCTTGCCTCCTGCCACTTTGTCACCTGATACACATATGCATATATAGGATCCACCCTATTCTTTTTATTGTAATTTGTTTTAACGGATTTTAATATTGTGTTTTTATATTGTTGTGACCCACACTGGGACCATTTGATGAAGGGCAAGTAAGGAATCAAATTACTACTATTAATTTTATTATCATAAGAATTTTGGTTTCGGCATTTATTAGACCCTTTTCTTCTTTAATGAGATTCCCTCCCCCCCCCCCGACTGTTTTAAATAGTGTTGCTGCCAGCTATCAAGACCAGCTGCTGTATTAATTATAACAAAATTAACTGTTATTAATTATGAGGACAAGAATTCAGCTTTATTAATCAGGCATCTGAAAAGTAAGGAGCTAAGCTTTTAATGATCAAAACCTGAAATGAAATAAACTAACTAAATGATTTTTTTAATAAAAAATTAATAAATCCACATTTTTAGAGAACATTGAAAACGGCTCATATGCAGGATGCCACTGTGTCATACATCTTGCCAGATTCTCACTGGAGCACCAACAAAAAGAAATCATGGCTATCTTTCATTGATACACAATTGCTACACCATTGCATTTTTTATTATCTCTTTTGTACCTACAACCACCCAATTCAGATTTGTAACCAAGTCTCATCACAGTGACTTGCCAAAGGCAATTTTATATAGTTGCACTTGATTCAATAATTTCCACAGCATGTATACTTTGCAGGTTTTCTTTTTCATCCTGAAAGGAAGTGTGCAAAATAGAGCAGTTATTTTATCTGCCAAGCCATTGAAAATCTACCATAGTGTTTTTGCCAGTTGAATAAGTTCCTGGTTTATTTCTTCATATGTTTTTGTTTTTATTTTTTTGCCTCAGTTTTTATTGTTTGGTTTAATATTGAATGGATATTTGTATTTTTTTATACAGCTCGATGAAATCTATATATGGATGAAGATTTGCCTCTTTCAATACTTTTAACCATTATGGGATTCTTAACTTAGTCCTCATCCAACTCCAATGTGGAGTGCTGGTTTTAACTTACAGAGCCCTAAGAGGTGGGTAGGGAACCTGTGGCTCTGCTGATATGGTTGGGTTACAACTGCTTTCATCCCTGACCACTGCCCACGCTGGGGCTGATGAGAGTTGGAATCCAATAACAACTGGAGAGCAACCAAGTACCTTAAGAACCCCCTCTCGCTCATGACCTTGCTCTTAAATGAGCATCAGAGACCCTCCTACATCCATGGAAGTATAACAGAAAAGACGGTATTTTCCACTGAGGTACATAGTTAATGAAACACCCTCCCCTGACCACCCTCATTATTGTCTTTTTGACTTCAGGTCAAAATATTTTTTTCTTTGCACAGGCTGGCTGTTGTGCTGGAACCTTAACATGACACGGGAAGAAATTTCACTTCACTTTATGATAGCGAACATAGAGAGTGACTGTTATTTTGCATGACTTAATCTGGGTTTGGGAAATCTTTTAGCCACAAACACACACCTGGCCTCTCTGTGTGTTCATTTTAACACAAAAAGTCTCTTCATAGTCCATTCTTTTATTTCCTTTTATAAAACCATATAAAACCAGTGTTTCACAGCTGCTACAAGATTATCTTTCCTAATTAGAACAATAGACAGCAAAACTGACCCAGATCCCTTTTTGTCTCTGGAAAGCCCCACTCTGACCATGTGGTTTCTTGAATGATTCTTCCCCAAATCCATAGCTGTCAACCTTCCCTTTTTTTGTGGGAAATTCCCTTATTCCAGCACCATTTCCGGCTGCTATCCCGGATTGTTAGATATCCCGTAGACTGTCCCAGGGACAGGTGAGGCTGCTGATCCCTTATTTTCAAATCTGAAAGTTGACAGCTATGCCCAAATCCCTGAACTGAACAAACCAGACAACCTCCAAGATCCCGCCCAACTTCAACATCCTACAGTCCTTCAAAAGCAGGTGGCTTCAGACTTGCAATGAACATGCACCCAAGGTTGTCAACAACTGGGTCTGTTGCTATGAAAGTAAGAAAGGGCGGTCTTGGATCATTGTACAGAAGACCTTACGAATGCTGAGAGAACTGAACTGAGCACCATCCTAGACCCTCTACATGTTCTCTAGGAGTCATCTGAATAGAAAGGTTAAGCATATACCCTTGCACACAAGGCCAGCCCAAGACATTTTGGCACCTGAGGAAAACGATACGATAATCTTTATTGTCATTGTCCCATACAGAACAACGAAATTGAAAAAATCTACATCAGACATTCAAAAACCCACAAGCCTACTATCCCAGTTATCCCAGCCTGGTTAGCCCCTAAAAACAAGGGCTTTCACACCCAAGCCCACCCGGGAAGAAGGGGTGAGTGAAGATCTGCATCAGGAACAAAGGAGGAATAGAGATCTACATCAGGATCTGCTGCCCCCGTGGATCCTGCCACCTGAGGTCAAGGGTACCAACTTGAATAAAATATTGGGGAAGCCCAGGTAAGTCCTGTCCCATATAACTGATCGCATGACATGGCACATGCACACCATGTGAATGGCAATGTCCATCAACTTAGGGGGCTCTGGCACCCTCAAATATTTCTTGGGGGGGGGGTAAGGGACCTCCACCCCTAGGAGTTGGCTCCTGTGCCTGAGGCGGTTGCCTCACTTAGCCAGCCTCCTGGATGGGTCGGCTCTGCTTGCACGCCACTCAGACCAAATACAGTGGTACCTCGGGTTAAGAACTTAATTCGTTCCGGAGGTCCGTTCTTAACCTGAAACTGTTCTTAACCTGAAGCACCACTTTAGCTAATGGAGCCTCCTGCTGCTGCCGCGCATGATTCTGTTCTCATCTTGAAGCAAAGTTCTTAACCAGAGGTAATATTTCTGGATTAGCGGAGTCTGTAACCTGAAGCGTCTGTAACCTGAAGCGTCTGTAACCTGAGGTACCACTGTATCCCACATTCCCGCAACATAACTCAAGGTGCCTATGTTGCGGTTGGGTGAGATCCAGTTTTTTACCACTCTGACAACAAGGTGCTAGTGAAGTGTGGTGGAGCCAGTTCAACAATCCGATGCGTCCAGAAGTCCCCCAGCTCTTTTTAAATACAGTGGTACCTCGGGTTACATACGCTTCAGGTTACATATGCTTCAGGTTACAGACTCCGCTAACCCAGATATAGTACCTCGGGTTAAGAACTTTGCTTCAGGATGAGAACAGAAATCGTGCAGCAGCGGCATGGCAGCAACGGGAGGCCCCATTAGCTAAAGTGGTGCTTCAGGTTAAGAGCAGTTTCAGGTTAGAAACAGACCTCCGGAACTAATTAAGTACATAACCCGAAGTACCACTGTATTTGTTTTATTATATATGACTGAAGCCTTCCCTCATCCTACCCGATAGCCGGGGCGCTGAGGCTGGGCAAGACACTCGCCTAGCGACCCCCGAATAACGGACCTGCGCGCGATGATCCGCCGGCTGAGGCGCCCCTGGTCCCGCCGCCCTCGCCGCCTACCTTGCCGTATTTCTTGAGCTTCCTCCTGCGCTTCTTGCTCTTGCGCTCGGCTTTGGGCTGCTGCTCGTCCCCCGCGCCGCCGAGAGGCTCGTACTTGTCCGGGAGGACGGCGAAGGCGACTTTCTTGGAGGCGCAGCCGGACTCCCCCTCCTCAGCGGGGCCGCTTGGGGCTGTCTGCCTCCTCTCCTCCTCCTCCTCCTCTTCTTCCTCGTCCTTTTCCAGGATAGAGATTTCGTCCTCCGCAGGCCCCCGCCGGGAGTAGTTGGCTCTCCGGGTCCCCCCGACGGTCATGGCGCCCGCAGGTGGCGAAGAGCCTGAGGCACCTTTGCTCCCTTCCCTCAGCCGAGCGCTCAGCAGGAGATCCGCGCGCGGGGCCGGCGGGAGAGAAGTAACAGGTGGCGCTCAAGGGACACTTTCGCATAGGCGGCGCCAGCGCCAAGGCCGCAGCCTGCCCTCCCTGCGTCCCCACAAAAGGGCAGCGGGCGGGGAGAGTCCGCTTCCCGAGGCTTGGCAGCTGATCCAAGAAGTCCAACATCCTGTGCCAAACGGCGCTGTTGACAACACACACACACACACCCATTTCCAGGGCTTCCTGTTGCACCAGGCACTTCACATACCGACGCACAATAGCCGTGATCGGTAGGCTCAGGCAGGGAAAACAATGGTGTTGTGTGCGACTGAACTCTTAAAACAAAAGGAAAAAGTGCTGCCTCAGGAGAAGGGCAATTTCCTCCCCGGGGTATTTGATCCATTGGCTTCTTCGGAAATTTATAAAGCTGATGGGACAGTTGATTTGGAAAAGTTTTCCCTGTCATCTTCTGCTTTTCCGCTTCCAGACCCAATAAAGTGTGAGGCCTTGAGATGAAAAAGATGTTGAAATATACATTTTTTTAAAAACCATAAGCATTTTTTGCTTGGTATTATAGGTCAGGACATTAATAGGCAAGATGTTAAATTGTTTTTATATGCAACAACTGCAGCAAGAGTATTGTTAGCCCAGAAATGGAGACAAGAAGAAATTCCGACGAAAGAAGAACGGCAGACAAAATTAATGGACTATGCAGAATTGGACAAAATGACAGGAAGGATTCAAAACCTGCGGGACCAGAGATTTACAGAAGATTGGAAGAAGTATATGAACTACTTGAAGAGCAACTGTAATCAACAAATTATGCTAGTAGGACTACAATAAGTTTTGTAAGGAGAAATATACGAAGTGTTGCAAAGTAGAAAAAGATAGAGCTATTGGTTATGAGTTTGAAATGTAATAGGGAAGATAAGAAATGCATACTAAGAGATCAGATTGGAAAATTTTCAGACAGGATTGCTGGAAGTCAAAAAAATTGAATAAGATGTAAAAATAAGCTTAATTACTGTTGAAAATGATATGTTAAAACACACACACACACACACATATAGATATATATATATAAGTTTTTTAACATATCATTTTCAACAGTAATTATATATATATAGTTGTTGTTTAGTCATTTAGTCGTGTCCGACTCTTCGTGACCCCATGGACCAGAGCACACCAGGCACTCCTGTCTTCCACTGCCTCTCGCAGTTTAGTCAAACTCATGCTGGTAGCTTCGAGAACACCATCCAACCATCTCGTCCTCTGTCGTCCCCTTCTCCTTGTGCCCTCCATCTTTCCCAACATCAGGGTCTTTTCCAGGGAGTCTTCTCTTCTCATGAGGTGGCCAAAGTATTGGAGGCTCAGCTTCACGATCTGTCCTTCCAGGGAGCTCTCAGGGCTGATTTCCTTCAGAATGGATAGGTTTGATCTTCTTGCAGTCCATGGGACTCTCAAGAGTCTCCTCCAGCACCATAATTCAAAAGCATCAATTCTTCGGCAATCAGCCTTCTTTATGGTCCAGCTCTCACTTCCATATATCACTACTGGGAAAACCATAGCTTTTACTATACGGACCTTTGTTGGCAAGGTGGTGTCTCTACTTTTTAAGATGCTATCTAGGTTTGTCATTGCTTTTCTCCCAATAAGCAGGCGTCTTTTAATTTTGTGGCTGCTGTCACCATATATATATATATATATATATATATATATATATATATATAGTGTGTGTGAGGTCTACTTGCAGCACGAGGCATTTCGCCGCAGCTCAGTGGGACAGGATCTGGTCCCAGGTTCAATCAGTGACCTCTCTAGGTAGGGCTGGAGTGTCCGTCCCCACCCCACCCCGCCCTAAATCCTGGACAACGGCTGCCAGTCAGTGTAGACAGACTGAATATGGTTGCTAGGAATCACAAGTGAGGCAAGTGATGTGGCGGTGAGGTCCTGCTTTCAGGCTGCCCATAAGCATGTTCTTGGCCACTGTGAGATGCTGGACTAGATGGGCTATTGGCCTGATCCAGGAGACTCTTCTTATGCTCATACGATTCATAAGCCTTATGCAAGCATTCTTTGAAATCAAGTTGACATAATGCATGTGGATTCTAAACTCCAAAGTGAGTCCAGGTTTGCAGGCATATTGCCTCTGCAAGAGAAGCGAGATCATTTTTTTTTTTGTTTAATGATATAAACCCTCCAGTACTTAATCTTCGCTAAACACTTCACTACACATCCATAAACCAGTTACATGAAATGATCACTTCCTCCTCCTATTTTATGCTATTTCATCTTTAGTTCAGTAGCTCTTTGGTCGGAATTCATTAATAAGCTTATCTTGTTTTCATTTGATGTCGCTACTAAAGTAATTCCCCAAGTAATTAAGAATTTTACCATGCCTCACTGTCCGAGCTCTGTACTAGAAGTGTTCTTTTGATTACTAAGATATTGGGAATTATATACATTTTCCTCCAGCAGAAGCTGTCATAAAGAATCTAATCTTTCTCCCCCACCCCCAAAATCCCATTTTATTCTGCATTACTGGTTTCTAATACTCTATGTGAGAAAAAAGTACATTAATCCTGAGGCTGAATTTGGTTTAGCAACATGGGTTTTGGGGGATGGGGGTGGGAAGGGAATCTATCATTGTAAATATATTATAATTAAATGGCACAGCTGGCCAGCAGAGTCCCTAGAGGAAAATCACCAAACCTGTGAATCAAATTCATAGATCATCTAGCACTCAACAAATCTCTTCACAGCTGTACCACCTCATGGAAGAATGTAGCCAAAAGCAGAATCAGATAGACCCTTTAGACCAGGCATGGCCAAACTTGGCCCTCCAGTTGTTTTGGGACTACAATTCCCATCATCCCTGACCACTGGTCCTGTTAGCTAGGATGATGGGAGTTGTAGTCCCAAAACGGCTGGAGAGCCAAGTTTGGCCATGCCTGCTTTAGACTATAGGCTTCCTGTAAGGCACTGGGTTGGCCAATGTGAAGACACTTAGCTATATGGATCTTTGGCCTGATGCAGCATGCCTCTTAAGTTATTTGGATTGCAGGTCTAGCTGGGCTAGCTGTGTTTGTCTCAGCTTGGTTGCCTCATGTATATCCTGCACTTTGCCAAAATAATAGCCTCATTCTGGCCACATGACACTCTTCCTTATAGGAGCCAACTCCTAGGAGCTAAGGTCCTTTTGACCCCCTCAGTAAAATATTTGATGCCCCTCTGCAAGTTGATGGGCATTGCCATTTAAATGGTGTACACGACTTCTGATCAATTATGTGAGGCGTGGCTTACCTGCCCCCTGCAGCCTTCCTTGATTTCCTACAATAGGTTCCTGCTCACTCCCAGCTCCAGCAGATTAATTTGTTATTACTTTCAAAGACTGCCTTTGCTTTGCTCCCCACTTCACATCCCACCCACATCCAGATATATCCCTGCCTATTATCTTCTTTCCTCCAAGCTCCATCATCCTCAGATGTTTTAATGTCCCCCAAAATCCACTCTCTCCACAACTACCCACCCAGCACATGAAACTGGCTCCCAAGACACCTGCATGATGCCACCTCTTCCTTCACATCCATAGTCAAAACCCACTTTCCCATGACACCTTTGGTTGAATCCCCACATTCCCATCTGCAGCTCATTACAACACTGGAAACTGCCTTATACTGAATCAGAATATGGGTTCATCAACCTCAGAATTACATTGCCTGGAGCTTGAGGTCTCTCCCTCTCTGGAGGTTTTTGAAGCAGAGGTTGGATGGCCATCTGTCATGGATGCTTTAGCTGAGATTCCTGCATTCCAACGGGTTGGACTAGGTGATGCGGGGGGGGGGGGCATTCAACTCTATGATTCTATGTCTGGCAGTGCCTATCCAGGTTTCAGGCAGTGGTTTTTCCTCAACCCTACCTGGAGATGCCAGGGATTGAAATTGGGACATTCTGCATACAGAGCAGATACTGTACCATAGAGCTATGGCCCTTCCCCAACTCATCCTAAGCACATGTTAAAATGAAACCATCACATATTCTTCATTTGCCCCTCCTTTCCATTTTCCCTGTGTCAAATTTCAGGCTGTAGGTTTGTCTGGGCAAAGGCCTGTCTTCTACTCTGCAAAACGCCATGTGTCCTGATGGTTGCAAATAAACATTTACTTGCTACCATCTTTATATTCTTATTAATCACAATTTACTAATCGCCTTCTACAAAATCATCTCAAGGCAATAAAAACAGCAAAGAAGTTACAAACACACACAAAAAAAACAGTTGATACATTTAAAACAAAACACTACAGAATATACACTTGTAGCAAAGACCCATTTATTCAGCTAGGAAAGCCCATAAGAAAAGTATTTTCATTTAGTCCCTGGAAAACACAGATAGTAGGTACCTGTCATATCTTGACAGTAATGCTATTCCACAGAACGGGGCAGCGACAATGAAAGTCTTTTTCCGAGTTACTGTGGAGCGGGCTTGTGAGATCATCAGAATTTGCAGAAGAAAATCTCCCACAAACTGCAATGATCTGCAGGGTATATAAGGGCTAAGGCGGTTTCTCAAGTAGCTAATTAACTTACACTTTAGTACAAACACCTTGGACTTGGCTGAGTAGCAGATTGTTAGCCACACACCAGGTGCAGCCTCTGAACCAAGCCCAAAGGTAGTCCTCATGATGCAGTAATCCAACCTTGAGCTCACCTATGCATGGGCGATTTGTGGTCAATCTATCACCATCCATGAATGACCACAACTTGCCTATGAACCAACTTTAGTGTGTAAGCTTTTATGTAAAAGCAGAGTATGCTTACAATTCTTGTTACTTCAGAGGAAAACGGAAAATGTAAATTGCACTGAATAAAAAACTTTTATGGGAAAATTCTCAACCATTTATGGCAAAGTCCTTCTAAGCCACTGGGTGCTTTTAGTTCAGGGATGGGGAACCTCAGGCCTATGTGCCTCTCTTGACACTCCACAGCCACACTCCTCAGCTGCCCTACTTGACACCTCAAGTGTTTTTTTGCCAGTCTGGAATGTGCCCTTGAACTCTGGGATGATGCTTCTTGTTTGCCTAGATTGATAGAGAGGGGTGCATGAGTGTGTGTAGAATCTGGCCTACAGTAACATTTGTTACTTTGCCCACTATTGCCTCTTGTCTCACTCACCACTGCCATGTGGCCCTCAAATGGTTGTCCAGGAGGGAATGTGGCCCTCAAGCTTAAAATGCTTCCCAGTTCCTGCTCTAGACCCTTTGTTGTTGTTGTTTAGTTGTTTAGTTGTGTCTGACTCTTCGTGACCCCATGGACCAGAGCACGCCAGGCACTCCTGTCTTCCACAGCCTCCCGCAGTTTAGTCAAACTCATGCTGGTAGCTTCGAGAACACTGCACAACCATCTCGTCCTCTGTCGTCCCCTTCTCCTTGTGCCCTCAATCTTTCCCAACATCAGGGTCCTTTCCAGGGAGCTCTAGACCCTAGCCCAGCCCTATTTCACAGTCGCTGTGCTGATAAAATGGAATCATGTATGCTACCCTAAACCCTTTGGCAGAAGATGCACATAATAAAAATTCTTTGGCAAGGCTGACATTAAATGGTATGGCTAAACTGCTTGTGAGTGATTAAGATAATTTGTTTAGTGTTTTGAGAATTCATCAATTTTACTTGATTTTTAGATGATTAAAATGTTTACATTCTTAAGTTTCATAACCTATCCAGAGCCTTAGGAATTGGGCATACTAAGGAAAATCTCAACAACAACAAAAACAGCCCCAAGTTCATATCTGGGATGAATTCACGCTAGGACCTGGGGTCCTCTAAAACTGAACCATGCCCCTTCAAAAAAAAGAAACAAGGCCAAGGTTGGGGAGGGGAGGCACTTGGGTTGGTTTTAAGAAACTATTTGGAAATAAAAGAAACACACAAATCTAAACGCTTTTATAAACCTGCAACCACCAACTCACCACCACCTCCCCTTGCAACCCTTCTTCAATGGAGCCTCAAACCACCCAACCGGCACAATTAGTGACAAAGAGCAAAAGACAAGGGAAGGTAGTATGAGAACCGTTCAAGTAAGTTTTTAATAGAGTGCACCAGTGAATGTGAATTAGGATGACTTGCATCAAAAAAATTATTATTATTATTATTTTAAAAAGGAACACCAGATAAAAAGGGGTACAGTTCTTTCTTGCCAAAACACCATCCTTTTTTCTTCTTCTAAGGCAACAATACACGTTCATTTCAGAACAGAACTGTTACAGGAGAGCTACATCACAGTACAGTACAGCATGTCAAGTCCATCTGTCAGAAATCCATTCTCAAATGGCACATTTAGCTACACTTACAGCCTTCTAACTTCGGGTTACAGAGTTTACCACAGCTTCTTTTTTTCATTTTTGTTTTTTAAATAAAGTGACAATTTTGAATGACTTTTCTAATCTTTACAGGGGTGTGCGGATGGGGCCCGTATGTTGAAATTACAGTAATTACGACATTAAATAACATTGCACAACCAACCGCTATGATTAATTCAGTACAAAATAACAAATATTAAAATGTACCAAGTACTAGTGGTTTTACATAGTTTATATATCACCAATTATGAAGGAGTTTTCTTTACTTCCGTAGGCAAATGCCTACTCACAGCTGCACATTACAGGCATAATGATGTGGAATAAATACAAGAAAGTGGGCAAAATATTAGAAACACAAACAAGATATATGAGAACAAAATTTGTACAATCATGTAAGTAATAATCTATTGTTATAAACCATGTTTGCTCAGCTGTAAAGTATATGAAACTGCACGTACTGGAGCGTGGGGTGGGGTGGGGAATATTCCAAAAACCAGTTAATTCCTGAGGTGTCATTTATTAGCTCTTACAATTGGGCAACATTTCAGAATACCTTGTGCTATGAAACAATGTATTTTCATAAAGTGGGATTTATGAAGGCAGAGAACAATAGTATTTCACTCCATGATGAATGAATATGAACTGTACTTCTATTCTGTTGCTACATTTGACCACATGTCACAAGAGCAATAGTTCAGTCTTCCCCAAAACTTTTTTAAAAAAAATGTTATCAAGACATGATTTCTGTTCCCCAACAAGTTTCAAGGGGCCAGAGGCCAACATACTCAGAACCCCCTTTTCTTCACTGTAAGTGTCAACACTGTAAACATGGTTGCATTTTTATTTTTTATTCTGCCAAATAAACACTGTTCTATAAAGGAGGCTAAGAGTGAAAGGGAAGCAGGAAAAATCTTGTATACAACAAAAGCCAATCTGTCCTTGACTAATTCAATTTTTATATGCAATTTGTTTTAAAGTAACTAAAATTGTTCATGCTACAGTTGTGAAAACATTTTTTTTTGTGCATTTCTACTATGGACGTAGTTTTTAAAAAACGCATGGTAAGAGGTAAGAATTATAAAAACCACAAAAAATGTAAATAATGACCAGGAAGAACTTCTTAACTCAAAGCAAACACACTTCTGTGCTGATATCTAGACAACTATACAAGATCTGCATTTAAGCCTTCTTTTTTATTATACAACTCTATGAACATAAAATGAACAAAATGCTCTATATACTTACCTGTACATGTGAACATAACTTCTTCAGCTACAGTTTTTTTTCCTTTTAATATAGGTCATACTGAATTTAATTTTACAATTCAGAATAACTATGTATAACCTTATTGCAATGGGGCAATTTCTACATGGGGGGTTTCACAAGCCAATCATGTTAGGCATAACCAGTACATTCAGAATGTAAGCTAGACTCTTCCCTGATTCCAGAAACGTTGTTGCTCTTTACAGCTTAAGCTCATTCGCTATTTTGGATGCAATGTTTTTAAAGGCAATAGAAGTCCCGGATATTCGCTTGAAGCGGACTCCATTGAGCGACAGGCGTGGCAATTTACAAACTTCCATCTCCCACTGGACGAGGCTGTCTTGTCGTGCATCGCCATGGACACAGAAGAGCAGGAACCTCTCTTTTTGTTCATAGTCACAATTGTTAGCGTCTAACACTTTTCGAATCTCTCTCATCATATCATTTGGGTCCATGGAGCTTGTGGTCTTCATGCTCCACGTGAACCTCAAAGACCGTGGCTTAGAATCTTTACCATCTTCTTTTTCTCTGTCTTTTGGTTCTCCAGAAGTGCTCCTGAAAAGGGAAACATCATTTATATACCATTGACAAATTAGGGAATTACACTTAAGCACCGGACAATTAAAAAATGCTCTTGATCAAAACTATCCTCGCTTAGTGGAGCAACGAAAAGAGGTTTCTCAACTATCAACTTGGTTAGGCTCTCTTTAGGTCTCATCTTTAGGGAGATCACCGAAACACTGAAAGGCCACACAAAACAGAAGGCAAGGAATGCTGACAAAAGCAGGGAAGAAAGGAAGCCACCTTTCATTCATTAGTAATTAAAAAATGTTACCCTCCTTTACAATAACAGCTTATTTTGCAAATTTAAAGTTGGAAGTTGAGAAAGTAAGGGAACTAATTTTGGGTGATTCTTGCCTAGAAGGCCTCCTCCAAGCAATAATATCTCAACCTACAGAATTAATAATATGAGCATCTCTTCAACAACTGGGTTGCTTCCTTCTACTGTCCAATTTTATAAATAATTATAACTAGTTTATCTTTAAAAGTTGGCACTCAAGGGACACAAATCCATAAAGAATGTTTCCTCTCCATTCAACCCCAAAGATGCACAATGTTAGGATGGCAGTGGCAGAAATGCGCTGTCATATGCAGCATGGCTCTCCGTCATATCTGCCATTACCTTCTGTGCAATACAGAACATTTATGAACTCAAACCAATCATTGACAGGGAATACACTGCTTCCTATTATAAAGTATTTCATAATGTTTTGGCAGCATCTTCCGCAAATTGTTTTGTGGTGTAATGGGGAAGAAAACAATTGGGCAGTTCTATCATATGCATGTTTACTAAGTACTAAGGTCAACTGAGTTCAACAGGACTTACTCCCAAATAAGAGTGCACAGAATAATAGCCCTAGCAAAGTATGTTTATTATTATTATTATTAGTTATTCTTTCAGCTAAAACTTCATCACACACTGCCTGCCTTCAAGGGTCCCATGCTTGCTGAGAATTATTCAATGTCTGTTTAGACATCATTTAGTATCTTAAAGTCCTATGATCTTTCCAACATCATGTGAGGAAATAAGCTGTGGAGCAAGGAGCAGTGTGGTGGCTTCAGCCTATCAACTGGAATGTGACAGGAGAAATATTTTATCACCGCAAAATGTACTGCTTATACACAATACATCATGTTTACGTGGTCCATAGTTAGTTACCCTCTGCAGAGCTTCTAAGTCCACTGGCCACCCTACATCTGAAAAGTCACTCCCTAACCAGAAGCATTTCAGGGAAGGATATTTGGCTAGGAGCTGCCGTAAGAAGAAAAATCAGAAACAAATTTCAATCCTTGTGTGCATTCCAGAAGCATTTTGTAGCCTGCAATGCATGACTAAAGGGCAGCAAAATGATCAACCATTGGAACTTAACTTTAGTTTTCTATCAAGTAGATTTTTCAGCATCTAAGAAGTTAGGAACTTTCTTGCCAGTGATAGTGGGTGGTGGTGGTGCACACACATGAATGTGTGTGCTCACACACATACGCCCCGGGGACTAGGCAATGCTATTTTAATCTTTAACACCTGCAAAAGTTAAGCAGGATGACACACTCCTTTTCATTCAGAGCCCACAATTTCACCAGCAAGTGGAAAATGTGACTGCTAGCGAGCACTATCACCACGAGCAGCAGTTTCAACAACAATACATACATGTGCATAATGAAAATGTAATGTGGTCTTCCAGTAACAACATCTTTTAGGGAAGCTTACTACACAAGTTGATAGGATGGAGGGATCAGTTACTAAAAGTATAGGAATGAGGGTTCATGGTCTTTCCAGCATACAATACTGGGAAGAAATGGACTACGACATCTCAAAGGAGTGGTCAGCAAAATGAGATTTACATATTCAATGTATAAAATGCCAATTTAATACTAGGCATAATAGCATTCATGTAGATTATCCCTTTCTGATATGTAAACCACTTTCCTCTTGATAATCTTGATAATTTCAAGAGGAACCCCTCCCCCCCACTAAGTTTTCTCAGATCGTTAAAGAGAAGTTTCACACACAAGCTCTGTGCTGAGGAGCAAGCTTTGGGTCTGCATGCCAGGCAGCACATTGCCCATGGAATAAAAGCCTACACACACAACCATTCCTAGGACACACCCCTTGTTGTGAAGCAGATGAATGGGGGCAACTTATTTATGACTCTCGGTGTGTGTTTGTGTGTAGCGTCCTTGGTTCAAACTAAGCAGCCTGCAAGCAGGATTCAAGTAAGGCATCAGTCCAAGGCTAACTCCCACATCTCCAGAGTGTGTTATATAGCAATCTTTAAAAATAACATCCGTCTGTTTTTGTTTTATATATACCATGAGTGGGCAAGCTTTATCAGCCCAAAGGCTACATTCCCTTCTAAGCAACCTTCCAAGGACCACACGACATTCAGGAGCAAGGCCAGAGGCCAAAGTGGGCAGCGATAGGAAAGTAAATTTCACTTTTTGTAAAGTAGGCTAAGTTCCTGACCCTCTATCCTCCATCTAGGTGTCATCAGAGTTCAAGGAATTCGAGGACACACTGCAGCCAAGCAAACACACTCAAAAAGAGTGCAAAGCAGGGCCAGGAGGAGGTGTAGCCTGGGGAGAGTTTAGAGGGCCAAATAATTAGTTATTGAGGGCCGCATTCAGTCCCTGGGCCTGAGGTTCTCGGATGCATATACTCTTATTAACCCCAAAGGATTTGCCAGCACATTTTTTTATTTTAGTATTTGTAAAAAGCAGAGGCGTATGGCAGAAGTGCATATTAGGCAGTTGGCAAAGTTCTCAGAATGGCAATGTATGATTTTACTACGCAATGAAAGATAATGCTTGAATATACATAGTTGTGGTTTTTTTTAAGCTGTGACCTTGCAAACACTTAGAAGGGAGCTGTTTCCCAAAGTGGACTTGCTGAAGTCTAAGAACTTGCAGAATCATAGCTTGTTTTTTTAAAAAAGTTATTTAAACTTAATAGTATTTAAAAGAGAAATGGGGAATTTAACTCATACATAGTATTTTTTAAAAGACAAGTTATTTAGAGACTCCTCTGTTTTACATATTAGTTTAAAGGCTTTCAGAATCATAAAGCTTTGAACACAAAGGGACCTAGCAGCGAAGTATTAATCGTGGCTCCTCACCTTGAGGTGTCAGTTCTGCCACTGGCTTCGCCTTCACTTGGATCCCTCAAAACAAAGTTAAGGTCAAGATTTTAATAAATGGTTAAAAAAAAATGAGTCAAGAAAACCGGTTATCCAGAACAAAGTTAAAATTACTTTTGAGCAAATAGCACGAAACCATCATTTACTAGTATTTTTTTTTAATAGTGTTTTTCCAAAGCTGCAGTTTACTTTCTCCCTATGAAACTTCAGTTTATTTTTACCCTGGCTGGGTAACTTCAGATTGCCCCTCCCCTCCCCCCCTTAAGCTTAAAATAGCCACACTCAAAAGCCAGAAGCCATACGGCGAGTAAGCTCCATTTTTTCCTTTCCCCACCCGACTGTGTATTAATGGCGAGAGACCACCACAGCAATCAGCAAGAAACTTCTCCAGATAGGGGTTCTTACTCACGAAGATGCCTCAAACAGTTCGCTATTAGCATTTAGCCGTGTGCTTTGCCATGCCCTTAAGTCATAACACAGCAGCACATTTGCCAATTGTGTTAGTTATTTGCAAATTAAGGCCTATTGGATACCACCTAAAAAACATACTAAAATTTTCTACCTCCCAGCTTTAACAGCTCTTATTTAAGGGCTCAAAGACACCACTTCTTGCAACATCTGCAGAGTGTTGTATAGCCCGTCCCACACAATAGTCCATCGTAATATTTAAAATGACATCAAATATACAAGTATATCAGACCTGTGTAGCATGTGACCCACCTAACCAATATGCAGCCCATCTGCTATGTACTAGGCCACCAATAACAGGTGAGCTGTTCACAATGGATCAGCATGCTCATCTCTAAGCCAATTTGAATTTAGACTTTACAAAACCCCATGAGCTTTCACACCATTCTCCTCCCCACTGCAAAGTCAACAGGCCTATGGGAAAACTGCACATCCCACAGGCTACTTGCGCTTGGCTCACTGTATACCAGCTTGCCAGGCTCCCTTCTGCTTGCTGCTGCTGACCAGCACAGGCAACAGCCAGTTTATTTTTATTTTATTTTTTTGGCAACAGCCAGTTTAAGCAGAGTGCAAGGAAGACAGTTCTTCTCCAGCTCTGCTTAAAATCCAAGCTGGAGAAGAACTAGTATACGTGCATCATAATTCTCACCTTGAATTTGACAGGACCATTCTGAACCAGTAAACCCTGTATTTCTAAGTCAGAAAATAGAAGTCTTGGCACATCATTTTTGACAACTATCATCTTTTGCAATCCCAGGCAGGCACTAAAAAGAGGGTTTTATCATGCTTCTTGTGGGCTGCTTTCAGCTTGGTGGGTCACAAACTGTGCAGGGCTGATTTACACAGAACATTCCATAAACTCACCAGAACACTTTGAGAACAAGCAGCAAATAATTATTTCTAAGGTATCAATCATATGCTAGATTGCACGTTTATAAAATACGCTTTATTACAGCATTTTTTTAAAAAAGTACTTCTGATTCCAGCACATATTTGTACACTACTGAACACTTTAAGTTGTAAGTGAAATGTATTTCTAAATATATTCAATTAAAAAGGGACAATATTAATGCAAGCTGTGAACATAACTTAAAATTAGATGCAGCTGTTAAAGAACACAAAGATGACATGACTTTTTCCAAGTATCTGCACATGTGGTGCCACAATGTGTGAAATCTGATGAGCTGTCAAGTGAGTTCTCTATTTAACAGAATCATGGAAAGAATTTCAGAACTGGAAACTGCCTTATTCTCAAATGCCACTGATAAGGTTCACAGGGCAACAAAGTGACTAGCAAAACTCCTACTGATTTTAGTGAACCTCACCATTACCATACACAATTTTAAAGCAAGTTATGGGGCTCTGGATTCAGAAAATGCCATTTCAAAATGACAATTAAACTTAAGATGCTAGCTAATTGTTTTAAGTTAACATTATGGGCCCCAATGTACCCCCAACAGGTTACACGTTAGGCTGTGTTTTTGGATTATAATATCAATAAATGTTTAACTGTTAAACTAGAGTCCTTTTGAAATCAGTAATATCTTTAGTTCTAACAGCAGATGGATACCGTCAAAACAAACGGTGTTGAATGGGTCAAGATGAATGGGGTAATTGGTTTTTTTTAAAAAAATAAAAATACTTGGGGCTGCTCCAGGCAATATGAATTTCCTACACCCTTTCCCTGTAGGAAATTGTCACATTAAAGAGAGAGCACATGTGTATTTTGCTACGTTTGTGCATAGTGAGAAATCCAGAATTGCAGCATGTTCTCAGAATTCAGTCACAGCATGTCATGAAGGATATTCACCCATTCATTCATGTTCAGGGAAGTTTTTAATGTATGACATATTAGTGTATTTTTGGTCTTTGTGGAAGCCGCCCAGAGTGGCTGGGGAAACCCAGCCAGATGGGCGGGGTACAAATAATAATATATTATTATTATTATTATTATTATTATTATTATTATTATATTGCAGAGTTGCAAAAGGTTCAGAAAAAGGCAATCAAATTTATGACGAGGCTGTAAAACATCCCAAGAGAAAGGTTGCAACTTTTGCAACTTTCTAGTTTAGAAAAGAAGTTGAGTGAGGCGGGACATGATAGATAGGGAGAGGGGTTTTTTTTCTTTCTCTCTCTCTTATAATACTGGAATCCAGGGTCAGTCAATGTAGCGGAATGTTGGAAGACCCAGGAGAGACAAAAGAAAGCACGTCCTCACATAGCACATAAGCAAACGTAGGAGTTTGCAAGTTGAAGATGCAGTAAACGGCCATCAACTTGGACAGCTTTAAAAGGGAATTAGACAGATTTGTGGAGGAAAAAGCTATCAATAGCCACTAGTCATGAGAGCATTAAAGGTGGTATGTTTCTAAATACTAGTTGTGAGGTAATCTAAATGGAGAGTGTGCTGCTTGTGTCCTGCTTGTGGGCTGTGAGACTAGGTGGGTCTTTGGTCTGGTCAAACAGGGCTCTTCTTATGTTAAAGTGTCCACACGCCAAAAATGATGCTCACTGCACATGATGGTGCACATACCATTTTTTCCACACAAGTGAAAACCCACGTATGAAACTAGTGACATTAGAACCAGCCTTTAAGTGCTAGGATGCCTGTCAACATTTTCAGCCAAAGATCCAAGTTTTTCATACCTATTGGATTTGAACAGTATAATTTATTCAGTAAGTTTTTGATTTTTTAAAAAATGGCATGAATACAGAAAGCTGTCACCATTACTGTATCCTATAATCTGATTTTACACCGGCTTAAATGAGGGGGTTCCAAGCAGTTGCTTATCCAGGCGCTTACAAGGCTTGCTTCTAATAATATAACGTTTCACTGCACCTTTCATATTACCTGGAAATATAAATGATGGAGGGTACTAACCTGCGGACAAATTTGGAAGTTATTTTGCTTATAATCCCAGTTGACGTCCCCCTTCTAGTTTGAGCAAACGTGCCTGTTTCGTGTGACGGTGAGGCAGGTGGCCCGTTGTAAGTGGCGTTGCGCCGCTCCCGTAGCTGCTCACCATGGAAAGTGCTTCGGCTCGAACTTCCTCGAGGAAAACGGGTTCGGTCTGGAGTGCTAGTACTAATACTGTGAGCGGATGGGGAAGCAGCAGGTGCCCTTTGAGTTGCACTGCTGGAAAGCCAGAAGTACATTTGAAAAGAAAGGGAGATAGAAAGAGCCAAGTCATGAGAAACCTTCAATATGACTAGCACATCTCAACATGCACTTTCTTGGGATAACACGTGCCGTACGTTTTTATGTACAAAAAGTCTCTAAAGAGATGAAGAACAGAGGAATATTTTAATTCAAAATAGTCTGTAGAAAGAGTAAAAGCTTGGGAAAGAGAAAATGCATCTTCTACAACAGATATACCAGGTCTTGCTGCTATTTCAGAGGTTACATGGGATTTTTCATTCCAAAGGGAAGAGCCCAAATGGAAGTAGAAGAAAAAGCAAGAAAGAGAAAAGGGTTTAGTGGTATTTGATATTGGTGAGTAAATTTTTTGTCATGATAAAGTGGTGCACTTAAATACAAACACACACACACACACACACACACACACACACACATATACACACACACAGTTGGTTTTATATGCATGAGATGGATAGGATTTGAGGCTAGAACTAGAAAATACAATTCCTACCTCCAAAGTCTTATTTAGTGGTTAGAGCAGGCTTCCTCAAACTCGGCCCTCCCGATGTTTTTGGCTTCAACTCCCATGATCCCTAGCTAGCAGGACCAGTGGTAAGGGATGATGGGAAGTGTAGTCTCAAAACAGCTGGAGGGCCGAGTTTGAGGAAGCCTGGGTTAGAGCTTAGACAAAGACTTGGGAGACCCAAGTTCAAGTTCCCACTCAGCCTTTAAGAGGATCTAGGGCCAGTCACTATCTCACAGCCTGATCTATCTCAAGGGACTGTTGGAAGGATAAAATGTGGAAAGAACTCAATGTATTGCTGTTGTCCTAAAACTGGGAGTGGGGGACTCCTTAGCTCCTTGCAGAAAGGATGAGACAAAATGCAACAAGCACCTCTTTCTTTCGCCTACCCATTCCTTAGCTTCTTGTTTCTCAAGGGCTCCTTTGCATCCTTACTTCAGCTGCCTTGCCTCTGACTTCCTGCTTCTTCACTTACCTGCCTCACAGGGCCATTTTTCAGTCTGATTTTAGAAAGCTACTCCTGTCTCTTGGGCAACTATGAACCATCAACCCAGACAAACTGTCGACTTGCCCTTCGCTCACACCGACAGCCAACATCCTGCCTTCCAGATGTTGTAGGCTACAACTCATATCAACCTAAGTCAGGCATGATCATTTGTCAAGGAACATGAGTAGCAGTCCACACGGTGTGGGGAGGGCACAATGCTGGCTTCTGGTGAACTAGAATGATCATAGTTTTGTTCACCAAAGCAGTCAGAATGTTTGTGAATATTCCAACACCATCACGTAAGCTCAAGTGATTGATGCTAAAGGCTTCAGTATCACAATATACAGTAGATTGGCAGAGCCTAGCACTACTGATGTTGTGCCTAAACACCTATGTTATGCACATTTGTAGAACATCTGACCTTGCAAAGTACCACACAAATGCTACATATTGAAAAATACCTTGGTCGATAAGCTTCAGTGCCATCTTTGATAGTTGGGAGTGTAACTTTTATAGGGTGGCCAGAGGCAGACATGGACTTCTGGTGTCGAGGTCGTGCTGATATTACCGAAGAGACAGCGGAGCCAGTAGAGGAGGTACTGCTTGCAGACATTTCTGTTAGGCTTTCATCATAAAAAAGAAAGCAGGAAAAGGAATATCTTGAGATAAAATGTTCTAGTAAAGTAGTTGCATGTGGAACCTTTGAACTACTGTTGGATCCGTAAGGAAAAACTGATTTAGCCAAGACATGGTCAACAACAGCTTCTACTGAAAAATGTCTTAAGATTGCTTTTCCTTGGCTCCATTCAGGTAACGGACAGACACTTTTAGGATTCCTAATCCAAATCAAAACATATGAAAGGAACTTGCTCACTGGTGCTACTCTTTCTGCACTTGCTGGGAACAAATGCAGAAAGAAAATAGAAATTAATACTATTTATAGATATTCAAGGGAAAATAGGTGGCAGCAAAAGAATTTTGAACTTTGGGCCACTCATCAAAATAGCACAGAATGCCTCAATAAAAAGTAATTAATCTCTCACCAAATCCTATCAATTTGCATAAATAAAGAAAAGCAACTGCAACTGGCTTTCCTGATCAATCACAGTAAATGTTTTGTACTCATCTGCACAGCTAGTCTTGATGAATTATCTCAACCATTGCATCCGATTAAAAGGCTACTGGTAGCACTTTAAATGAATCCTCTAGTAATTTCAAAGTGCAGAGAGAAGAACAAGCCACAGCATGTATTTCAATACAAATATAATCAACTTGGGAAGAGCACAGAAAGCAGCTATTTAACAAGAGGGACAATACGGTCAAATGGAATTATATAATTTCAGTATTCAATCATTTTTCTCGTTGCTGCTTCCCAGCATCTCCTTCATGATACCAATGTAGATTTTTAGGAATGTGCAAAATTAACAAGTCTAAAAACCTCAGAAACAGTTTTGCCTGAGTTCCGTGCAATTGCCATAAAACTTAGGGATCAAGCTGTGCCATCATAATGATTAAGGTTTTAAATGATAATTTTAGGTTATATGTTAGTGTTAGTGACTAAGCTTTAATTTATATATTTTTTAACTGTTGCTATATCTGTATTGTCCCTGTTATACCTAATTGCAAATTCAAATGTATCCTTATCGTGTTTTATGACTTCCTTGATATTGTATGTGAGCTGGAACTGGTCTGTGACCAAAATAATAAAATTCATTCAGTTTTGCCTGAGGCAGGAGAAAGGGGCACAATGACAGCTGACACTCAGGGAAGAATGAAACAGGCTACAACTCTACTGAATTTCGCTTGACATCTTATCATTCTGGCCAATCCAGGGCAGGGACCAGAACACAGCAGCCTAAACAAGATAGATGCCTGCCCAAGTCTAAACATACCCAACTTTTCTGAAGACATTTAATAGCAGAAGACAGTTATAGGCTGGTCAGCGATGCCCTAAACTCTGGGGGCTTCCTTTTCCCTCTCTAGCTGCAAGGCCTGCTTAGGCTGAGTTTCTGTTTCCGAGGCTTGCTAAACTATGTTGAACATGTACATGAAATGTTCCTTTAAGTACCAGAGCAACATGAAATCTTAATTTCCGCATGAAACAGGTTCGGTACCTGTTGTCTTTCCCATTCTGAATGGCAGAATAGCGATCTGTAGAGCGTTCACAGACATAGGTATTTCTTCGTGTCATGCCAGTCCCAGAAAACACATTATTCTAGAAAAGTCAGGGAAATACAATTATTATTAAAAAATATATGACAGAGTAAGAATGCCTAAATATATAGCACATTAGCATATGTATACTTTCTTTGATGCATTTGGGCATCCCATGTTATTTAGCCATGTATTTTCTAATTTACGTTAACTGGTAAAAATGTTGCTTTATTTTCTGTTTTAATAGACAGGCTAAAAGACACGATATAAAAAAATAGATTATTCTGATGTGCCACAGTTTTAGCAAACAATAGACTAGAGACACAATCCATTTTTCTGAAGAAGAAAACATAGCAGCTGTTGCACACAGATGAGCCCTGAAATTGCTATTCTACTGCCCCGTTAATTCAAAAACAGTTTGAAGATTTGTTAAAACAGCATTTTAAATGAAAAATAGTACTCCCCCCCCCCTTCAACAGCTCTCTTGGGGCGGGTGGGTGGGTGGGGGTGTGGAGACAAAACAAGAAAGTATAAGCAACCCAGATCTCCTCTTTTTAAAAAGGTCTTGTGCAAAATCCTCAAAGTGCATTTTCAGTTCATGGGAATCTGGAGAGCATGTTGGTGCTTTTGAGCTGGTATTGCCTCCTAAAAATAAACAAGGTGCACTTTGGACTGTGACCTTAAGCCACAAAGCACAAACCTGGTCCATGAACTTAGATCAGGCATAGGCAAACTCAGCCCTCCAGATGTTTTGGGACTACAACTCCCATCACCCCTGACCAGTGGTCCTTTTAGATAGGGATGATGGGACTTGTAGTCCCAAAACACCTCGAGGGCCGAGTTTGCCTATGCCTGACTTAGATAAACAGATGGGCAAGTGTGAAAGCAGAAGCACTTCTACCATGCCTACAATGTAGAGTGCAATGTGACTTTTTGCACAGACAACTTGCACAATTCTCTCCCTCATTTAAAAAAGGGGGGGAGATGTGCATCATCTATGCATACAACTGCATCACACAATGCACTGTAACTGTGGTGGTAGCAAGAACCATTCTTGTTTTCTCACCTCTACTACAAAGAGGCTGCTTAACAGAGTGTATGAACTATGGCATTGTTTCTGTTCTCATCCATCCTATTTCCCCCACCTTAGAGAACTAGGCACAAGAGCAATATCATCTAGTGATACTGAGTCAAGCGTATGTGAGCAAGGCCAAGAAAAGAGAGCTCTGTTTACAGACTGAAATGCTTAGGTATTATTTGAGAAGAACAGGTTTTCAAGCATTGGGAACTTCCAGAGCCGAACTAGCAGCTACAATGAATATAGTGTCCTGAAGGGAAATGCAAATTTGTATAGCCCCTGGCAAACAGCTTGTAGTATTATTTCCCAATTGCCTTGGATCAACTTTCCTCACAGGGAAGAACACCAATTTCGATAGTCAAACATTCACATATTAAACAGTTAAGCTGCTGTTTCATTATATAAGTGGGTGGTTTTTTAAAAAAATGAAGAAGCAGGCCTGCAGTGGTGACAATGAGTTCAGAGAGTGAAGCAACCAGGGCAGTGAGAGGCAATGAGCACAGTGAAGGAACAACCCACAGGGCACTCCAGCTGAAAAATGCCAGGATGCAACATTACCTGCAAGTTCCTTCCTTCAGCAACCCAGGAGTCAATTGTCACACTCAACTATTCACCCCCACTCCTGTTTTTTAAAAAAGTATTTAAATGCTGGACTGGATTTCTGAGCCCATTTCTATTAGTGTATGCCAGCATTTAATCCATTTGCAGAAGAGAATCATGTAGTTAATACAATAGCAACAATTGTTATCGTGGTACAGAAAACATTTGACCTCGTCAGTGAGCAAAGATCTTTCTTACACTTGGAATAGTAGTCGCTTTTTTCCTTTCAGGGCCCACCAGTGGACTTGCGGCCATTTCACCTTTGGACCCCACTGTAGTGCTGCTCAGTTTACGTGACACATCTTTGTCCCATTCCTCTTTGTGTTCACTCTCCACACTGTTTGCCTGAGCTCTTTTTGAATACGAGACAGCGGGAGGAATCGTTGGGCCAACTGTCAAACAAAGGTAACATCAATGAGATGGTGCTCTCTGTATCACCTTCAATCAGTCTGCGCTGGTACTAAAAATAACATCAAAGGAACTAATTCAAATAAGATGCTGGTGCCACTTTACGAACCTGAGATATTGTGCAAAGAATTTGCCTGAATACAGATGTGTCACCAGTGCCTTGATTGTATAATTTCACAAACCTTTAAGCTTAATGTTTACTATTTGTTCCCCGTTAACTTGCTAATATGCCATCCACATTGAAAACATTAGAGGCATACTTTAAGGTTACTCAACTAGCTTCCGTTCAGAAGCCTTCAATGATACAGTGGGCTGCCACCTCATTTGTGCATCCATAATACAATAATTTGTCAATTACAACCAACCAATTTCCCAGCGAAAGTGGAATTATTACAATCAAATCCAGTTGCAAAATCAAGGCAGATGGAGGCAGAGTTTTGCATAACCAGCTGGCAATGAAGGACATCACTTTCTAATCATATCTAACCCATTTTCAGAAATTGCTAAATTATTTGCCACACAGTTTTCCTTGTGGCAAAGAGTTCCATAGCTCAGCCTTTCCTCAAACGAAAGACAGACATTTGCACCTTCACTCAGATTGCAAGGTGTTGCTGGTGCTGGCATTGGTGCAAACCAAAGGTTATGACATGGCTGGGAAGTCTTAGCTGCTAGATAAGAGTAAAGCAGAGGATGCCCAGATTCCATTCAAACATTTCTCCTTCCACTGGGCAGATGATCGGTGTGTGATACACTTCACTAAGGAATTCCTTTTAGCATCAGTCAGCTATGGAAGATAAGTGAAGAGAGAAGGGGTTTCTGGCTGCTCCCAGTTCACCTGAGTGTGGTTTCTGGCCCCTACATCATTCATGGTTCTCTATACTGGGACACTGTCTCCCTCATTTAAAGCAAATCAGAATATTTTTTTGTCCAGTGTTGTTGAGACTGCAGTACCTAAGTCACAACCCAGAATATCAGAAGCAAATAGTCATCTCCATTACCGAAAAGCAACGTTCGACAAGCACAAAGGAATAAGAGATTGTTTGCTTTCCATACAAAAAGCAGGAAAGCCTCAAGTTGCCCACAGGGAACCAGTCTTCTGGGCTGTGGCCAATGGTTTGCAATTTTATTCAGGCATATGGCTGTTCTCTCTATGGAAATAAACCCATCCATATCTTCTAATTAACCTTTCTTGAAAAAATTACTGCACTGCAGATATCCAAGCTCACGTTTTAGATTCAAAGCAATGATGACAAATACAGAGCAGTTTCCATTACGCAAACAGTTAAAATAGCTACAGACACCAGAATAAATGCAAATGATAATTAACACATCTGTCAACTAACCCAAACTATATTTACCATGGAAGGATCACATGATAAAAGCACCATGGTATGAGATGAAGCAGCGCACAACTAATGCACAAAGAGGTGGCACTGCTAAGCCCAGAAAACATGGCACACAGCTTAAAATTGTATTTTGCTACTTTACTTGGTTGAATGCCATCCCCACCATGTTCACTGAAGCGACGTTGCTTCTGATTGGCTGATATGCTCCGCTGGACCTTCAGGTGAGCAGGAGATTGCATAGAACTGTTGTTGAGGTCACTGCTGGGTCGAGATCTTTGACTCAGGTTACTGCTGGACAGGGACTCGCTCCCCTCAAACTACAAGGATAAGTGACAATTTAGAAAGCAAATCCATTTGCATCTCTATTTTTGAGACAAGAGTTATTTCCAATGTCAAAAACTCAATACAACATTTGCTATCACATGGATGCAGACTGGGCACTCTCTGTAGTCACCTTGGCACCATTCCTTTCCCCCCTTTTCCTTTTTTACACTGAAAAGCAAACCCAGAGCCTGCCATTAGCAGCAGGAATGCAGTTGGCAGAGAGGAAGAAGACACTTTCCTCATTATGGACAGAAGAATTTTAAGTGGGTAAATGCCAGAGAGGCAGCCTCTCCTTCCACTTTTTATGGCATCCTCCTCCAAGGCTACTTTTTCGTAACAGAAGGAGGAGAAAAAGCATCAAGGGAAAGAAAGATGCAGCTACATTTCCTCAAACTACATGCTAATAGATGTAAGGATACACAATCACTTGTCATGATTTTATGTCGTGAACCCCCCTGAAATCTACAGGTATAGGGCGGTATACAATTATTATTATTATTATTAAAATAAAAATCCTAGTTATGCATTATACAGATATAACCAGTCCCAGAATTAACTGACATTTGTGAAAGAGCCGACCCAGTTGACAATTGTTGCTGTAATTCACAGGTTGGCAATCCATGCCACCGTGGCAGGCCACACCCAAGTGTTTGGTGGAACCTCAAGCTCACTGGCAGAGATGGAGTGCAGGGGTGGGTGGGGAGAAAGCACAGATTGGAACAGGAAGACAGGCGACAAAACCGGCACCGCAGACAAATGCTGTCACTACCATCTTAATCATGCTCCCCACCTCAATTATTATTACTAACGTTTAGTAGGATTTATGAACCACTTAATCAAAGAATTCCAAAGCAAAACAATTATTTGTTTTTGGATGGAATGGCTTGGCTGGTTTATTTCGTTTTATAATTAACTGTTTGGCTCATTTTTTATAGGCATACTGAATTGCTGCAAACATATAGATTAACTCAGCAAAATATACAAATGGATATACACCACTTGTTCATGTGTCTGGGTAGGCTTGTCAAAACGGAAATGTTTTTAGCTGGCATCTGAAACAGCACAAGGATGATGCCAGCCCAGAGCACAGGGGCTTCCACATTGGCCCTATCTTGGCATGCATACAGTGGGGGAGGGGCCAGCGCAAGTAACACAGTGGAGTCAGGTTTGTCTGTATGGCTCATGTCTTGGATCAACCTTGCTCTACCCAGTCCCTGCTGACCATTGCCACAGGAATGCAAGAATCAGTGGTGGGCCCTGCCTGGGCCCCCACACTTTTCTTAGTTCAGGTGACTTCCAACGTATGCGGGGATTACGTTCCAGGGACCCCCCACACACGTGAAATGCATGCTTATGAGTCCATGCCAGCAAAAATTATTGATGCATAAACTCCATAAACTCAGCAACCCAACGAGTACACATGCTTGTCAATAAGCGTGTCTCAGCACTGTGTTCAATCCCTCTAGAAAACAACTTCAAAACTAGCAGATAAATAAATATAAGAAACTATAAATTACCTCAGGTGGTTTTCTGCCCAGGAGCAGATAAGTAGCCATGACTTCGTCATATTTTTGGTTTACTAAAGAGTCGTGAATTTCATCTCTTGCAAAACCCATAGTGACCATTATATCTATCAAAAACAAGACAGCTCAATTTTATTATCGACAAGACATATTTAAAACATGTCATTAGACAACTTCTGATATATTTTTTTTCATCCACAAAACTTCTACTTAAGAGATTATCTGAGAGGTATATGTACTGTGAATTGTTTTGTGAAAATCCACGGGAGTAATCACAGTAGAATAAAGTGGGAACCTAGAACACTGTTCACAAATTTTCTCTAAAATATAAAAATTCACCCGACAGACCATTTTCACAATTTGCCATGTTCCATTACCCTTTACTAGTTAACATTTATGTAATGGCAACAGAGTCTGTACCCTAAACATATACAGTCAAACCTTGGTTCTCGAACTGCTTAGTTGCCGAACAGATCAGCTCCCAAACACCGCAAACCCGGAAGTAAGTGTTCCAGTTTGTCAACGTTTTTCGGAAGCCAAACGTCCAACGTGGCTTCCGCTTGAGTGCAGGAAGCTCCTGCAGGCAATTGGAAGCCACACCTTGGTTTTTGAACGGTTTTGAGAGTCGAACGGAGTCCCGGAATGGATTAAGTACGAGAACCAAGGTACCACTGTACAGAATTGAGATCTACATAAGATAGGAAATAAGAGATTTAGGGGAGAGGGATTGGATTACATAAACATTACAATCCTCCAAGCATGGTCCAGATGATTAGGAATGTGATATGGGCTAGCAGATTCAGGTTCAATTCATTTTCTTTTTAGCACCAAACATAGTTTGTCATTACCAATGGATTAAATAACCCACCAAACCGGGGGGGCGGGGGGACCGCTAGGGGCGCCTTGGAAGATGGCAGATAATAACATCTATCCAGCTTGCACGAGGTAATTTGAGGCTGATTATGGGGAGTAAATCAGTCTCCCTCATCTCTCCAGGGAATGGAAAGACGCAGTTTTCACCCGCGGTTGCATAAATCACCCCCGAGTTTGGAAGAAGGAGGGGGTGCAAGGCACTGGGTGCATAACCCTCAGCGGGTCTTGGCACTCCTCCAAAGCTGCTTCCAGGAGCGAAACTAGTTGCGTTACTTAAAAGGAAAAATTTGGAGAAAGCTAACACACATGCTTTGAGAGAGGCAGGAGGTTTTATCTGCTAATAATTTGGCCACTGAAAGGAAGAAGATTGAGACGGAAGATTACATCAAAGTACTACAGACATGCTGGTATGTGGAAGGCAACGGAACGGAAAGGGGGAGGAAATGACTTTTTATTTCTTGTTTCAAGTGATTGGCTAATAACCCTCCCCCTCAGAAGATCCGTCACAATAACTAATTGGCAAATGGGGTTAGAAAATGAGCTGTGTGGGGAAAAATAATATGAATTTAAAGGTTTTATTCTGTGAAGGACTTGGAAAAACAAAGGCTCTCTTTGTGATGCAGAAAGAATTGAGATGTGATACAGAAGGACAGACATCTGTTGCAGGGAGTTTGGTCTTAGGGAGGGCGAGCCGAAGACTTGTTATCTGGATGGGATTGTGAACTGGAAGGGGCAGCCCTCCTGGAAAAGACTAATTTACGATGCAACAGGTCTGGAAAGTTAACGAGCGGGCTTTTAGACTGTATTTCATCGGAACGGCAAGATGGCGGTTGCCCGCTCGAGTGGAAACGCCTGGACTATTGGATGAGAGTGATTCACGAGAGAGCAATACAGAATCCACACAGAAATATAAATAACTGTTTTGTTAACCCACTTGCGGAGATAACTCAGAGGTGAATGAAAAGGAAAATGAGTAACGACAAGGACTGAGAAGAGGGACTGAAAATATCATTGTAAATATGAAAGCAGCAGAAATATTCGAGGATTGGACTCCTGCCGATCAAGAAGCATGGGTACCCCCCACAAAAATTTATAATTGGGAAATAATTGGATTATATGATATGTATTGTTATAATTTGGATTAATTGGTTTGATATGTTTAATTTGGTAAATGGAAACTTAATAAAAATTATTAAATAAAAATAAATAACCCACCAAAATTATTATAAAGTGTGTTTTATCACCAATTCTGGTTAGGAGAGCAAATGCAAACCACTGTTTCCTACTGGAAGTGAGAGGAAGAGGAGGATAAGACTAGGAGCTTCCTGGATGTTGTTGATCCTCCATACCATAGCATGTGAACTGGAACTAATGACGTGGCAGAGAAAAAAACAGGTAAACTGAGACTAGGCTAATTCAGGAAGATATACAGTGGTACCTCGCAAGACGAATGCCTCTCAAGACAAAAAACTCGCAAGACGAAAGAGTTTTTGGTTTTTTGAGTTGCTTCGCGAGACGAATTTCCCTATGGGCTTGCTTCGCAAGACAGAAACGTCTTGCAAGTTTGTTTCCTTTTTTTAAAAACCGTTACAGTAATACAGGGTGCATTGCTTGAAGAGGTGCAGTTGCAACTTGACTTCGGGGAGCAACTCATAGCAAGCGGTGTGGTAGCCTTTTTTGAGGTTTTTGAAGATTTTTTTGAAAAAATTGAAACCGTGCTTCGCAAGACGAAAAAACTCGCAAGACGAAAAAACTCGCAGAACGAATTAATTTCGTCTTGCGAGGCACCACTGTATTGGAACTGTTCAACATTCACTATATAAAAAAACCTGGGTACATGGCAAACTAATCCACAGAATTAGCAAAACACTGACAAGCATTTTTCTCTACTGTTAACCATGAATCTGCAGCGCACAGTGAAAGAGATGAAGAACTGGACTAGGGGACTAGGGAGAATACAATACAGCTATAGATTGGAACAATTGGGGTAACCTATTCTTACCTATTCTTTTGGTGTCATTAAAATCTGGTTCAGGCTCAGTATATGGCTTTAATTCTTCCTCTTCATGACCAACATTCATCCATCGGTCCTTCATTATTTGCTAGAAAACAGAGCAAAACTGAATCATTGGATTTTTTTTTTTTATCGACTCCCAAATCAATACCCAGTTAGTGGGGAAATCTGCATGTTTATTTATTTAAAATATAAAAACTGCTTTGAAGCATAAGTGAAAAATAATCAGTGGGGACCAATCAGTGTGCAAAAGACATCTTCAACTGCTGGTTAAATAAAAATGGGTGCTGGACAAATGGTCAGGGAGTTACATAAAGGAGGCCCTATTAACAAGAAGGCTCTATACTTTGATGCTTCCCATCTCACCGCTGGGGTAAGGGTTACTCTTGAGCAGCAACCCTGCAGAAGGTTTTAATAGTTGGACAGGATAATATAGGACCCAGTTACTCGTTGAAGCACATTCTCCCATACCAACCACCCTATCTATACCCTGTGATCAGCTGGTGAGAGGAAGGAAATTCTCACTTCTCTGCTGGTAAGCATAGATGGTGGAAGCTCTGCAAGCTCTGTGCTGTCAAGTGAACACTTTCTTATTTTCCCAGGCATTCTGGGTAAATCAGCGATTTCCACTTGTTGAGTTTTATATTTTCTTGCACTGCTGTATTTTACTGTTCATTTTTTTTAACGATTATTTTTAATGAACGTATATTCCCATGGTTGTCTGTATATTTTGTTAACATGCTGGAAACTGCCTTTGGATCACTATGATGTGATGAAGGGTGATCTTTAAATTTTGCAAATAAAACAAAACATGGGGAAAGTTCTGCTGACCCTAAGTGGTTTAGGATTTTATAGGTTAAAGCACTTGAAAATGTGCCTAGAAATAAAATGGTAGCTGGGTTAAGATCTTGGAATACTGAAAAAATATTTTCCCTACTATCACTACAAATCTGTCCCTGGGTTCTGAAGTAATGAAGTTTCCAAACAGTCTTTAGAAAGGCCCTCTTAAAAACACATTATAGTACTCCGATCTAGATGTTAGGAGAGCACAGATAACCATGGCCAAATCTTGTTTTCCAAGAATAGCCACAGTTGGAGTACCATCCAAATTTGGTTGAAGGCATATGACTTCTACTGCCAAAATTAAATTGGACCCTTCAACCCCAATGCACAAAACAAAGAACAACTCAGATCCAAGGGTTAGTGTTAGCCATGTATTATGTACAGAAATAAATTTGGGGAAGACCAGCGATAGTGTGGATGCTTTGCAAGCAGAAGATCCCCAGTTCATTCTCCAGCATCTCTACACAGAAAGCAGCTGCCAGTTCATGTAGCCAGTTCTGAATGAGATGGACCCAGTTTGACTCGGAACAAAACAGCTTTCTATACTCATGATTAATTCACCTCAAACAAGTCAATAGTACCATTTTTGCAGCCTAGAGACTATTTTAGGTTGTCCATTCTTTCAACTGAAAATATATTTTAAAATTATCCATAAAAATATTAACAATATGGAAGACTTAAACTACCATCTAAAGTACGTTGAACTACTTTATTAGCTTCTATCTGTATCTACAAATGTTGAATTAATAATAAACATACGTTTTGGGGCTTTCATGCTGAATCCATAAAAGGACCAAACATATATAACAGCTTAATTCTCCTTAAAGGAGAATTGTCCCCTGCAATTTACCTTTCCTTCACATTCATATGAATGGGCGAAAGCTGCTGATATTTCGGCTACAGGAAAGAAAGACTTATTTTGGGAACTGCTTCACTTCTCAGGAGACAGCTCCTATTTTGAAAGGATTTTTACAACAAGCCATTGTTCTTTCATACCCAAGCAAAAAGCAGAAGTGCTGCGACACCTTACGGATGAGCTGTTCAGAGGTTCTGCAGACTGTGACCTTTGAGTGCACACACCCGCTCCCCCATGACCAATTTCCCTTTGAAGCACTGAAGCACTTTTTGTTCTCCTGCTTTTGGCTAATGTATATGCTTCAGGATTTTGTTTTAGTGGGTCGCACAGAAGGCATCAGCTTGCAATGCTTGAGTACTTTAAAACATACGCTTTCCTTGCTCAAGTTTCTGAAGAAGCATTATTGAAAATTCTATGTCCATAATAGATTCTCTGCAACAGCAAAAATGGGTGTCCTTCTCAAACTTCATGTTCAAGATTATGGGTGAAATTCAATGCTTATCTTATTCCTTGAATGCTGCTGTTCTACTTCTGGAATGGCTTTTAATCCAGTGGTGGTTAAACAACACAGCATAAGAAGAGCCTGCTGGAACAGGCCAATGGTACAGCATCCTGTTCTCACAGTGGCAAAATGGTATTCCTCTGAGTAGCCCGCAACCAAGGCCTGAGTGTAAGCACGCTCTTCCCAACAACCAGTATTCAAAGGCATGCTGCCTCTCAGATTGGAGGGACAAGATAGCCACAAATTTGTCAGATCCTATTTTAAAGCCATCAAAGTTTTTGGCCATCACTACTTCATCTGTGTAATGAGTATGGGTTGCTCGTGCGTAAGTTGCCACCTCTCCTGGCTATGTTGCCTTGTTAAACCTTTCTGTCTGGACAGCCCTTCACTCCGTGGCTGCCTCAGTCGCTAGCAGAATCCGTCAGTGGGCGTTTCTTAAACCTTTTCCAACATAAAAGTTGTTTGACGCCCAATCTCCTCCTACTCTCCCTGCGTGGAAGTCTTCTGCGCAGGGAGGGCGTGGGTAGCGGAGGACCCGTGCTCTCCCCGCTGGTGTCGGGTGAAGAGTCCTGGAGCCCTCTCGCCAATTCCCCCATCTGCCCCCCCTTTATCCCTGGTGTTGCGCTGATTTGCTTCCCCATCTGCTGAGCTGCCTCTCTCCCTGCTGGGCCCTTCTCCAGCATCATTTGAGAGCCTCCCCTCCACCTCTAGCTCCGATGTCAGTTCCCTGACAATCTGGGAGCGAGTTTCATAGCTTAAGAAAAGGAATTGATCTTCTCCAGTTTTCCCTTCCCTCTGTGGTCCCCTGTTCAAGAGGGTTGAGAGACCCTCCAAAATAGCATGGACACTACTAGTGCAGGAGGAACCAGAGAAACTAACTTCTCCTCTTACATTGGAGGACAAATCAGACAGATCAAAAGGATTTCACCCTTTGCTATTAGAATACAGTTTTGAGTTTTGGAACACAAGGAAGCCAGACATATTTTTTGCCTTTTTAAAGAAGAATGACATCTGGACAATTTAAATATAATGAACCCATGTTCTGTCTGACCACATATGTAGCAATATTCCAAACTCCATCTGAAAAAGTGCACAGCTGAAGAATTCAGACCTAACTGAAAGCAAAGTGTGAAATCTTTTCCAATATTATGCTCTCAAAAATCACTCAGGAGTATTTTAATTCTCCTCTTAAAATGTATAAGGTAAAATGCATACGAAGTGCATGCTAACTTAATGCTCATTAGGCAACATATGAATTAAGCATACAGTGGTGTCTCTTCAACTTTAGTTTGGCAAAGGTTGCTAGTGAAAGACAGACTGCAGAAACTGTATATTGCTACAAAATGGTCCTAAATAGTTTCACTGTGCAAACATCAAAACACTGATAAAGCCTATAACTAAATGTATTAAATTTCATTAGGACACAAAACTTAACATTCTAGTGCTATTTTAGATGAGCAAATGCCAGTCAAAATCACATCTTAAGAAGATCAGACAAAGGCTCAGATAGAATCATTTATCTGACACAATACCCATAAATAACACAGCACTTCACACAATTACTGAACAGTGATTCTGCAGTGGCCTTTTACCCCCTGAGACAATTGCCCTGTGTTTCACAGGAAGACAGAGACAGTCCCTCTCTTCTATAGCATTCATGCACTCTGCTTTGAACACAATGTCCTGGCAAGAACCCATTTTTGAACCAGCAACATAAAATTCTTCTAAGGCTGTTAATAGTGAGACAGTATTAACCTGGGCAGGAGGGAACTAACACAGCATTACTGGGCATAACAGGGCCAAGTTCCCAAAACTTTTATCTAGGAGGATTATCAGTAGAAAACACTATTTAAACATGAAAATGAACACAACCTATTTATAAATACTGGTGAAAAGTCAGCATAGTGCACTGAGATCTCACCACACACTGGCCACACAATTTAAACCTATAAAAGTAAGAAACTTGTTGAAATCTGAACACCCTTAAATCTGGCATTCTCAGATTCTGTGCACTGTTCTTCTGCCAAGTTTTGTGCCTGTGCTATGCTGTTACAAAATACAGCAAAACTACAGAGACCCGAACATTAGTATTACATTTTTAGTCAGCAGTATCCTTTGGACTCAACCATTTTGAAGTTTGTTAAATGAATATTAACATCCTTGAGTTGACCTCCTGTGATCCTAATTACACCATCCTATATAGACAGGAGCCTAACAATGAGTGCTACACATCAGTGAAGCAGAAATTACTCATACCCACATTCCACTGGCAAGCTACCAGACACCGAATTATTCAGTACAGAGTCACAGCTGATCAGGGGTATATCTCCCAGCTTGTGCTCAAGTGATCTATGTCAGAAAGTGATTATATGAGATTAATTTGGTGGAACACCATCTTCAGCTGCAAACGCAAACCTATGAAGATGAAAGAAAGGTCAACCGATGACTAATACACATTGTACTTCTCAAGCCATTTTATCATCTGCTGTACTTTTATTGGGCCTTAACAAGCAGTAAATCTTCCATGGATGCAAAGCCCAGAGGCCTAGGTGACTGGCTGCTTCAACTTGCTGGAATTAATACATAACCAAAATATTTTTTCCTCAAATGCAGCTCATCGACTATCATAGCAAATGGGAACCAGGTACTCATGTGGAAACTGCTTCTTTTAAAACTCAGCTGTCTTTACTATAAAAACAAGATTACTTATGAATCGTTGGTTTTTGAAGAACAATTACCCTTTCTTACACTAAATGCACTAAATTTACGTGTTAAATTAGTACAACAGACAAGTACACTGTTTTCAGCAGAAGCACAATTAACTTAGCATTCATTTCAGTTTTCAGCAGAAGCACAATGAACTTAGCATTCATTTCATTTTTTTGTGGAAAGGAGTGATACAACTACATGGCTACATAAAAAACACCAGCATTTCATAGTTTGAGACACTAAACAGGATATTGTATCTTTGTATACATAACAATAAATATCGGAGAATATTTTATAATTCACATTTCAGGCAGTTTAACATGATCTTTGTTATTTGTGCTTCGCTCCAATCCCGAATTTAGCTGTTTAATCATATGCTGTTCATTTTGTCGGACCATTATTATGTCACATTACTGAAATTCTAAGCCTAAGTATATTATGAGAGCTTTCACCAGATTAAAGAAATCTTAGTCAAACAATTACACAAATTTGTAGTTAATCACAACCTCCCAAATTTTCATCTGTGAAAAGGATTACTACAGAAAACAGCTCTTTTTTAAAGATAATGCACGCACTTTTCTAGCAGGCTCCATATTGGAAGAGGCATTCTCTTCTACGAAAGAGAGAAGAGGAAACTGATATTCTAAGAAGGTGCATGCCACCTATAGCTTTCCTAAGTTCTTGCATTAAAATAAGATAATTAAAAAAAAAACCTGCCCAATCAGAAGCATCAGTTTTGGTTGATCAAAAAGCTTCTTTTTTCACATGTTGACTACAGCTATACTAGTGACCAAAGGACTGGAGCAACTCTCCTGTGCGGAAAAGTTTTCACATTTGGGGCTCCTTAATTTTCAAAAAGGCAGGCAAGAGGGGTGACAGATGTATCTAGGATTGTGAAATAATACACAGAAATAGTGGATAGACATAAGTTTTTCTCTCTCTCTCCCACTATCCGACACATATCACTAGAATCCAGGGTCATCCGATGATGAATTTAATGAACCTCACCTGACAAGTCTACTGCACATGTTACAAAATTCCCACATAGAAGACTGTCAATTGGTAGAACTAACTAACCAACCTGCATTTAGATTGGTATTATTTGCAAAAACTGGCTACTGCGTCCCATAAGCTTGGGATGAAACCTTACATGTTTGATCATCACATATGATATACACCAACTTGTATTTATTTCCTTCAGAAAAACAGCTTTCATTGGGAAGTTTTTTTAAAAAAATAAAAGCTTTAATTTAACAACGTACTAGGATCCATAAAAAATCCATTTTACCAAGAAAAAAGATACTAAAAAAACCAAAACAGTGAAGCAACCTGTGGTAGCATATTTGGAGAAATGTAGGAGTAGCCTATTTCTTATAGGCTTTGAGTTATTCCAATGAAATACATAAGAGAGGGGAATGGGGGAAGATCACAATACTTACTTCCAAGCTCCCTCTCTTGATGGGATTCAATACAAGTAGTTTTTTCAGTAGATTTTCACAATCTGTTGACATATAGAATGGTATCCGGTACTTCCCCCGTAATACCCGTTCTCTCAGTTCCTTTAGAAAAAACAGACAAAGAAGAACATCTACTATTGAGACAGAAAAATTGAAGACTAGACTTAGCCATTTCAAATCTCAACTGTACCTTTAAATTCTGACCATCAAATGGCAACGATCCACTGACTAGAGTGTAAAGAATGACTCCGAGACTCCAGACATCCACTTCTGGCCCATCATATTTCTTTCCTTGGAAAAGTTCAGGGGCAGCATATGGGGGGCTTCCACAAAAAGTGTCTAGTTTGTTGCCTATAGTAAATTCATTGCTAAAACCAAAATCTGCAATTTTAATGTTCATATCTCCATCGAGAAGAAGGTTTTCTGCCTGAAAAAATGAAAATAGAATTTTAAAGGTAAGTATCAACACAACAGTTCGCCATAACTTCATTATGAGAAGAACTAGTCATTCTACAGAGCTTTGTGTTTTGCTATATGTTACAGCATAACAGGCAATCACCAGTACTGAGAATGAAGAATGTTCTGGAACGGCAATTGTATGTAAGATGGGATCTAATATACATCCTTTCATGATGAGAAGAGGGCAGGAATTTTTAAAATCTTGTATAGATTTTGTAAGATTTAGCCGACAGTACACCTGCTGCCATCAATGGGACATGTGTACACATATCAGACACAGTGCACAATCCTATGCATGTCTGCTCAAAATAAGTTTCATTGAACTTAATGAGCCTCAATCCCAAATATGTGTGTATAAGATTGTAACCTAAACAGCTACAGAGATAATGTTGCCCTGGATCTTTGGAGAATGGAAAAATCTAAAAGAGAAATTAAAATAATGACTGGACTGTTTAGGAATTAAAAAGACACAGGCAAAACAAATGAAAACTCATATAGTGATTCCTATATGAAACAGAACCAGGTTTTTCTTTTGTCTTTCCTCTTTCCTGCCCCTTAGCCAGTGGACTCCATAAAATCAATCAGGTCTAATGCCATCTTCTTTAACAATTATACCTTAAGATTGCTGTCGGCTCCAAAGGTTTGCTTCTTCAATGTTAAGAATGTGCACTCCTCCAGATTCAGATTTTCTCACTTAACGCTTTTTCAGTGAATCTCACTGTTCCTTAATCATTAAAAGCATTTGCGCTCAGGATAACTCACTGTGACTTCTATCTCTAAAGGATCACATAGATGGGCCCATAGTCAAAGGCAGAGTGATGAGCAGCTTTCAAAGCACTGAGAGCTTGAAGCAGACACTGAGCACAACACAGAGCCTGTGCTTAAGGTTCACTTTGATGGAAGAGAAAAATGAATTTGGCAGTGACTTTCTGGGATAAACTGAAGAAGGGGAGATATAGCAGAACAGAGGGCCAAGAAGCCAGATGCTCTATGATGGTACAGTGAGAGATGAAAACAGCCAAGACAGTGGTTTTTGAATTGGAAATATAAATTGTGGAAAGTTAAAAAGCAGAAGACTCTTCATTGCTGAACTTTTTACAAAGAAACACATACAGATGTGCCTTCACATACACACACGCTTGGTTATCAAGATAGGGCTCTCAACGGTGCTTCTATTTTATAGCTGCAAACCATTATCCACAATCATGAGTAGAATCAGATTTGCTAATGTGGTTAGCAAAAACATGTGTGCAAATGTAATACTAGTGAAAATAAGCTCCAAAACTTAAAGGGAGGTGGGGATTCATATCAAGAGGGAGGGACTGCATGATGATTCTAAAGCAGGCATGGCTAAACTTGGCCCTCCATCTGTTTTGGGACTACAACTCCCATCATCCCTAGCTAACAGGACCAGTGGCCAGGGATGAAGGGAATTGTAGTCCCAAAACAGCTGAAGGGCCAAGTTTGGCCAGGCCTGCTCTAAAGGGATTGTTATGGCTTAGAATAAGAGAAGGGAACAGCATAAAGCTACAGTGCAGCACTCCCAATCTCCTAGGCAGTCAGGAGAAGAGGCAGCATGATGACTGCACTGAATAAAACGGGGTGGGGTTAAAGTTTCCTTGGACTGGCGACTAGGAAGATTTGGGCAGTGAGTCCTGCTTTTCTTCAGGGGAAGAAAGGACTCATGACTTACATGCCTGACAAACATGGGGAGAGACTAAGCAGCAATTTATTATATATTTTACAACCTTACAAAGTGGGCGGAAAGAGCACATAAATTGTTCTGCTTCCGTACAGTTTGAGTTCTTAAAGGATGGGAAAAGGAGCATACCTTGAGATCACGATGAACGATGCACTTTTGATGACAGTACTGCACAGCAGACACAATCTGAAATAAGAAATTTGGTTAATAAGAGAACATTTAAGAACGACTCCAAGAAGAATGCTTAACATTTATATCATGAAGCAGATCAAACGCTACACTTCTATTACCTTCTTGCAACCTCTAAAGGAACCTTATGAGGTTGCTACACTATTTTCCTGTATTGCAAGTGGGACATGGAGAAAGAATGGCTTGCCTAAAGCCACCAAATGAGTTCTATGCAAAGGAAAGATTCCACCCAGCGAATCCCTGCTTCAGTGGTTCAGCCTCTTCACCGCTACACCACAATAGCTCCCACCAGCTCCAGACAATGTATTGGAAACATGGTGTTGGGTCAGAATACATGCAATGTTTATTCCTTTGTCAGCCCTTGAGTGCAAGCTTACTTTCCACAAGTTACCAACACAGTGGGTAACCTGGAACAAGGTGGACAGGAAGAGCTTTAACAATTTGCCCCCCTGTGGCAGTCCAAATCCATCTAGCCCAACCCCCTGCTAAGCAAAAAGTCAAACCCCTGAAAGCCATTATTAGTTCATGGGGGGGGGGGCGCAACTGCCTTGTGCTAGAACAATTCTGCAAGTACTCCCCTAAATTTTGCAACCAAGTGGACTGGGCTGAATATGTCAATCAAAATGAAGGAGTCTTGTTTACGACAAAAAAAGTCGAACTTAAATAACATTTTAAAGATTCCTATTTACTGTAAGCAATATTAACAAAATATGTTGCATTGCTGCAGTCTTTGAACTCATTATGTGCTTCTGAATGCTCTCCTTGGTGCTGAACAAGCTGCCCAGGTTCCCCAAGAGTAAATTATGGCACACACACAAGCATTAAAAGGCATATTGTTTTCAAAGATCTGAAAAAAAAACTTGCAATACAATCAAACTTTCCTGAAAGTCAAAAGAATGACCTTTGGATTCAACCCACTGAAAATATTCCTAAAGCATGCTCTAATACTTTAAATACGTAGGAACTAAAGCAACGGGCCTTTCTGCACTAGAGCTCTTTAACACTGCTGAAGTGCTGCTGTTGCACAATAAAGTGGAATTTGAAGATTGGTTCCATACACCACATAAAACAGTATTATTTCCCCATTTAAACCATCCACACGGGAAAGGGAGGACTGTAGAGGGTAGGGAAAAGAGAAGAGACTAATTTCTGAAGTATTTAATTTTTATTTTTAGGTATGCACCTTCACAAAATAATTAAAATCACATTCTTTTGCAGCAAATAAAGCAGGTGGGAGAAGGCAAAATAAAGCACCAGTGATAGGTAAAAGGTAAGGTAAAGGAGCCCTGGACAATTAAGTCCACATGACTATGGGGTGCAGCACTCATCTCGCTTCAGGCAGGGGGAGCTGGCGTTTGTCCACATGACTAAACCGCTACTGGCGCATGAGTGCCAGAGCGCACAGAAACACCATTTACCTTCCAGCCACCTATTTATCTACTTGTACTGGTATGCTTTCGAACTGCTAGGTTGGCAGAAGCTGCAACAACACAACAGGAGCTCACCCCGTTGCATGGATTCGAACTGCCGACCTTCTGACTGGCAAGCCCAAGAGGCTCAGTGGTTCAGACCACAGCACCATCCGCATCCCGCACCAGAGATACAGATCTTCCTTGTTCTACTTCTTGGAGGCTCAATTCTTTCCTGACAGTGGCTGAATATCCTTCCTTGTCATTTTTCTACATTGCAACTTGTGTTGCTTCTGTTGCTGTCTTTTTCCTCTCTCCTAGAGAGCCAGTGTGGTGTAGTGGTTAAGAGCGGTAGTCTTGTAATCTGGGGAACCGGGTTCACGTCTCCGCTCCTCCACATGCAGCTGCTGGGTGACCTTGGGCCAGTCACACTTCTCTGAAGTCTCTCAGCCCCACTCACCTCACAGAGTGTTTGTTGTGGGGGAGGAAGGGAAAGGAGAATGTTAGCCGCTTTGAGACTCCTTAAAGGGAGTGAAAGGCGGGATATCAAATCCAAACTCTTCTTCTTCTTCTTCTTCCTCCCTGCCAAACTGTCCTTTGCTCCAGGAAGAGCAGAGGACTTGGTGCTAGTCAGGCTCTCTTGATCAGGGATCTGCAAACATTTTCAGCAGGGGGCCGGTCCACTGTCCCTCAGACCTTGGGGGGGGGGGGCGGACTAGATTTTTTTTTTGGGGGGGGGGAATGAACGAATTCCTATGCCCCACAAACAACCCAGAGATGCATTTTAAATAAAAGGGCACATTCTACTCATGTAAAAACATGCTGATTCCCGGACCGTCTGCGGGCCGGATTTAGAAGGCCCCCGGGCCTTAGTTTGCCTACCCATGGCTCTTGATAATCAGTGGTGTGCTAGTAAAAGTATCTCCGTCAGTGACCTGGTTTAATTTTCAGTAGCATTCCCCTTCCTATCTTCATATAGCCTTTACAGTATACTGTAACTTTCTCTGTGCCTCATGGTTGGTTATATCTCTAATGGCCAGTGTTGTGACTGACTTGGTCTGTCTTCCTTCTCCTTCAAGACTACTGCATATTTGCTCAGGGTCTTACTCCCACATAACTGTGCTGAGGAGGGCGACCAAGTTGATAATGAATCTGTAAAACAAGCCTTACGATCAACGGTTGAGGGAGATGGGTCTAGTTGTTAACCAAAAGGTTAGTAGCCAGGGATGGCTGAGGGCAGGATGCCCGCATTAGAAAGGGGTGGACTCCAACTCTATAATTCTATGACTGCAACCTTCCTTAAAGCAATTTCAACTTGTCCTAGCCTTCCTACCATCAAGCTCTTTTTTATGACTTAATGTTTTTGAAGATTTGGTAAAGAAGAATTATGGGAGAGGAGACCCAAATCATTCATGGCTCTTAAGTTCCCTAAGCAAAATTCCACAGAAAAGTACAGAAGTTGGGAGGGTTGATGCAGGACGGAGCATCCCTGTACATGTCAAAGAGCAGGCATCTGCAAAAAGACAAAAGAGCTGTACTAAAGAGATCTACATCTGTAGGCACTGTGTTCCTGTTCTGTTCCTTTGTAAAAAATAAAAATAAATGATTTTTTTGATGTCCCCAAATAGATGAAAAAAGCACAGGGAAAATATTAGAGGGCCACTGTTGGATAATAAGAGATTATGCCTAGTAAAATTATGAGTGAACCAAGTCAGCCATTTCACACTTAATACCTAGTGTGAACGGGATCTACATTTCCTGCGCTTAGTTCACAACACTAAAACGTATTTTTTATTGAAGCCAGCATTTCAGGTTCACTTTATAAGACCTTTTTTCTTACCTGTCTAAATTTTGCACGTGCCTCTTTCTCTTTCATTCTTCCATGTGCCACCAAGTAGTCAAACACTTCTCCTAAAGCAGAATGGAACAGAATTATATTGCACAGGTTTCCCTGGTGACAAATCAAAGTGCTTGTCAGTCAACTAACTCGTTCCTTTAGCAGAAGCCAGCACAAGGACTCTGACTAATGCAAGAGGGCTTTCCCCCTTTGGCTTCCCCGCACCCTCCCAAGCTGCTTTCTGACTTATACTACCACACAACTTATAAGTGAAGCTTTAGGCCTCCCAACACCACCAAATTTATGGACATGGATCTGTTTCCTGAGGTGTGTTCAAGAAATATCTTAAGCAACTCATAAAAATAGTATTTGGATTATTCCTTGTTGGAAGGAAAGGCCAGGCACATAGGTCTTATCATTAAGCAGTACAATAACCAAAGAAAACTAAACTGGTTAAATCTTAACACAAACTGGATTTATTTTAATCAAATTCATAGTTTTATTATAAAAGAACATGTAAAAACACAAGCTCTGAAAACTTTAACACAATTTGAAAATTTATTAAGCACAATGGATAAAGGAGAAAAAGGATTAGTTTCTAAATTGTACTCTATACTGCTTAATGTAACTTACAGCTCTATGGAACTGGTTAAAAAGATATGGGAATAGAAGTTTTTACAACCATATAATCAGGAAATCACTAATGAGAGTATGGGAGAGATAAAAAGACTTATTGGAACAAAAGACCCCGTGGTGGCTTTCACCACATGAAGCATTATTGCTCAAACCACTTGGAAAGAAAGGAAAATGGATCACATATGTTGATTTATTAAAGGACCATGATGGAAAATGGAAATTAAGAGATTACGATGAGATCAAAGATGACTTTCAGAGTTGGTTGCATTATTGACAACTATATGAAACACATAAAGAAGACAGCAAGAAAGGATTCAGTTATACAAGATCTAGGTTTCAAACAGAAGTGATCGAAGGGAAAGTGAAATTACTGAAGGCCGCATACAGCATACTATTAGAATGGGAGACAAAAGATGAAGAGGTAAAATCAGTTATGATTAAATGGGCACAAGATGTAGGTCACAACATTATGATGGAAGTTTGGGAAAAATTATGGAAAACTGATTTAAAATTTACAGATTGTTCCCTACTGAAGGAGAATTACATGAAGATGATGTACAGATGGTACATGACATCAGTGCAGTTAGGGAAAATGTACAAAACTAGTTCAAATATATATTGGAAGTGTAAGGAAAAGGAGGGGACATTTTATCATATGTGGTGGGACTGTAATGTAATTAAAAAATTTTGGGAAATGATATACAACGAATTGAAGAAAATATTCCATTTAACATTTGTTAAAAAACCTGAAGCATTTTTGTTAGGGATTGTAGGGAAAGATCTGCCAAAAAAGCTGAAAAACATCTTTATGTATGTGACAACAGCCGTGAGAGTTCTAATAGCACAAGGATGGAAGACTGAAGAAACCCCAACTAGAGAATCATGGCAAGAAAAATTGATGGACTATGCAGAACTGGCAAAACTGACATATAAGCTACAGGACAAGGATAACTGTGACTTTAAAGATGAATGGGAACTATTTTAACTAGACTGACCACCCACAAATAAATAAACAAAGTGCTCCTCATCCAACCCTCTGATTATTGGAGAAACACAATCCAAACTGTGTGCAGATTAATAACTCAGTTTCTCATCCAGTGTAGGATATCAGCCTTGTATTTCCTGAGAATGAAGAATTCATTCTTAGCAGAACTTCTGCCACTCGAACTTCAAAATATGGGCTCCCTGGAAGAGTTTCTTTTCTATCAGCACCAAACTTTGACACCAAACCTATTAGGCTTAACTGCTTTATTTAAACTGAGCTGATGTGCTGCTTATGCATGCTGAATTCTCACACAACAGAAAATTAGGCAGTAAACCTGTGTGGACTATACTACTTCACACTGCAGAAAATAAGTCACATGCTGAAATATTCCTCAATGAAAAACTTTCCTATACATAGAAATCCAACATGTCAGGGAGTAGGTTAGAACTCTTCTGCATTACATGCTAGGAATACTTTCTGGTTGTGGTTTTTTGAGGGGTCGGGGGGGGTGGTCGTGTAAGTCTCCAGATGCACTCTGAAGTATTTTAGTCCAGTCAAAGACCTACCAACTCATCTGCTGTAGGTGAGAACTAGGCTGTCCTTTTCAAGGACACAGACTATAAAGCAGCCTACATCAACGAAAGAGATAACTATGTCCTATGGGAACTATGGCTCTTATGCAGCTGAGTGTCATGCAATAGATACCAAAAGTTTATCACAGCTCTGAGGTGTTATGCCAGCCCCACTTCCATCTTCAAATTCCTACATTTCAAATCGGCCCATAAAAGTAGAATGGAATGTTTGCTTACCTCCACTGGCATATTCCATAACTAAGTATAATGTTTTCTCTGTTTCAATAACTTCAAATAATTTAACTGCAAGATAAAAAGTTGATAACAAATTGCCTTAGCACAAACAATAAAGAACATTTTAAAACAGGTAAATGTTATTTCTTATCTATGTCACAATTTAATAGAAATCTGAGTCAAAGTTTGGCTCTACAGATGAAACTTGTAGAAGTAAAACCACCCACTTCTCTAGAACCAGTTAGAAATTGGCCATATTTTGTTTTCGCTGAATACAAGAGGTTAAATGCTAGATGCGAAAGTAGAACAACTAAGAACCAGGACACTGCCTATCAAATATATTAACAAAATTATTGTTGTTCAATAGTTTAAGAATAAGTGAACGAAAGCTAAGCATGTTGGAAAGGCAGCACACTCAGCTGGAAGGAGTAAAAAAGGGCATACCCTGTATGCAGCAATGTGTATACCTTGTATGCAACAAGCCCTCTGGCCGATTCAGCAACAATAACTGTCTCTGGAACAAAACTGTTCTGCCTTCCTCAGCCAGAAGAATTGTCATCACAAAGTGGGGCTCTAAAGGTGGGGAAAACTAAAGCAGAAAGGGAAAGTTACACGCTTTGCAAACCTGCTCTTATTCACAGGCCTCAATTTTTCTTATCAAAGTGGTATCGATTTAACAAAGAGCAATGTTAAAAATCCATTTTGATAAAAATCAGTGCCCCATTTTCACAAAACACTACAACCAAATTAAGTCAGACCACAGCTTGAAAACACAGGATAAACAATCACTTAAGGGCATCCCTAAGAGTGTGTTAACAGGACTTCATGAAAGGCTAAAGAACTAATCTGATGAGTCACTGGCCCTGCAGAAAGTTACCAGAGAATGATGCAAGTCACAGGCCCTGCTTGGTGAGAATTTACATAGTTCCAATAAACTAGCTTATTTCCTAGAAGTAAAACATTGTGAGTCAACAGTGTGATGCAGCAGCAAAAAAAAAAAAGCTAATGCTATTCTAGGCTGCATCAGCAGAAGTATATTGTCCCAATTAAGGGAAGCAATAGTCCCACTTTATTCTGCCTTGAGCAGACTGTGTCCAGTTCTGGGCACCACAATTTATGAAGGATACTGATAAGCTGGAATGGGTGCAGAGGAGGGTGACCAAGATACTCAAGGGTCTGGAAAGGAAGCCTTATGAGGAACACTTGAGGGAGTTGGATATGTTTAGCCTGGAAAAGAGGAGACTGAGAGGAGATAGGATGAGGTTTTTTTAAGCAGAGGCTGGAAAGTTCTATGCAGTTTTGGGACAAGTCCACTTGACTACAGACAATCTGCTTTGTTTTGGAGCATGTCTGAATACCTCTGAAGCAGCCCACTTCATTTCAGTACTGATGTGTCATCTGAAGTGGGGGCACATAGGGTCCTGAAAGCAAGTGATCCCAAAACCTCTGAAGCGGCCTGCTTTGTATTTAGGCTTCCTCTAATGTGGATGTCTTTTTAATATGCATTAGGGCCTTGATCACAAATCTAAAAGTCACCTAGTGAGATTCTTCAAAGTTAGAAGAAAAGGCAAACACAGGAAAAAAATAATATGATTCAGCAAAACAAATGTCAAATCCCTACCAATATTAGGATGGTTCAAAATCTTCATTATTCGTACTTCTCGGAACAACTGTAAAAAATAGAGAACTATTTTACTTAGGGTGTTTTTTACACATTCTAAGGATAACTGCAGAATGCAAAATTCAAAAATGTTTAAGATGTAGTTTCACACTTAGATAAGTGTCTATGAAATACCAGTGGTAAGTTGCTTGTCTAGAGATACTGGATTAGAACCAGACTAGGTTAATTGCACTAAGTTCCCATTGAAATAAAGGGGGTCTGCTTTGGGTGATGACTAACGTTTCACTGAAAACTAAGTTCAACTAATTTAGTCAGGATCTAGCCCATTGTAAGTAATCTTTAGACTCTCTGGGCTTTAACTAATTTGACCCCGCCCAAACTTTTAAAAAAACTACACCCAAAACCTTACTGAAAATTCTACCACTATTTGAAGTCTGGCAGGGAATTGTTCTTAACCAGTTTCTCAAACCAGTGACTGAATGTTCAAGATTGCAGCAAGGAGATCCAGAGAAAGAGATCTGAATAACTGCTTTATTTCTCAGGAAAGGTTAAAACGAATATACTTCACAAAATGCTTAAACATATAACATACTTTTCTTCAACCCACAGGACACTTTTCTTCAAGAAAGTGACATCACTCCAAATCTACAGAAGTATAACTACCAATATTTTAGAGTTCTAGATCTCAGTGGGACTTAATTCTCCTTTCCAACATACAATACTGCCCAAATCCATTATGAGTTCTTGGTTGGCTAAAGAAGTAAGAAATGTAACTTATTTATTTCAGGAATTTCAGTTCACTTATGCCAAGAAAATATGCACCAGCGTCACCTAAGACAGTTCCTACATGGGACTAGAGGTGAGTGACTTGATTAAAGCTGAACCTGGACTAATATGGGAGCTACTTTGGAGGCTGCTTAAAATTGTATGTGTTTTATGGCTGCTCCACACAGAAAGCTTTTGGGTGCACCAACTGAACATATGGATCAGCTCCACTGCATAGGACATGCTTCGAATATTTCAGAAGGAAGGTCATGTTAGTGTGGCCCCCTCCTCACATCTGGAACGAAAAGCATCTTTCTATCTCAATGTAACTAACTGACCAAGGATTCAGGGCATAAAAACTTCAGAGCAATTCAATTGTCCTGTAAAGGCAAAAACAGTGGTATTTCTTTATGAGGAAGAATAAAAATATTTTTATTTTTAAATCACATGGGCCAATTTATTGAAGTGACAACATATTTAACCTTTTCAAAGAAGCATCTTACCTTTTGTAGGCTGGTAGGATTTAGTTGGGTTTTGTCTATTATTTTCACAGCAACCTAGGGATATAAAGAAATCACTCTTTTGAAGGTACCAACAGGTGAGTATTTTTAGGCAGACATTGGCTTTCTTTGGACACAGCACTAAACTATAGTTTAGTGACACATTTACTTTCTGTTCCGCTCTTGTGCTGTTTCAAGGAGATGAGAAACTTTAGCTTGTTTTTAGCTAACTGCAGCTTAGTGTTACTTCTGAACCAAGACAAACTGTGATTAACCTTAACTATGGTTTACTGAAATAAGCCAGTGGCCTGGTTTGCAGGTTATAAGTAGGCAAACTACTGGGACTGCATGAATGCATTGGCTACCGGAGAGGAGTTTACATCCACTTTGATCCTGCCTGGTCCTTCAGCAGGTGGGAACTTAATCCACAAGTTCTGCGTTCAAGGAACACACTAAGCTAAATTCTAAAAGGACCAAGAAGGATAAAGAGTGGCTACAACCTCTTCCCTGAGAGTTCAGCTGTTTTCACTAAGTTATAGTTTGGCTTAGTGTTACATGCAAACGCAGCAAACCTCAAACTGTGGCTTAGAAAGCTGGCTTGTTTAAAGAAACCAGTTAAACACAATTTAGGGTTCAGATGCTGCTCTAAACTGTGGTTAACTAATCACATGCAACTGTGGATAATTGCAAATGAAAGCAAAAGCAATTGAAACAGAGGAGGGGTGAGCATAAGCTTGAATCTTGTTCACCTAACTCTAAATCACAGCTTAGAATTGCAAACAAATGAGGTCAGTGTAGAGGTTTACAGTTTTTAAAGTTTAAAATACAAGCAGTATTTTACACAGAACACTAGCAAACAGTCAGACAAAAACAATGAAATTAAGCTCCTTGAAACAATGACAATTCCAAGAAAATAGTGGGCCTATGAACATGTTTAAGGGGCTTCACGGTGTCAGGCAATGTTTGGTATTACCATATTTTTTGCTCCATAAGACACACTGTTTCCCTCTAAAAAGTAAGGGGAAGTGTCTGTGCATCTTATGGAGCGAATGTGTGGTCGCTGGCAGTGGCAGAGCTGGGGACTTTGGTTTCTGGAGCGGCGGGGGCCTGGCACGCCGCCCGTGCAAGTGTCCTAATGGCGGCACCCACGCGAGGGGGTGGGAAGAGGCGAGGCGAGGGAAGAGGGCTTTGGAACACTCTTTCGAGTTCCCTCCATCCGAGGGGCTCTGTGACTTGCATGAGAGCAGCCAGGAGCCAGCACGGAGGGGGATCTTTCTCCCTCACACACTCTGTATTTTTTTTCTTGCTTTCCTCTTCTAAAAACTAGGTGCCTCTTATGGTGCGAAAAATATGTGTACTTGTAAGAAGTTAACCTGATTATACTGAATACACAGGCCCATCCACATTAAATGTTCTCAGAGCAATTTGTTCTATCCATTCTGTCCAATACAATCTATTTACAGAGGTTTCTTGTGCTGGCAATGTCAGTAATCTGCCATCAGTGTTGTATTCCAGCCAGCAGCAGAGGAGTGGGGCAGGGAAGCATCGCTTCCTATGGCCACAGGTGGTGATTTCCCTTTTTCTATTATTAGCGTTTGGAAGCAGGGAAATTAAGAGATTTCAGAATATTTTGAATTTCAACTAAACATTTTCATTTCTGTAAGTAAAGTTAGAGCTTTCAGAGAAGATTTCCACTCCAAACCCCTGTCCACTCTTGTCTCCACACAAATATGGTTTATCTTTTGATCAGGGCACAACTAGATGGGACAGGAACAGTATCCAACCCCAGGACCTTCTGATCTCCTATAAAATAGGGGGGTTCAAGGCAGCATGGATGGGGAACAGAAGTTTTTTAAAAAGCATTTAGAAAACTTTTTTCTTTTGGTGGGGTTTACTTCCGATCTTACCATCCCACCGCAAGAAAGACAGCTGTTTTGGGGGAATCCCACTCTTCAAATGCTCTTGTTGTATCTTAAAATATCTCAATTCCAAACCTACCTCTTCAAAGAGATTTAGTAGTACACGTAATTCTGCCCACTCGTCTGCTGCCCTGATGTCTCATTTGGCTCTAAGAAAAGCCTGTTACATATTCAATCACAGAGCTAGAGAATAAGCATGTTCATTGCAGACAGACAAGTGTGAATAAGGCAACACAGGCTACTATTACCAAGCAAAAAAAGACAAACAGCTTACCTCTCTACCAGTCAGAACATGTCTAGCCAGCTTCACTTTAGCAAAATTTCCTTTTCCTATTGTTTTTAGTAAGCGGTAATTCCCAATGTGAGGATGGTCTTCATTTGTAGACGTGATTGAGTTTCTGCAACGGGGTATGTTTTGTCTGCTACTTGATTTTGTGGGCTGGACATGGGGCTCAGTATATCCGTCAACAGATGTGTGCTATAAGAGTAAACAACAGAGCAATATTAATCTATTTAGGATTAATGAATTATAAAACAAATGTTAAATGGGAATAGGAAGACCCACCTCACAATATAGTTGCAAGTGTTAACAAACAATCAAAAATGCTCTATAGATGACAAAAATTTCAATCTTAGAGTGGTATGCAATGCTAGTTCTACCCTGAGGAGACTTACTGAAGTAAGTGAAAATGACTAACATAGGTTAATTACGTTCAGTGGTTCTGTTCTAAGTAGTTCTTAGTTTACTACAACCCTAAGTTTTCTGTCTGCTTTCATACTTGGCCTATATTTGAAATGTACAAAACAGAACAGTGTGATCAACTCAAGTAAATTCTTTCTTTTTAAATAACAATTTATTAATTTTCCAAAGATAACAAAAAATAAAAATAACAACAATAACAATAACACAAAAACAAAACAAAACAAATTGACTTCCCTCTAGTCCCTTCCTTGGTTCCATTATGTATCAATGTACTGCATGTCCATTGCTAATTCAAGTAAATTCAAGTAAATAATTTTACTCATTAACTTTTGCTTTATTTAAAATTTGATCTTTGTTCTTTCAATTGCAGCTGGGAAGTGAGGCACTTTCTTAATTTCAATGTAATACTCCTTGAACCCTTTTTGCAAACTCAGGAAGTTACAGACTGGCCCAATGAGGGAGAAAACAAGCAAGCAAGCAAGCAAGCAAGCAAACAAACAAACAAACAGCAAAACAGCTGAACATTAGCAAGCATTTTTCACAAGCCCCTAACTATAAATATATTAGGGCTTTTAAATATTTTAGCAATCCTTAAAAGTTATAAAATCAGTTGTATTTTCCCCTAATCTTTTTTCCAACAAAATAGACATAAATACAACTATCAGTGGTAACCATAGAGTATAACAAATGCACTGGAAAAGGACATGTAATTTAAGGTACCAGATGTCCCCGTTTCCCGGGGACAGTCCCGGATTTACAAATCAGTCCCCATACAAAATCCTATCATTCCTACTGAAGTTGAAAAGTGTCCCCGGATTCATTGAGAAAAATCTGGTAACCTTAAAGTAATTGCAAAGTACATGCAGGAGCCGCATCAGTTACAACCTATTTTCCAAGGCCATGCTGTGGTTAACAACAGCCTGCCTACAGCCCCAAGAGAGTAAAAATGGATTTGGTTTTCCTAAAGCTTCATCGCTTAAGAAAAAAAAATAATGCAGCTTTTTTTTAGTATAGGAATTTTATATCACTAATCATATCCAGAGAGATTTACAAGAAATAAAGTAAATACAAAAAAATAAAAATGCCACCAACTTAAGAAGATAGGCGGTCTTTTAAGTACTTTGGAACTACTGATACCAGGACAGGATGATTTGTGAATGTGTGCATCAGCTTTCAAGAGAATCATAGACTGTGAAGATTTCCTAAAGGATGGGAGGGAAATTGTTCTCATTTCCCATTTAGGCAATTCTCCCCCCCCCCCCCAAGGGAGAGTTGCCTGGTATCCGCTTTGGTATCATTTTGGTGGTAGACAAAGACCTTTTAGTTCTCACAGACTTAACAACGGTGGTAGTCTAGCCAGCTGTTCCAGTTCTGCAATGTTCTTGTAGGTTTTATTTGTTCTGTTTTACTGACACAAACTACCCTGAAAATGTTTATAATGAAGGATAGCATGCAAATTTGTTAAATAAATGAATAAAGTGACAGAATTCTGTACAATTATACATGGTGCATTATTATCCACCACTGCCTTGGCATGGGTGGGGGGTGGCTACCTCTTTCTCCGTTGAAGAGTGTGGGTGCACACTGCCTGCCCCTCAACGGAGAAGTGTAATGGAGCCCCCACCCCGCCTCTGCCTCGCACAAGTCACAGGTGGGGTCAGGACTGTCAGACTCTTCTGCTTAGGAGTTGGCAGCCATGTGCCCCTCAATAGAGAAGTTTAAACAAGCTGCCTGCCTGCGTGGGCAGCCAAGGGAGGAACAAGCTACATTGGTGTCAGGGAACTGCCATCGGACGGAAGGGTGGTGAAAGGGCTCACACAGGTTGGGAGAGACGGAGCAGCTGAAGAGGAAACCAACAGGGAGGTGAAAGGGCTCACACAGGTTGGGAGAGACGCAGCAGCTGATGAGGGAACCAGCAGGGGGAGAGGAGCTGAGCTGGAGGGATGGCTCAGAGACACTTCCAGCGAAAACAGTGGAGAGGTTTCAGGACCTCCTGTAAGAACACCCACTCCTCGCCGGAAACTGTCACGCAGAGATTCCAGAAGACGTGTTTCCGTTAAGGAGCTTTTATGTTGGAAGCGATTACGAAAGCAACCACTGTCGGAATCTGCTAGTGACTAGAGTAGCCATGTCTGAGGGCTCTGTCACAGACAGAGGTTTGTGGACTTGAACAAACTCTGAGGGGATACGATTTTACGCACAAGCAGCTCATCATCCCATCACAGCATTCCGACAGTCTTTGAAAGCAGCTTGTGCAGGAGAAGGTATCATGAGCAACCCAGCCGGAACCGGAGAAGCAGGAGCTGGAGCGGGTCCAAGCCTGGAAGAAAGGTACCAGATGTTGGAGGTCCAGCTAGCGATGCAGACGGCGAGGCTTGAGGAGAGGAGGGCTCAGGATGCAGACAAAGGGGAAAGCCACCCAGTTCGCCAGAAAGGTACCAGGATTGGTGCAGAAGTTTGGGGGAGCCCAAAAACTATCATGGTTTTCGGACAGAAATGCAATATGCCCTCAATCTGCAGTTTGATGAATTCCCTGACGAGGAATCACGAGTGGCTTTCGTGATTGAGCATCTTGAAAAGGGGCGAGAGACTGGGTTAGACCCCTGATGGCAGCGAATAGTGACGTCTTAAAAGACACGATGAAGTTCTTTCGCGCCATGGATCTGATGTTTTCCAGCGATATTGAAAAGGGAGTGGTGCGCAGACAGTTAATGGGTTGCAAACAGGGAGCCGATCTGTCCGTGAGTACTGGACTGAGTTCACCATGCTTGTTCACAGATTGGGGTGGGACTTATCGGCGGAACCCATTCAAATGCTCTTTGAAGAAGGGCTTTCTTCGGCTGTGAAAGACGAACTTTCCCGGGCGCCCAGGGCGGAGTCTATGGACCAGCTGACCAAATCAGCGCTGGCCATAGGAGCGCGCCAGGAGGCGAGAGCATTGGAGAGGCGGGAAGGGAAGGGGAACGTTGGAAGGAGTTCCGCATTCCAGACATTCCAGAGCCAACTTTCCCACCGGCAGAGCCGATGGAAATCGGAACAGCGCGCGCGCGCAGTTTCAAAGCCCAGTGAGGGGGCAAAGAAGGAGGGAAAAGGCGCCCGGAAATGCTATCTCTGCCAACAGCCAGGTCACTTTGCCAGAGTCTGCCCCCAGAGGAAAGAATGGCAAGGGATGGTAGGGGCTGTGGATGGAAGAGAGGAAAATATACCGGAGCAAGTAAAAGCCAACGCCTGGCTGCCACTGTCAGGGCACAGCAGCCAGGCCAAAGAGCAGTGAGAGTGCCCACGCCAGAACCTCCTAAACCCGCCCTAGTGATAGAAGTGACGCTAGAGCTGCCAAACGGACACCCTCTAAAGATAAAGGCGCTGTTGGACTCAGGCAGCTCCTGCAATTTCATGAGCAAAGAGTTTGCAGCTGAACACCAGATACAGACAATCCCTTTAAGCAGCCCCCTGCAGGTGACCACGATCGATGGCAGGGAGCTGTTGGGTGGAGAAGTCAGCTTGCAGACCGTCCCAATGATAATGAAGGTAGCAAGGCACACCGAACTGATAGCTTTTAATGTGGCCACCTTGGGAGGAGCTCCCATTATATTGGGGATGAGCTGGCTAGCGTTACATGATCCGCTGGTGGGCTGGCATCAGAGAGTGGTTTCTTTTGGTTCAGCACATTGCTTAGAACACTGCAAAGAGGGAAAGGGTTTGGCAGGGGTCCAAGCCACCCTAGCAGGGACTGAAGTAACAGAGAACGTGAAGGTACCACGACAATATGCAGATCTCCGTGACGTCTTCAGCGAAAGGGAAGCTGACCAACTACCCCCGCATAGACCCTTTGACTGTCAAATCAACTTACTCCCTGGAGCACAGCTCCCTGTAGGCAAGCTGTACGCCATGTCAGACAGAGAGATGCAGGAGTTAAGAGAGTTCATTGACAAGAACCTGAAGAGAGGGTTCATCAGAGAGTCCAGGGCGGTGGGGGCAGCCCAGTGTTTTTGTGGATAAGAAAAACACGAACAAGCCGAGGCTGGTGTGTGACTTCAGGGCCTTAAATGCAGTGTCAGAACCAGTAGCCTTCCCTATGCCCAGGATTGACGACATTTTGACAAGGGTGCGGAAGGGAAAGATTTTTACAAAGCTGGACCTAAGGGGGGCGTACAACCTGGTACGAATAAGGAAGGGGGATGAATGGAAAACCACTATGTTCACCCCTTTAGGGGCATTTGAATATTTGGTTATGCCCTTCGGCCTCCAAGCAGGCTCCGCAACCTTTCAATCGTTTATGAACCACGTCCTGGGGCCTTTGCTTTACAAGAATTGTGTGGCCTTTTTAGACGACGTGTTGGTGTATTCTGAGAATGAGGAGCAGCATGTGAGAGACGTCAGAGAAGTGTTGAGCAGGCTGCAAGCCAGCCTGCTGTGGGTGAAACTGGAGAAGTGTCAGTTTCATACCAAGGAGGTGGAATTCCTGGGGTATCGCCTGTCAGACAAGGGATTGGCCATGGATCCCGGCAAGGTCCAGGCTGTGCTGGAATGGAAAGCACCCAAAACAAAGAAGGATGTGCAGAGGTTCCTAGGATTTGGGAACTTCTATCGTAAGTTCATCCGAAACTTTGCCCACCTGACGGCGCCCATTACGGACTGTCTCAGCAGTAAGAAGAAGTTCGTGTGGACTGAGGAGGCGGAGCGAGCATTTGAGGAACTAAAAGGGGCCTTCGCCTCGGAACAACAACTCCTGCATGTGGATATACAAAAACCGATGAGAGTGGAACCTGACGCATCAGACAGCGCGGCTGGGGCGGTGCTCCTCCAGCCAGGCAAGAAGGGGTCAGAGTGGAGACCGTGTGCCTTTTCGCGAAAGCTGAACAAATCCGAGAGGAACTACACGGTGTATGACCGAGAACTACTAGCCATTCATGAGGCGTTCCGGAGATGGAGGCACCTGCTAATTGGCGCACAACATAAGGTGCAAGTGTGCACTGACCACAAGAACCTAGAGTATTGGAGGACGGCACGAGTGCTCAACCAACGGCAAGTGAGATGGGCCCAGGAGTTCTCCAAATTTAACTTTGAGATTAGTTACGTGCCAGGCCCAGAGAACATTAGGGCGGACGCTCTCTCACGCAAACCTGAATATTTGGAGGGAGGGGCACCCGAAGAGAGACATGTCATTCCAGAAGACCGCTGGGTGTGTGGGGCGGCATTGGTGGGACAAAGAGAACTGGTAGAGGAAACAGAGAATGATGAATACGCCCAGAATAAGCTCAGAGGTCTTAGGGGTGATGGAGAGGAACCAGGGGTTTCGAGGAAAGAAATGGAGCTTTGTATTACAAAGGGGCACTGTATATCCCTGAAGGAGAGTTAAGGGGAGGGTACTCAAGCAGTTGCACGACAGCCCTACGGCGGGGCATTTTGGACAACACAAAACCATGTGGTTGGTCACCAGGGAATTTTGGTGGCCTAAGGTGAGGAAGATGTACGTGAGTATGTAAGAGGGTGCGAGCAATGCCAGCGAGCCAAAGGGGAAGGCGGGCGCCGGCGGGGCTATTAGAACCCTTACCAACCCCAGAACGACCTTGGGAGGCAGTGTCGATAGATTTTATGACTGATCTGCCGAAGTCCAAAGGGAAAACAGCCATCATGGTGGTGGTAGACCTACTAACAAAGATGTGCCACTTTGTAGCTTGCTCGCATGCAGTCACGGCGGAAGAGACAGCGAAGTTATTTGTAGAAAACATTTTTAGGTTGCACGGGGTGCCATTGAGGGTGGTCTCAGACCGAGGAAAACAATTTACTTCCAGGTTCTGGAGGAAGCTCATGAGCTTACTGCAGGTGGAGGTCAATTTTTCGACTGCCCGGCACCCTGAAACCAACGGGCAGGCGGAAAGAGCAAACGGTGTCCTCCAGCAATACCTGAGGTGTTATGTCAATGACAGAGAGAATGACTGGGTAGAAAAGTTGGCGCTGGCGGAATTTGCCTACAACAATGCCGAGAATGTGTCCACAGGGATGAGCCCCTTCTTGGCTAATTATGGGTGTCATCCCAGGGCTTTCCAGGGGGAGAGGGGGAGAGATGGAGCGTCCCGGCAGCCGAGCATTTTGTGGAAGAAATGGAAGCAATCCATCGTCAGCTCCAACTCAACTTAGAAAGGGCGAAGGAAGAATACAAGAGGCAGGCAGACAAGAACCGAAGGGAAGGTGAAACCATAAGGGTGGGAGATAGGGTGTGGCTGTCAACCCAAGGGTTGCCGTTCAAAGGAGGTTGTAAGAAATTAAGACCCAGGAGGTTGGGTCCCTTTGAGGTCATTCAACAGGTCAACCCAGTGGCTTTCAGGCTCCGGTTACCCAACCACATGAAACTGCACCCAGTATTTCACAGGTCGTTACTGTCACCGTACGCAGGGGGCCGAGAAGGGCTGGCCACTCGGGGACCGGTCGTAGAAGAAAGAGAATGCAGCAGCCATGTGGCAGAAATCCTCGACGCCAGGTGGAAGGGGGATCAGGTGGAGTATTTGGTAGCGTGGGAAGGAGAACCGGAGTCAGAAAACACTTGGGTAATGGCTGAAGATATCAATGACGAGGTATTGATAGAAACGTTCCATCAAAGGTTCCCAAGGAAACCTCAGCCTGTAGAGAGGTTCCGGAGGGAATACTTTGGGACCACTGATGAAGGGGAGGAGTTGGAAGGATTCCCGGACTCGGAAGGGGAAGGGAGATGGACTCTGAGGAGGAGGTGTACTTCGAGACCAGGAACCGCAACAGGTTGAGAGAAGTGTTCGAGACATCGGAAGATGAAGGAAGTTCATTCCGGGGTTTGCCTCCTCACCGCCCGTAGAGGAGGGCGAGAGGGGGTGAAGGGGGCCCTGGAGGGGAGGTGGATGTCAGGGAACTGCCATCGGACGGAAGGGAGGTGAAAGGGCTCACACAGGTTGGGAGAGACGCAGCAGCTGAAGAGGAAACCAACAGGGAGGTGAAAGGGCTCACACAGGTTGGGAGAGACGCAGCAGCTGATGAGGGAACCAGCAGGGGAGAGGAGCTGAGCTGGAGGGATGGCTCAGAGACACTTCCAGCGAAAACAGTGGAGAGGTTTCAGGACCTCCTGTAAGAACACCCACTCCTCGCCGGAAACTGTCACGCAGAGATTCCAGAAGACGTGTTTCCGTTAAGGAGCTTTTATGTTGGAAGCGATTACGAAAGCAACCACTGTCGGAATCTGCTAGTGACTAGAGTAGCCATGTCTGAGGGGCTCTGTCACAGACAGAGGTTTGTGGACTTGAACAAACTCTGAGGGGATACGATTTTACGCACAAGCAGCTCATCATCCCATCACAATTGGCCTTGGCCAATGTTTCTCCCTCAGTTATATGATGGCCAAACTGTGATGGCGGTTTCACCTGGGGGTATATTGTGAGTGAAAACACCACTCCTCCTGAGTCCCTCTGTCACCAGTGCCCAGCTGCAGCTTGTTTCTCCTTCAGCACGCTGGGCTCTGGTGGCAGAGCGACTCAGGAGCGGTGGTGGTTTTACTCGCGATAGACCGCCGAGTGAAGCCGCCACCGCGCTTTGGCCCTGATGCCGGTCCTCAGTGATATATCGACACATTGCCCAAGCCTACAGTACATGATGCTGTTGTGAACCTTGGGCCCGGTCTTATTCAACATCTTTATCAATGACTTGGATGATGGACTCAAGGGCATCCTGATCAAATTTGCAGATGACACCAAACTGGGAGGGGTGGCTAACACCCCAGAGGACAGGATCACACTTCAAAACGACCTTGACAGATTAGAGAACTGGGCAAAAACAAACAAGATGAATTTTAACAGGGAGAAATGTAAAGTATTGCACTTGGGCAAAAAAATGAGAGGCACAAATACAAGATGGGTGACACCTGGCTTGAGAGCAGTACATGTGAAAAGGATCTAGGAGTCTTGGTTGACCACAAACTTGACATGAGCCAACAGTGTGACGCGGCAGCTAAAAAAGCCAATGCAATTCTGGGCTGCATCAATAGGAGTATAGCATCTAGATCAAGGGAAGTAATAGTGCCACTGTATTCTGCTCTGGTCAGACCTCACCTGGAGTACTGTGTCCAGTTCTGGGCACCACAGTTCAAGAAGGACACGGACAAACTGGAACGTGTCCAGAGGAGGGCAACCAAAATGGTCAAAGGCCTGGAAACGATGCCTTATGAGGAACGGCTAAGGGAGCTGGGCATATTTAGCCTGGAGAAGAGGAGGTTAGGGGGTGATATGATAGCCATGTTCAAATATAGAAAAGGATGTCACATAGAGGAGGGAGAAAGGTTGTTTTCTGCTGCTCCAGAGAAGCGGACACAGAGCAATGGATCCAAACTACAAGAAAGAAGATTCCACCTAAACATTAGGAAGAACTTCCTGACAGTAAGAGCTGTTCGACAGTGGAATTTGCTGCCAAGGAGTGTGGTGGAGTCTCCTTCTTTGGAGGTCTTTAAGCAGAGGCTTGACAACCATATGTCAGGAGTGCTCTGATGGTGTTTCCTGCTTGGCAGGGGGTTGGACTCGATGGCCCTTGTGGTCTCTTCCAACTCTATGATTCTATGATTCTATGAACCATTGTGAAATAATTTTATGATACAGCGGTATATAAATATTTTTATAAATAAATAAAATAAATATAAGAACTTGAGGGTACCCAGTTCTCTCTCATAAGGCTTTCTTATATTCTGAGCTGCAGAAATGTGCACTCAGCATCTGAAGTGCTTGTCCACAGAGATAGAAGCAGGAAAGCAGAAGAACTGAGGTAGCTAAACAGACCTCTTTTGCATATTATGGCTTTCTGAAGTCCGGTTCACTTAACATAACTTTCTGGATTGATTTCCCTCCCACCCATCACCGCCCCCATTTGATTTCCCTCCCATCTCCCAAAATACATGCATCATTGCCTAAACCATACTGGAATGCCATATCCTCTACTTCACCCTAGTAGAGGAAAACAGCTGCTCAAAAGAAAGGGACGGGGAAGAGAGACAAGCTTTGTTTCAAGCGATGGGATACAAATTTCACAAATGTGGCTTATTTGTCATTATATCTCTAGCTCTCACTGTCATGCCTTCAGGAAATATTTTACAGCTTTTATCTGCAATGCCATTGGCCATATGAAACGGGGGTTCAAATATTTTGTATTTATGGGCAAAGGTAAATGGAGGATGTTATCCATACCTGTTACGTTACCAACTAGATAAATGTATGAGGCACATTCCGCCCGCCCCCCCCCCCCCATTATCTTACAACCCTTTAGTGCTGTGTGACTGTCTTTCAGGAAATGAACAGTTTATACTGAGCTTGGCTTTGACAGCAACGAAAATTTAAGTCCAGCATAAAAAGATTAAGGGGTTGCCCTGAGCTCTTGGTCATTTTATTTTATACTTAATCTTTTGGAGGCATTCAAGTATTGTGTTAACTCTAGATAAGATTTAATTTGCTTTAGCCTACAGAAGAGGTGTTGCTGATGTCGTAATTCATTCATCAGTTTTGTGTTCGTGTGTGTGTGTTTTAATTCTTGGACTGTGAAAGGCACACAATAATTATCTAAGCTTGCATTTGAGCAAGAAATGTTAGATAAAGAAAAGTCAAAGGGGATCAGATTACAATCTCCAATTGTAGCCCTATGGAGAAGTTGTTTTAAAATTAGTAATTTACTGTTACGTATTGAGAAAGATACTCAAATAAGTTTTATAATGTACCAGTAAAAAGAATTATGACTGGTAATGTTTGAGGATGGGAAACCTAATCTTTGCAAGCACTTACATCTCTGGGCTTAATGGACTGATTCACCTTGAGGTTCATCTTGAAGGACAGCAAGAGCTTGAAACATTATAGGGTATCAAATCCATTACTTTGTACCAGTAACTAACAGCCACTTATTTTGTTGGACTTCTGTTGGTCGTCTCTCCTACCCAGGGATGTAAATTCCACATTTATCCTTCACAATCAAAATCTGAGAAAGAAAACTGTACTTACCAACCCAGTCCAATAATTCACGTTTTCCAAATGGAATACTATGAGGACACATATATTTTACAAAACATATTTCATGTTTAAAAGCTTGTACTCTGGCCAGAGGTGGGTTTAGGGTAATGCAAGGTGCAGAATTTTGGCCTTGCACAGGGCACCGCTGAAATTTGAAAGACCAAAGTCTGCCCCTCCTCTGGAATTCTAGCTCACATCTTTCCTGTGTGGATATTGAAACAGAGGACCTGCCATTACATGGATTATGAGAGCATAAATTGCCCATTACAGAAGAACCACCAATTCCTTCAGCATTTTTTTGAGGTTATGTGTTACTATCTTCACATCAGTAACTAAAAAGGTATACTACAATGCTCCAGCATTTCCTTTTTAGCAAGTACTGCATAGTTTTGAGCATTATAAGTTAACCCCTCCAAAAAGCTGTAGAAACAAGAAATTGGTTAAGATGGGTATCTGGAAGACCTGCTCAACCACTACTTTGCCCCTAGGGTAGAACCCAAATGTGAGATTAGGAACAAGCTCAGGCTCATTGTCTTTCTCCCCGGGATAATTGAATGATTGACCTGGAAGCTTAAGTGCAGATGAGGTCAGGTGCAATGTTTATCAGCTGCATCTAATAGGCCAGCTGCATCTGGAAATCTAAGACCTTGGCAATGTTTAATAATTCCTTAGAAAGCATGCAGATCAATCACAGTCATTTCTTGTCTGGGTGTTGTCCTTCAAGACTGTCTGGAAGCAACAGCTGTGCAAAATGGTATGGCCAGTGTTACATGTTCTTTAGGCTGCCAGTTTGTTTCTAGGTTCAATTCAACAGGCTCGTTCCATCCTTTAAATCTTTCAAATGGCGTGAACCTAGCATACCCAGCTTGCGAAGACCCTGCTCCCTTGACACTCCCTGGGCTTTGAGATCTTCTGGACCAAGTCCAAGCTTTACTTCACTAGACTTTTAGGTTTTTTTGCTTCTTCTGCCTTAACCTTTACAGCATCCTGCTTCTTAGCTCCAAACTATTGGCTGTGCAGGCTTTCTGTTGCATCTTTGCCTCTATGTACACACTGCTCCTCTCAGGGGTTTTTTCTTTATTTTATTTTTTAAATTGCTTTTATTAGTTTCTGAATTGCCTTGGGAGAATTGTTTTGGAAAGGTGGTATAGAAAGTTTAATGCAGAAATATATCTGGCTAATTCACTACCTAAAATAAATTTCTGAAACAGCACAGAAACCTCTATTTGCACAAGAAAGCATGCTCCCTGCTAGACTTATTCAATTGTCTGTCTTTTCTTATGCTGCCTTTGTATGCCATAGTCCACTTATTGAGGCTACTTGTTAATGCTTCCCATGGCAGCATTCCATATGGTATTTGCTCTGTGCTTATGCAAATCAACTATTTGCATGGTACTTCCTTCACACCTTTGACAGGGCAAGCGCACACATTCTATGCATTTGAGCTTACCATACAACCAAATGTAACATGTTGCACCTTGTCACATGGACAAATATATATTATCGATCTCCTGTTGGAAGAGGCAATCTATGAAGCTTTCGTCAGGTAGAAAGGGCTCGATAGCGACAACTAATCCTACGGAGTACAATATATAGTTTGTGTATTGATCGTTCACATTAAACTTATCCATTTCTTTTAGCAGAGACACTGGAGAAGGGGAGAGAAAAGGTCAAAAGACCTTTTATACAGTCATTTTAATATCTAGTGGTGCTCATTCACGCAAACAGGGAAAGATGCAAGGCTAATCAAAGGAGCTGGGGTCTGAGCTTTACTTCTGTGTAGGTGTGGCTTCTAAGCAAACAGCTCTGAATTTACTCAGAACAGATGTATCGGCTCCTGGGTCTAACGGAAAAGTATACCTGCTAATGTGGCTGGACTGACAATGTGACAACAGTAAGGAGGTGAAACCTGTACAACCAGGGCTAAGAGTCAGCAGCTCCATTAATATACAGATTTACTATCACACTGTTTTTCTACCAGGAGACGGGTAGGACCTCATGTTGACAGAAATACTTCTGGATTGAAATTGGCTGAGTGCTGCAGAAAACTGATTGGCCAGTTGAAAGAAATGTCTCCCAGAGTCTGTCTAAATTAAAATGGATTTTGGAAGGATTGTAGGACAAGGGAAGAGTATGGCTTTGAGATTTTTAATTGTTTGACATTTCACTTGGTAGGATTTAAGTCCAGATTGCCCTAAGGGACCAGACTTCACTGATTTTAATTGGAGAGTAGGAGAAATGAAGACTGGAAACAATGCAACTAACTGAAACACTAGAATTCAACAATAACAATTCATTATTGGTAGTCATGTTTCAAAGGTATCCTCTCAGGTAACAATGTACACTACCAAATTGGGGGACCCTCAGCAGCACAGTGCCCTAATTCTGCACATTGGTCCTAAATCTGCCTCGGGATAACAATACAACCCTGTAAAAGATTGAAGAGTCTTGAACATAAAGTGTAAATGAATTTCTCATATATTTCAAAATGTATGAATATATATTTCATTCTGTCTTTTTGTTTGACAGAATGATGTCCCTAAGGGTAATCCTGCCAGAAAGTATGGAAACTGAAACAGCTGGCAACTCAGTTACTGCAAAGGTTGAGAAATTGTTAGCCAATTTCTCAACCTTTTGGGGGGAGAATAATTGGAGTGTTGCTATAGCCAAGTGTAAATTCCTGTTGGCATTACAACTTCACATATGGACTTGGTGCTGATCTGTAATTTGTGAATACAGAGTAAAGTGCAATATGCACAGGGTTTTGCTTTGGAGGTAGTTATTTGTAAGTGCCTATTAATGAATTTTCACGTTACATTGGTCACAATTAATTTGCCAGAAAACCCAGCTTACCCACCGTTTACGTAATTTTGACACTCATCTATGAAACATTAGCTGTATATGTATATTGCTGCAGACAGAAAAAATATTCATGGTTTCAGAGGATAGAATTGTCTAAGTTTCAGATAAATAATTGAGGTTGCAAAACTTTAGTGTTTGTCATGTCTGTTAAAACAATAAAAAGAAAGTTGTTTAAACTCTCAGTGGCATACTTCTTGAATATTTTTGCAGGGAAGATCAACCCAGTTAACAAAAAAACAAAAAAAAAGGGTAAATGGAAATCAAATAATATTTGCTAAAAGAAAAATATTATGTAAAAAAGATTGTAAATGTTATGTTGGTCACTATGGAATTATCCTACCACCACATAAATATATGGTTAAAAAAAAAAGAAATGGAAAAAAAAGAAATGTTTAGGTTAAAGGTGAGCCCTGGATTTTTACTAAGTTGAAGACCACTGATCTAAGTTATGTGTTCTAGCATTCCATATCAAAACCAAACACTCCCCCCCACCCCAATTACTAATGCTATTCATTAGTACAGCTGCTATACTAATGTTTTGGCAGCTAAGATCTCAGTAAAATGAAAGAAATACCAGAGTTTTGATTCTGCTGCCAGATTTGTCCTAGTGAACCCCATGTCCTCATTTGCAAGACATTCAAGATTAGATTTGTTTTGGAGAGAGTACATATGCAAAAGCAGTCATGTAGAACCATGCTTTTTGCTTGCTGAGTACAAAGCCAGAGATTATTCAAGTAACAGTTTCCTGGAAGAATATAAATAAAACTTGTCAAAGTGAAAGCCTTCTGCTTTATGTAAAACACAATAATTAAAAAGACCATGCTTTTTTGTTTTTGACTTCTCAGACAGACAGAATAACACTGACCAAAGATATATAGGCATCATACAATGGTACATGGGGAATCCTATTTAGATTGCCCTGGGCTAAAAAAATGAGATTGAGGAAACTCAGCACCGGGTCCTCTGCTACCCATGATTTAAAATCAGACTAAACAAAGCCTGGTTACAAGGTTAACTTTAACCACATATAATTTCATTACAGTCGTACCTTTTGGAATGGATTCCGTTCAACTTCCAAAATGTTTGGGCACCAAAGCATGGCTTCTGATTGGCTGCAGGAAGCTCCTGCAGCCAACTGGAAGTTGCAGAAGCACCATCGGACGTTTGGCTTCCAAAAATAGTTCACAAACCAGAACAGTCACTTCCAGGTTTGCGGCATTCAGGAGCCAATATGTTTGAGAAGAAAGCTGCTCGAAAACCAAGGGACGACTGTACTGTTGCAGTGCTTAAACAGTGGTTAAGATCTATGGGGGGAATGCACACTCAGGAGGGGGGAGGTTGGTGAAAGAGGACATTACCACAATCTACTCCTGGTGTGATATCCACCATCTTGAAAGTGGACTTCTGATTGCACAATGTTACTTCTTCTTTCTCTGCTCCTCCTGCAGTCCTCAGGGAGGACTGTAAAGAGGAGGAATGGGAGTCCTATTGCGTGCACAAGCAGAAGTTTGCTCCATTTGTAGATGGACACAACAGAATACCTACCACTATGTGTGTACTGCCCAGTAAGTCAGACAATCTTCATTTATCATTTACTAAAAGATGAAGATACTTTGATCACAATGTAAAAGATATTTTGACGGTTAATACTCAAAACATAGTACACTCCATGTCTTCGAAGTCCTGTTTTTCTGGCTATTCTTATCAGTTACAAGTATAAGATTAATATAAATACTGTATTATATCTAATGTCAGACAAGTAGATTTTGCAGGTGAGGATTTCAACCATAATGGGCAACAATCATTTCAACTGTGCCCATCTATGTGTGGAATAGATTTTGATCATGCAATGAGATTCTCCCTTCCTTGCTCCCATACTGTGGCCCTTTTAATCACACCCCAAACTGTTTCAGGGGGTTGGGACACATGGAGAAACACAGTTGACTGTTGTCTGTTATGGTCAAAATCACCACCTGCAAAATAGCAGCTCTCTCAGTGGCATCCCATTCTTGTGTTACACTTTCATTCACAAAGCTAATGTTAACTTAAACAAGTCAATTTTGCCACTTAAAAGTTCAATTACAACTTCCGGGTTGGCGCCTCTGGCAATGGCGGATTTCCTCCGATCGGGAGGAATCCGCTCCGTGGAAACAGGGTCTGAACCGCCACGGCGAGGCGGAGACCCATCAAAAACCACAGGCGGGAGAAGCCTGTGGACGTGGGATTCGGCCGGTACCTTTGCGCCCCCCCACTCGCGGGGAAACCCGATTTCAGGTTCCGGAGTGACGTGGGGTGAGTGGCGCGGTGCCTTGAATCGACCGCTTCTTTCACGGAGTGAAGCCGCATTGCTGTTGCCGGAGAGCGCTGACTTTTTCCTGTGGACAATTGGAGCCTAAATAACTGTCCGTGAGTAGAACGGAAAATTGGAATAAGAAATTTCCTTTAATTTGGCACTGAAGCGGAAAGGTATAAACAGGAAGTCTGCCTTCCACTTTTTGTAAATAGATTGAAGCAAAGACACGGCAAGCTAGAGCTTAGAAAATCGTTTGTAAAGGATCAATTTTCATCATTTAAAATTACTGAACCCCCCTTGGAAGCAGGAGAAGAGGGGGGAACTTTTTCTGGACTGATTAAACTTGCAGAAGACAAGTAAAGAAAAACAATTCTCCACCGTCCTGAACCTGGGAGCGGGGTGTCAGGACAGACATCTTCGGGAAGTTCATTGACTATAGACAAACGTTTTTGACAGCTAGTTAAAAGAGAAACATATTGATTCCATTGTTCCCCTTCGCATCTAAAAGGAACAAAATATTGACAAAATATCTGAAAAAGGAAACTTTGTTGTTAGATTTGCTTTAAAAAAAAGAGAGAGAGAGAGATGGATACAAATAGAAGCTTTTTCCCCTAGAGGGAGCTTGTGAAACGGTTATTAAATTCGAACTGGGGAGTTTTGCAGCTGCAATAGATTAAGATTGTGGGAACAGACTCTGACCTTCAGCAAGAATGTACTTGGAGGCTCTGGTGTTGGCCTTTTGTAAGACAAGTGCTTTATTGGAACAGTTACATGAGAAGATGGATTTGATGACTGTTGGGATCGGAAAGTTTGGACAGGCAGTGGGTACTTATTTAGAACCCACTCAGGAAATAACTCAGGAGTGTGCCTTGACAGATCAGGTGAGGTAGGAGGTTGTTGCTGGACCTAGTGAGGCAGAGATGGAGGGAACTGTGGCCCAGCAGGAACATGAGTTGTTGGACTTGACGAATGAACCTGGAGAAAGCCAGATTTGGAGAGACAGAGTTCTGTTTGGCTTGGAGATGGGGGGCTGGATAGACCCCCCTATGCAGGGATGTTTTGACCTTTCAAGTCTGGCTTTGGGCCGGGAGGCGTTCGGAGTTGTGCGGGCCCTTAACTTTGGAGGGGCTTTGAAACATGCTTTTAAATACCATATGGAGTTCAGTGTTGACTTTGGAAAAGGGGCTGATCTGTCGAGAAGGGACAAAAACATTGTCAAGCTGGAGTCTCCCCGAGTGAAAGGAGCAGAAGACAAAGTAAAGCACAGGTATAAATATGAAGAAGATCTGCAGATGGGACATGGAAGAGATCCAAGGGCCTCGGATATAAGGTTACCAGGTTGATGGACTAGATGGATGGGATAGAAAGGACTGACAAAACCCGAGACCAGGAGAAAGAGACGTTGGATGAAGATTGGAAGAAAGTTTTAAACAAACTATTTAGGAAAATCTTGTAAAAGTAAAGAGTATTAGAAAAATGTTGGAATGAAATTATTTGGCTTTAGCAGAAATGTTAATAAGAATTATGTAAGAATATGTCATGGTTAATAGAATTTGGTATAAATAAGATTTAAGTTTTAAGTTTTAGGGCCTTTTATGGTAAGGTTAAAATAGATTAAGGTAATTTAATGACAGAATATTATGAAAGATGGAAAGGATTTGCTGAGATAATTAACAACTAGAATACAAAAAAGGGAGGTGTGAGGAGGTCGATGAAACAAGGTAATGACAATTAATGATTTGGGAATATTGGATTTGTTTTTAAATTTTTTGTCTATTTTTGCTTTTTGATTTTGATGTATTGTGTTTTTTTTTTCCTCTTTTTGACCTTGTTTTTTTTAATTGATTCGTATTGTTTAAATGCTACTTGTTTTTTCCTTCTTTTTTTCTTTGTTTCTTTGTAATCTTAAAATTCTCAATAAATATTTTTTAAAAAAATTAAAAGTTCAATTACAAAATAGATTTCTATCCTTTGCATCTGGTATGTGAAAACACAGACACTATGACTACAATCCAATTTCAAGTTTCCTGGTAGTAAGCCCACTGAAATAAGTAGACTTACTTTTGAGTAGACATGTATAGGATTGTACTCTAAGGCAACTGCAGCTGAGGTAATTTCATATTCAACCTAAGTCATCAGACAGCACAGAATAGCACATTTATAGCACAGAATAAACGACCTAATAAAGTGATGTCTGACAAGTTTCACCCAAGCAAGAAGGGAATTCAGGAAGTTCATCAGATAAAAGGCACTCAGTCAAAATATACATTTGGTATGATGCAATGGAAAGAGCTTGATTTTTCAAAAAAATTTTGAAGACCTGAATAACTCCTGCTAAATTAAAGGTGTCAGACTGGGATCATGATTTGGAATGCCACTAGAAGAGAATTAAATTTGGTTTAAAACACCGTGTGTGTGTGTGTGTGTGTGTGTGAGAGAGAGAGAGAGAGAGAGAGAGAGAGAGAGAGAGAGAGAGAGAGAGAGAGTCTGTTTTAATTCCAAAAACAACACCACAACCCACCACCCAAAAGGATTGTCTTCCTCTTTAAATAAAGGGGAGAACTATTTTGTCCCTTATTTGTCTGCAAGGATGTGGGAACTGGAAACAGCGATTGCTGCTTATACAGTGAAAGTGTGTGAGTCATGAAATTTCCTAATTTGGAAAAACTTAAGCTTGTTTTATTGTGTAGGAGGACAGGAGAATAAAATGAGGATCTCTTTGGCAGGCTGCTCAACGCTAGTACAGCACAAACTGGAAGTCTCCTTATTCATACCCTTAAAGTTACTCAAAAGGCAAAATAAACGTACTGATATGTAATTCAAATATTCTATGTGAAGACAGGCTTTAAGTAACTGTCAGTAAAATACAGTAACACTGTCATTCTGATATCTTGGTGATATTAAGTATCAAAAGCATGGTCTTTCCCATGGAGAAGTGAGCTTTCGCCTCACTGAAAACTTCAGATAATATACCTACTCAAAAACAACTTTTCAAAGTTGGATATGGTCACTTAGTTTAGAGGTGCTGCACCAAAGAGCCCACCTGAAAACCTCCACTGCTAAAAGCCAGAAAGATCACAACGTGAAAGCCTTCACGCTGAATACCAGTCACGTCTGTTCTAGCGGTTATAGATGATAAACTCATGTTTACTTAAAGGTACTGTATCTACAAAAGCCTCCAAATAATTTGTGAATATATTCTAAAAAAGATGCAAGTTTCATTTACACAGAAGCAATCCACCAAAACCAGTGTTGGGAACCGTTGGGAGGTTCTGGATAACTTTAGGGAGCTAGGACTAAGGCAAGACATTACAGTGGTACCTCGGGTTACATACGCTTCAGGTTACAGACTCCGCTAACCCAGAAATAGTGCTTCAGGTTAAGAACTTTGCTTCAGGATAATAACAGAAATCGGGCTCCGGCAACGCGGCAGCAGCAGGAGGCCCCATTAGCTAAAGTGGTGCTTCAGGTTAAGAACAGTTTCAGGTTAAGTACAGACCTCCAGAACGAATTAAGTACTTAACCCGAGGTACCACTGTACTGTGTAACTTGCTAAATACCAATCATTATGACAGCCGTAAAGCAAGCGTGTCCAAAATCTGTTTCAGGGGCCTAATCTTGCCCGCCAGTCGGTTTAATCCAGCCCCCGTGGCAGTTTACTTCCTGGGGTAAAATCCTAAAAAAAAACTCAACAACTTCAATCCTTAAAAAAGGTTAACTTTGGTTGGCCCTCATGGCCCTTCACTTCATCAAATCTGGCCCTCTTTGAAAAAAGTTTGGACACCATTGCCACATCACACACACCTGTAAGCAGGTCAACAGGGTACCTCTGTGCACCACTGCAAAGCCCTTGTCAGTGGAACCTGAGCCAGCTAGCAGCAAATAGGGTAGGACAGGGTTCTTCCTCACCACTATATACTATGGTACCCCAAACTGCAATGTTTCATTATTCCCAAAGGGCTGAGTATCATCAAATCATGTATATGCAAGAAAGTGCCACACATGGGAACACCATTTGCATGCAGCTTAAAACTTGCCACTGACAACTGTGGTTGCAACTGTGGTTTCTTCAGCAGGAAGTAGATTCTTCCCTCCAGACTTGTCTACTGGAGTCCATTTATTTTGTATATGTCAATGAAAGCTGTTCACGTATGAAAAGAAATGAGGCTGAAACAAAGGACACAGCTGAAAGAACAAAGCTTCCTAGCTAGACAAAGGTGCTGTGACCCCAGTGTATTGGGCCTGTTATGTCCTCCTCAGCTATTTCCCAGAGCACAACACATTTACTTGGCTACATACCCTGAAACCTGATTTCTCAGTTAATATCATGACGATCTGATTTTCCCTTGATATTCACAGGTTGCCCCGCCCCCCCACCAAAGGATCAAATTCGCAGGAATTGACTACTAAGGATATAATGAGATGGGGGTGGCGGTTTGCTTTATTTTTAAGGGAGATTGCATAGTCTCATATGTAAAACAGATACAAAAGCAAATACTACACCACTAAGCAAACAAATATTAAGCAAAAAAGAAAAAAAGCTACAGCAACAGAAATATTGGAAAGAAGCCCATTTATAAACAGCAAATCAGGACAGATGGAGTAAAACCAGACTAAGGTAATTACTGCACGCAGAGGGAGAAAAACCATTTACATGAGATTCCCCCAACTTAGTACAGGAATTATACCACTTGAATGTTCTCTCATGTGGCCTCTAATCACCTCCTGCAGGTATTTTCTAGTGCCACAATGGCACTGCATTCAAAGCATGCGGCATATGTCCCTAAAAATGGCAAAAGTTACTATTACTGTACTGAACTTGCCAAAGATGGTGCTCACCCCCACACAATAGCGCCTTCCCCACCAAAGCTAAACATTTGAAACTACTACCACACTGGTTTTTAATACCAGATAAGATTATATATACATTTTTAATGAAATTTGTTAGCACATCAATTCTAAACGTTGGAAAAATTCCAGGAGCCCAATCACCTTAGCTACTAAACTCTGGTGCAAATGCTTTGGAACTGGAAATATGTGTGGTTGTGATTCTTTTATTTATTTTATAATGTGATGGAGGGCAGGCAAGAAATATATATTTTAAAAATTGCTCTAGCCTAGGAACAATTGACCAAATTAAGGTTGTTACAAGCAACTATGACAACTGAGGAATTCTCAGCTAATGTGAGGACCAATATATATACCAGCAGGACATGTTTGGCCTTTAATGCTCTGTATGAACCTGGAAAAATGCAATTAAATGTAGGTTGTTACATAAACACCACTGTTGTAAAAAGCTAATGATCTAATTATATTATTGTTGTATATGGTAGACCCAGTTGGCTAGCTCCTGCACAGACCCTGACAGAACCAAAGCCAGCAGGATTCCAAAACTCTGGAGGATTTGCTGACTCAATGTAATACAGAATCAAGGCATTGTTTACAGCACAGTGGCATAAGTAGATGGTCCTAGACAATTGTCAGGATACTCATTAGGCTCTGGTTGAATTGGCTTCCCTTGCACAGAGAGGGATGAAGTCGGCTGAACTGGAAACATGCCACCAGCACTCAACCCAGGCCTGACCCGTAGGCTACCAGAAGTTTTATGTCAACTGCTATTTTACAGCTGCTCCCACCCTGCTCAGCTATATTTGAAGGAAATAATCGCATGGAGAAGTAACCATGATGCCAGTACAGTTTTCCTCAAGCGGTCATCTCATTCAAACATGTTCGCTTGGGTATCGGAGAACCCACACCACAGTGACTCGCTTGCTTCTCCTGGTACCATGAACATACTGGTGACGGAAACACCTTGCTGAGTAGGGCAAACCCAGTATGCTAGCTTACTGTCAGCCTCCTCACAACGCCACCCCTCCCTCCTAGTAATCAACATTGATGCACCATCAGGAAAGCTGGCATGGTGGCTCTGCCCTGCCTGGCGTGCAACTTCTGGCTCTTTCATACTCAGCAGCAACAGCAGCCATGAATACTGCTGTCTTGTCACTTTTGGTCCTCTACTTTGGAGGAAGGAAATAAACTTGGAATGCAATTGTCATGATTCTTTCATATGACTCTGCTGATAGCATGGAAAGTTAACTAGTCCTTGGAACCCTATCTCATAACACAAAACCAGGGAAGAAGAGGGGGCTGGTGCACCTGCAACCCAATGAATCAGACTGTGATGCCCTCATCTCATTGTCCTCTCCCACAAGCCATTGGAAAATGATACAATGGAGCGGCATGGCGATTACTATATAGAAACATATACAATAGGCTTTCCCATCAGAACACAGGACAATATCTTCTTCTGGATTTTAATGGACTTAAATAATTGATGAACACTTCTACAATAACTGCAACTACTTCAGAACATTTTAGCTTTATGTGGATCATGTTGCATGTTTTATGATGCAATTAAAATAGGAGAAACCAGAAAAGCACATGTGCATTTGAACTTGTGCTATGACAAGATAACCTTGCTGCACAATTAAGATTTATATCGCAATACTAAAATCTTGCACTTGAGTTCACATCCTAACTTTGACCCTGGTTTTAATCTGATGCACTTCAGTTTTGTCACAATATAACAGATTTCCATCCTTGTAAAAAAATATCAAGAGTGCAACTTGTACAACATGTTGTTTCCATATAACGTTGTTTTTTTAAGATGCAAGTCAAAACAGACCATGTATACTTGTTCTTCACAATGAAAGGATAAAAAAGCAGCTGAAATTACACTACCTACTGTAATGGAAGGGGGACCTTTTACTTTGTTCCTTCCACAACTGCCAGTCTAGGTAGTTCAACCATGCAAGGGAACCTCAGATAGACTGCCACCATATTCCCTCTACACCAAATGGAAGTGAGACCATGAGGTACAAGGCAAATACTTATGAGGGTTAACAGAGGGAGCATTCAGCTTATTTGGACTTCGCAGTAGCCAATGATAGCTTGCTTTTATCGATCAAACCCCACTTATACTGCAAGTAGAATGGACTAAATGGTCTATGCATGTAGTCATACCTCATATCGCGTTCCGCTCTTGTTACGGACTTTCAACTTATGAACATGGCAAACCCGGAAGTGTTTACTTCCAGGTTCGACGCCAGCGCAGAAGCTATCTGTGGGCTTCAGGCACATGCAGAAGCACTTGATCATGCCACGCACATGCGCAGAAGGGGCGCTCTAGTTGCGGACTTTTCGGGGTGCAAACAGCTTAAGTCCACAACTAGAGGTACCACTGTAAAGGGAAAATCTCTTTCAGTCTGGCAGAAATGCAAACAAGTCCCAAACAGCCAGTTTTATGAAGTTTATTAAGAATAAAAAGCAAGAGGACAAATGGAAGAGGCAGAATGTGTTTCGGTAAAGTGTTCAAGAAAGTAAAGGGTTTAGTTCAAGTCTATCTTATAGCAGCTACTTACAAACAGGCTTTGAGTCATCTCATGTGTAGTGGATAAGCATCGACAGTCAGCTGGAAGAAGAGGGAAACTGAATAATAGGCAACAGTCAGTTTTCAACCATTGACCCATGTGGGCCTCGATTTATGAGTGATGCTTAGTTAGGGACAGGGCTTGACACCTTTTGGAAAGTGGAAGATGGGCTATGTGGATTTGTCATCTCTCTGTCACAACTTAACCCATTCTGCAGTTTGTGTATTAAACAGAGGCTGAAGGGAGTCATGACTTGCCCACTTGCAGATGATGGAGGTCTAGATAGAGACTGGGTGATCTTAAAGTGACAGGCTGCCACAAGGAAAGGCCTGGGTTAGACCTACAACTGCAGGTGGTCAGTCTAAGAGCAGGGATCTAGTTATTTACTGACCCTTCCTATAATTTTATGCACCATAAAACAAAGACTCTATTCAACCTGAAGGGTAGAATTTCAATTCAAAACAATGGCACAAGGAAAAAATATGACAACTCAAGCTTACCTGATAAGCATAAATCTTTCTAAAAAGGAACAGGAGACTTGAATGTCATAAAGTTAATGGCGCAATTCACTCTTAAAAACAAAACCCGTTGTTATTCTCTCTCCTAGACAAAGGAGAGGATGGCAATGCATCCCATATCAATGTATAAATATGTACTTCATGCAGCGGGGAGAGGGTGATGATGTTTGCCATCAGAGGATAGTTGCTTCCTCCTGCTCCAGGAGTCTTCATAAGGAAGCTGCTGACAGAGGAACTGTGTCTTTTCAGTCTATATGCAAAAGGGAGGGGGGATTACTAGTTACTACTTACTGCAATTAGTTCTAGGAGTATTTGCAGCTATAAACGAGCCTTTTGGAAGCTTTGTGCATACTTAATTTTATTTGATATATTTTAAACAAATTGTTAATTATTAAACTTTTAGTGTTGTAGTGATATTATAATTTTAATTATGTATTATGGATACTGTATTATTGTTAGCTTTTTTTTGTAAATCACTTTTGAGAACAAATCGGGGGACGTGTGGTATGTAAGTAAACTATGACCACACTAAAAACAATTAGGCATGATCAAGAAAATGCTAGTACTAAATAGGCAGTCTTCACATTTGATCATAGAAATCCTATCCTGAAAGATCCATAGCTTACATTTCACTTAATTAGAAACAGTGGGGGATATTTCTTACCAGTAGGACAGAGTATCCTTCTCCCAAACAAATGTGAAAATAGCTGCTAGTATAACTTAACACTGTCAGTATGAAACATAATTGATTCTATAATACAGCTTTGGCATAATAGTGGAAAGGACCAATATTTACCCCAACCCTCTGTTTGCAAGTACCGTGCAATCAACCAGCCCATGATAGGCCAGCCTATTCAATCCAGGCTATAATGTATCACAAAACCACAAAAAAGCAGGTGCAGTACAGAAAGGTGCTTGTATGAGTAACTACAGTGGTACCTCGGGTTGCATATGCTTCAGGTTACATACGCTTCAGGTTACAGACGCCACTAACCCAGAAATAGTGCTTCAGGTTAAGAACTTTGCTTCAGGATGAGAACAGAAATCGTGCTTTGGTGGTGCAGCGGCAGCTGGAGGCCCCATTAGCTAAAGTGGTGCTTCAGGTTAAGAACGGACCTCCAGAACGAATTAAGAACTTAACCCGAGGTACCACTGTATTTCCAAACGGCTATATCAAGCAAGATAGTCCGCCACAAGTTACAGGGGAAGGTAAAACGATTTGCTTCTGTAATAAGATATTTATTAAGGAAATCAGATGCTTATTTGTTTTCAGTCAATTCCACTGAATTAACCAAACAACTGAATTAACCAAAGTTTACAAAACAAAAAATAAAACCCAAAGTGTGGTTGGGGGGAATGCTTGTCTAAACGAGTGTGTCTTCAGGAGCCACTGGAAGGCCAGCATTGATGGGGCATCTTGTATTTCAGCAAGGAGGGCATTCCATAACACTGGTGCCACCAGTGAAAAAGCCTGACTCCATGAAGATAACCATCAGACAATGGCAAAACTGACTTGGGCTCCATTAGCTGACTACAGTGGCCTTACACAGTTTGTCAAGTAACCTGGTCCGTAGCTACTTAGGGCTTTGTATGTAAAGTAGCAGAATGTAAGTATGGTGATCAGCTGTATCACTACTATAATCCTACATACATGTAGGATTGTGTCAAAGTAAGTACTTCGGATTCCATGCCCCCCCCCAAAGGCCTTTAATGAAACATGCAAGTTTCTCCACCAGCATTTGTGCCATAGTACAGGTTTGGTAGATGACCACAGTGTCTTTCATGCCTGGTAAAAACATTTATGTTTAGGGAAGCCTATCCAAGTTTTCATATGTTTTATTCTGTTAAGCTTCCTGTTGATTATAGATTTTTTAAAAAAAATATTTTCAATACTGATTTTTAAAGTGTTTTTGACTGATAATTTCAGAGCTGGTCTTTGACCGTAATAAATTATCTTATCTATCTTACTGATAATTTCATTGTTTGCTCTTTTTGTAAACCACTTTGAGGTATATAAATATTTTGAAATAAATAAGTAAAAATGACTGCTGATGACACAGCACTAATGACCCAAAATGCTGCATAGGTAGGTACAAGATGGGAAAAGTTATTTTAGCAGTCAAGTGCTTTATCACAGAGTTAACTGCTGCTGTAGCAACAACTCAGATTATCAAGATGACAATGTCTTTAGAACAGGCATATTTGCGCATGGTTCTCTGTCCAGAAAATACAGCTGTCTACAGTACTTTGTTAGATACATTCCTGTGAATGATAATTAGGGCCAGTCCTACTACCATCAGGAAGAGTCATGAAAATTGCCGGCTATTGTATTTATTAGATCATTTTACTACCACAGAGGAGAAACAGCACTTGTGTGGTTTTCTCTCTCAGGTGCCAAATAAACTTGACTTTGGGTACTATGTACCTCGACAACGGTTGAGGAATGTCATTTGCTGCCCCACCCCAAGCAGAAAAACTTATTAGGCCAACTCTGATTACACTGGAAACTTGCAAGAAAAACCAAAACCAAAAAGAAGCTGAAATATGTCTCAGGCTCTCAATAAGCCAGAGCAACAACAGTTCATCTTGGGGAAGCCATTCTGAAAACACATATTCAACAGAAAAGTATGTTTTGAAGGGCAAGGGGTTTTACTGTAGTTTTTGATGAGTATTTGCTTATTACCAGTAAGTTGTAAAGAGTTAAATTAGAGTAGACTAGTGAAGTTGGCTCTTTGCTCCTTCACTGTCAAATCAAGGACACATTCACTTGCATTAACTCCTCTACCTCTTAGGTACAGCACAGATTTTTAAAATGTTCACTCCATAGGTAACTGCCCATATGCATTAATTAGTTGAGTCTGTTGCACTTAATATACCATCAATAGTATCCAGTAGTCTGGAGCAAAGCTCTTATTAATCTGTTCACCCGAAATTGCAATCTCTACAATACAAAACTTTAAATATATAGTAGAAAATATGTAGAAATGATTTGGTAGAAGCAACCTTAAAAATATCGATCATGGGGTTCATGTTATGATCTAACTAAAAATGGCCCCAGATTAACAACAACTTAATAGCACATGACCTAATAAAAGAAAAAAGTCTTAGATTCAACAACTGTCTACAAGTAATTGGAGCCAGGGCTATTTTTAGTCACTGGCAGACAGACATACAGAGGAAACCAAGAAATAGGTTATCAGCAATATTCTAACTAGTAAATGATACCAATAAGTTAGATAATACAGGCAAACAACTCTGCCACAAACAAACAAACAATATTAATAATAATATCTGTCAAAGAGTGTGGCAAGTCCATAAAGATAGACAGACTAGTTTGGTCAGCTGGGTACATTTTCAGATCCACCAAATCCCAAGGATACCACTGATTTGTACTGCAAAATAGCAAAAGCCTGTTGGCTCTGGGGTTTTTATTTTCATTTGTTTTATTTCAAGCATTAATAAGCTGCCTTTCTAGATATTATCCTCCCAAGAAAGCAAACACTATTACAACACAACATCCAATACAATGGGGGGGGGGGGAATAAAACTCCCAAAACTAAAAAAGGTATGGACACAGTACATTAGGTTGTAAAAAAGTATAAAACTTGTAGGTGGTCCTGGGTCACACTACACTTCTTCATAGCCATAAGGTCTAAGAACTTTTTTTTTAATGAAAGATGTGCAGGAAGCAAAAATCCCCACAACTTTACAGGCAAATGAACCTGCCTTTCTTCCCACTGGTCATAGTAGTACTGGCTCTGGGATTTCATGGCTGTCTGGCCTACCATCAGCTTGCATCCGAAATCTCTCTGACATATCCCCTTTAGATCAGTAGAAAGTGCATAGTCTTCCTCTACAGAAAGGTACATTTTCATGAGATGGATACTAAATGGGGGGGAAATGGTGGTGCACCCACCACCCATCCTAAGGACCCATCCTTCTTGTCCAAACAAGAAGCTAAAAAGCAGCCAGGAAGTAGCCGGAGTCCTTCTGCTCTCTGCCAGTTGAAAACCTGGGGAGACACAGCAGTCTTTGTTAATTAAGATCCAGCCACACACTTGGATTACACAAGCTTCTTCCCATGAAACAATCAAGTGAAGCTGCTTGTCAAAGGCCTCTACCACTCCCACCATCGCAGGCATCTCTTGCTCAGTTGCCTTAGGATCTTCTTAGATCAATACGATCTTCTTAGATCAATACATTTTCAAAGGGTGTGTTCCTAGCAGGGATACATGTCAGGTATCGTTGTTGCACTGGCCCATGTGAGGGAAGAAAACGTTAAGTCAAATAATCTGCAGAGATCTTAGTGCTAGTTTCTATTACATATTTCCTGTGGTGGATACAGCAGGCAGCTCAACTGACAATAAGAAAAGGGGGGTGTTCATGTTCAGGAGACTTTAAGAGGCAATTTTTCCAGGTCTTTTCTTCTTTCTTTTCCCTCTGGACCCTTGACTTCCACACCCAGCAAGCCCTCCAAGAGACAATGGATACCACACAACTGGGTGCTAAGTGGATGAGCTTCCTGCATCAGCATTGCTCGGAGAACTTGTAGCCCTCTGGATGTTGTTGGATTGCAACTGCCATCATCTCTGACCATTGGCTGTTCTGGCTGGGGTTGATGGGAATCAAGAGTCCAACATCATGCGGACTCCCTCCTCCATAGGTGGGTTTCTGCTGCTCTAATTGTGCTAATGTGCTAACTGGTTTTCCCAGTAGTGATGTATGGAAGTGAGAGCTGGACCATAAAGAAGGCTGATTGCCAAAGAATTGATGCTTTTGAATTATGGTGCTGGAGGAGACTCTTGAGAGTCCCATGGACTGCAAGAAGATCAAACCTATCCATTCTTAAGGAAATCAGCCCTGAGTGCTCACTGGAAGGACAGATTGTGAAGTTGAGGCTCCAATACTTTGGCCACCTCATGAGAAGAGAAGACTCCCTGGAAAAGACCCCGATGTTGGGAAAGATTGAGGGCACAAGGAGAAGGCGACGACAGAGGACGAGATGGTTGGACAGTGTTCTCGAAGCTACCAGCATGAGTTTGACCAAACTGCGGGAGGCAGTGGAAGACAGGAATGCCTGGCGTGCTCTGGTCCATGGGGTCACAAAGAGTCGGACACGACTAAACGGCTAAACAACAACAATTGTGCTAATCTCTGTATCGTTCCACTTTCAGTACATGTGCTGCCAGAGCAAGCACTCTTTTGCTCTACTTGTCTTCCCCGTGTACTTTTTTCAACTTTATGTCTGAGGGTGGCTGATATGTGGTTTTCCCGGTTTTTGCTAACCAGTTCTTATTAGCAGTTTTGAGCCAACACCAATGCCATGGGTGTAGTAGTAGATATCCTTAGCTGCAATCCATGAGCAAGGGAAGTTTGTAGGTAGGATAGCAACCCTATACTCCAGCCAGAATTCTCTGCAGCCTGGTTCACCTCCTCTTTCCAGTCTTTCATAGAGAGACATCAGTCTAGGACTAGTTAAATTTAAGAAAAAGAAAGCCCAATAAAGCATAGCATCTGGGTCAAAACACAGTTTTATAGAAGCTGCGGAACGATAACACTTGAAAGGAGGGAGGAAAGTTATTTGATTCATTAGCAATGTGAACTTGTTTTACAGTCAGCTACTGCTTCTCTACACTGCACATCAAAGGAACAGAGAGACTTTTCTTCATAACAAAAAATAAATTCCAAAGCAATAGTTATCATTGTAGGTTTATGAAGATACATACAGAAAATTCTCACACATTCGATTTTCATATAATTATGCCCAGCCAATACAACTCTCCCGTGCCCCTACAAAGCATGTTTGTGAGAATGGCAGGACTGAGAGAAGGGCCTCTCCTGAATCTCAAAACCAAAGCTGGTGTATATGAGGGAATATGGTCTTTCAGATAGCTTGGACCTAAGCCACAGACGAGCATGACCAATGTCTGCCTTACAGACTAATTCCAGTTAACAGAGCATCCTTCTGTGGTTCCTGGCCAATCAATAAAAGAAAAGAAAAGAAAAGAAAATAATAATAAAATAATAATAATAATAATAATAATATATTATTTCTACACTGGCTGGGTTTCCCCAGCCACGCTGTTTGGCTTTCAACAGAACATTAAAAACAGAATAAAACTTCCCTAAACAGGGCTGCCTTCAGAGGCCAAGAGAAGAAGTGGGAGAAAGTAGCAAACCCAAACTCCCCACTGTGTTGAATATCTGGGAAACACAGCATGGTGCTCTGGTGGCTGTTAACTGAGAAGGACCACTGCCATCTCAGGCCACATGCCAAGTTTCCCAAGTTCCTTCTGCCTTATAGAGCAAGTCATCCTTGAGGCAGAAAAAGTCAGATAAGAAGACAGCCTGGTACAGCAACAACCCAGCTTTCTTCTAGTTAAGGTTGTTTGCAACTCCAATATTCATCAGTATGCAACTTCAAAGTAGTTGTGGTTGTGTACACATCATGTACCAAAACTAACACAACAAGGCAATTTATTTCCTATTCTCTCACTGAGCATATTTCTAGGCATATTTTTAAATCCCAATATTCCTAACCAACTTCCTATGCAGATGATAGCAATATAGCCTGCCTCATACCTACAGAATAGTAGCAATCGTTCAAACATATTCTAATGCACAGTGCAATACCATTTTGTTTCACTTCCAACACTTCAATACTGCTTTGTTCATAAACCATGAAAAAAGCCAATTTTATAAAATGATTTCTTAATTTTCCAGCCTTATCAGAAATGACCTTCAGGTAGTTATTGTGCCTGGAAAGATTGTAAATTCTGAAATTACATTCACCCCTCCTACATATAAACAATAAAAAGACATTGCAGGAGGGCAATACTATGGAAGCAGTCTTATCTCCCAATGGACAAAAAAATGCTGCTCTGCAGCTATACACACTCATGTTACAGCAATCTATGCATTTCATTATCAGAAATATCTCACACAGAAGGCTCTATCTGCTCTTAATGAAGTAGATTTAAAGTGAGAAAAGGATACCCAAATACCCTAGTAATATCTGTTGAATTACAAAAGATTTAATCCGGCTTCACAATTCAACCATTACCTGCTACTTCCAACCAGAAAGCATGAAGATAACAAGAGACAACCCAGTTTCACTGCAGATTTCGGAGGGGAGGGGTGATTTCAGGAATCTCCTGGTTTGGTGCTTGTACATAAATGTCTTAAAGAGAACGGATTCATGTCTCCCCCATAATGTGCAGATGGAAAAAGTATGAGATGACATCACATTCATGTTTTCCCTGCCCCTACAAGTGGCAGCCAATTAAGCAGACCTGTAAAACACTAATATGATGTCACTGTCACATTTCTACAAACACAAACACACCCTTTACTTTACATTGAGAGAGGAGGGATGTAGTTTGGTAGTTCCCACACACCCCCCACGGCATGTAGCTCAGGACTGAGCATTCTTTACATCATATTTCTGTAAGACAATCCAACAATAATATTCCTACATATTGCAGATAGGAAGCTGATATAAAGCTGATAACAGAGACTTGCTAAAGTCATCTAGCAAAATTTCATCTCAAACTCTTAGACACAAAGTTACATCAGTTGTTGATGGAGAGGTAAGTTGCTTAGATGCAGCTAAAAACAAACAGCATGCACTAGTTTATTTTATTTAACAAAATGTATAATCAATATTGATACCCCAAGGAATGAAATCAGGAAATCAATATGATTATGCTAAGCATAAGTATTAAAGTGCTGTCTATCTGTATATTTTGTGTGCTGTATAAAGAGTTGCTCTCGTGTGGTACCAAGGAAATTCAAGATCCAACAAGAAAAAGGACATTCTGAACTAAATGAAATGATTTTTTCATTTAATGTTCCATTTGAATTATTTATTCTGAGCTCTTATTTAAAGCTTTTCAGAATTTGAACTCCCCACCCATCGAAGTTTTATAAAAGCAAAGGGAGAAATATGAATACATTTGTAGAATACAATTATAGCATCCAATATGGGGATCCACGCACAGAAACTTCACCACTGAATATAGTAAAGGCTGGATGCCCAGAAATATAGCACAACAGAGAAGAGTTACGTCAGTGCAACAGAGATGAGGAAACTGGAAGTGCACAAAAATCAAGGGGAGAAGGCCAGCAATTATAGGCTCTGACTGGACTACTGGATTCTGTATTAATTGATTTAAACAAAACCCTCTGCAACCAACAGCACTATTTCTCCTGGTCCTTCCTTTCCATGAGCCACAGAAAATAATTGGCTTTACACAAGCATGTATCTTGATCAGGCAGTTCCATTCTTCTTCTCTTCCACCTTGAGCACTCAGGACCATTTCTGCCACAACCTGGAATCAAAGGAATGCCTATCACTACCTTTACCTGCTCATTTACTGAGATCAGATGCCAAAGTTCTCCTCTGGGTATGCTGCTATCTGAGCTGAGGCATGTGGCAATTTGGGCTGGATTTTTAGCTATGACACTCCGTTTTTGGAACTAGAAGCTTGCCTGGCACCCATGATACTATCTACCCAGTGCCAGGCAAAGACCTTCTTATCCTCCTAAGATTTTACATTTTGTTTTATGATGGTGTTCCTTCCCATTTCTTGTATTTTGTTTCTTTCTAAAATTTTGTAAGCCACCATGAAAGCTATTTTTATGATAGCATGGTTTTTTATGATAAATATTTTCCGCAACACAGAAACTCTTCCATATGCCTTTGAGGATATCAGTGTCCAGTATGTCTTGACAGCCTAATTCAGTATCACTCAGATAATGAAATGCATGTATGTTTAGATAAATGGCACACTCAAGTAAGTAGAGAGCTGAAACCATTAGCAGTTTAAATTATATGTAATTTGTCATATAAATACAGGATTGGCATATACCTTCCCAAACCTCAGTTATGTCAGAAGACAAATTAAAGAAGGAATGCTTACTTCCAGAAGGTATGTTTACTGCATTTTAAAGCATTTTAATTTATTTCCAGCAAAATAGCAGCTAATCTCATGAGGGGGGAAATGAGTTCAAATAAAAATGAGAAACCTCATTACACACTAATATTTTTAACTTAACATATCCCGAAGCCATCCATCACTGTAGAAGTGTTAACAAAAATGCCACAGTATCTCCCATTCTCAAGTGAACTTGTGTAGTCACACAAAATATGTGAGAGAATGGGCTACAACTCTATGGTTAAAGTTCAGTCTTCAAATGAAACCTGCCCCCCCCCATCTCATCTGCAACAAACTATATATGTATTTCTCAATGTTGCTCCAAAAGGGTATGGGAGAATGTGATGCTAACATCTAGTACCAAGAAGAAGGTTTACCAGGCTTGTATGCTGAGTACACTATCTGTCGGCAACTTACAACCGCCAGAAGCGACGCCTCAATGCCTTCCACATGTGCTGCCTCAGGAAGATTTTGGGCATCACATGGCAGGACAGAGTCTCAAACAAAGGTGTGCTCTCCCAAGCCCACAGTCTTAGCATGTCTGCACTCCTGTCTCAGCGACATCTATGCTGGCTTGGTCATGGCCACAGAATGAAAGCTGGCAGGATCCCCAAGGATGTGCTTTACAGGGAGCTGGCTTCAGGAACTAAGCCCGCTGGCAGACCAACTCTCTGTGTTACAAAGATACCTGCAATCGTGACATGAAGGCTGGCAATGCCAACCCCACCATGTGGGAATCTCTTGAAGACAATTGTGGTGCCTGGAGACAGCCAGTCAGGTCATGCATCCATAGCAGTGGCCAGAGGAGGAATGACTGCTGGGAGGAGCACAGAGAGAAGAAATGCCATGGTGCATCTGCCCCAGCTGCAACTAAACATGTACAGTAGTACCTCGGGTTACGTACGCTTCAGGTTACAGACTCCGCTAACACAGAAATAGTGCTTCAGGTTAAGAACTTTGCTTTAGGATGAGAACAGAAATCGTGCTCCGGCGGCGCAGCAGCAGCAGGAGGCCCCATTAGCTAAAGTGGTGCTTCAGGTTAAGAACAGTTTCAGGTTAAGTATGGACCTCCGGAATGAATTAAGTACATAACCCGAGGTACCACTGTATCTCTGTGGTCTCTACAGCCACAGCAGGCGTTGTAATCTTCCAACGGTTTGACTTCACCTGCAAAGGCATACTCATCTATTGTCTCCAGAGACAGACAGATGCCAACACCAAATGTTGTATCCATCACAAAGTGACCTCAATACCCAACACAGATGTCCAGTTGTGTAGATTGCCACACACAACTGAACTCACTGTCAGATATTTCTTCAAATCTGGAGTTCCCTGAATTAAATGAGGAATAAAAGGTAGCACAGAAATTATATGAGATTACTCTTAGTCTTCACTCAAACTCAAAATTTCAAGACAAAAAATCTTACCAGATGAGGTTTCCCAACAATCATAAGCTTTATTCAGATGAGCTTTTATCACAAGTATTTTATTGTGTAAAAACAAGTTATTCACTGCAGAAAAGAGAAGGATTCCTGGCCCCAAGCCAACTAGCAGTTGTTTCAGAGAAATTTAGTCTGGATCAATTCATTTGGATATCCAGGGGAAAAACATGCTATATCACCCATCACCAAACCACTCTATATCTATTGGCAAACAGCAATTCTACTTTGAACCTGGAATGCTTAAAAACTAGGCCATATTTTCCTCAAGGCAGTGAAAGAAAATATTTAGAAAGAATTGTCTCCCACAACTCCTCACTTCATATCTGATCCATTCTTTCTTACATGGGAGCAAAGCTAGATATTATTAACTTTATAAATATAGCCATTCAACTTTTATTCTACATTTTAACCATACCCATTATTAAACCTTTGTCCTTTCCTCAAAAAAGAGATTTGTTTACTATCCCTACCTGTTTTGACAGCTAACTGCTTTACCAACTGTCTTATATGATGTCATTCTTGAGACGCGCAGATTTTTCAGTCTAAACTGTTCCCACGTACACCATGTCTATAGCAGAAAAATCATGAGTTTTTTTAAAGCTACCATGAAATAATATCCTAGTATAGAGACAAACAAATTTAAGTTAAATTGAAGATCCAAAGGCTTAAGATGCTCTTGCTTAAGTAGCAATATGTCAGTGTCCTGGCCCACCCCAGCTAAGGCAAGCATGTGTCTGATTGTCAAAGTCTTTATGTACAGAAGAAGCACTTACAGCAACTCCTGCAGTGCTCCAGATACACACGCACACACATGCCTCTAGCCCAGGCATAGGAAAACTCAGCCCTCCAGATGTTTTGGGACTCCCATCATCCCTGACCACTGGTCTTATTAGCTAGGGATGATGGGAGTTGTAGCGCCAAAACATCTGGAGGACCGAGTTCGCCTTTGTCTGCTCTAGCCACTAGGCGACTGCCCCCTGCAGCAAAAGCGAGGCCCCCTCCGCCTGGCCTGGTTATACACCTTCCTCTGATGCACCAACAGTCTGAGACTTCTCCTGCACAGAAGTTGTAGTTGTTCTTGCTGCTTCAAGTTTCTCTTTGTTTTAGGAGGCAGAGGGGTTTTAGGAGACCCATCTGTCATCTGAGCAGCCTCTTTTTCTTCTTCTGCCGTAGCCTGCGTGCCTTCCTCTGTCTTGGACTACCCTGACTCTTCCTCCTCCCCCCGCTCTGGCTCCTGCCTTGCAGGCAGTGTCAAACCCCATAAATTGCTGGTTTCATCTCCTGAGATACTCCCCTGGGTCCTCTGCCTCTGCCCCACACTCTTCAGAGCCCTGAAAGTCCCTGACAGTTAACCTTGCTTACGGTAAGACTTTAGATCAAAATTTACATGCTATATATAAATTACATGTACAGCGGTACCTCAGATTAAGAACTTAATTCGTTCTGGAGGTCCGTTCTTAACCTGAAGCTGTTCTTAACCTGGGATACCACTTTAACTAATGGGGCCTCCCACTGCCGCCGCACCGTCACCGCGCCATTTCTGTTCTCATCCTGAAGCAAAGTTCTTAACCCGAGGTACTATTTCTGGGTTAGCGGAGTCTGTAACCTGAAGCGTCTGTAACCTGAAGCGTCTGTAACCCAAGGTACCACTGTACAGTCTCCTGGCCATGAAACAATTTAACAAAATATGATGAAGGAGTTTCTAAAGGAATAATGTTCTATTCCACATTTTAGAGAAATTCAGAAAATGTGGCATAAAACTGTGTATAACAGGTCTGAAAGGATAATACCTCCCTGCCAATCGTTTATGACATTTCTGATTTTTACAGTTGTCTTGGAACAAACTCCTTTCTGCACCAGCTGGGGCAAAGCAACTCCTTTTGTATAGTGATTCCACTGCCCTATTGTAGCACTCTGGAGAATCACAGAATTGGAAGGGACCACAAGGGTCATCTAGTCCAACCCCCTGCAATGTAGGAATCTTTTTGCCCAACATGGGCATCGAAGCCATAACCCTAAGAGTAAGTCTCATGCTCTACTGACTGAGCTATCCCACTTAAAACACTTCAGTGGTTCATTCCATTGGGACACAAACTCAGTGCAATGTGACCAGGAATTGTGCCACTGCCTTCCTCTGACCCTTTCTGAAGTTGCCTTTCTCTGTGTGTGTCTCATGCATGACACATCTCAGTGCTTATCCCCCATCATACCTATACCTCCAATGAGAGAACCCAGAACACATTCAAACCTGTTTAGCCCCAACCATGTCATCTGACAAAGTTAATTATTTTATCACTGGCATAAACAGCCACTATTTCTAGTGGTTATTATTTCTTGCCCAAATCCTACAACAATCTCCATTTCATTAAACATCTTCAACAACTTTGCCTTGCCAGTACTTGCCACTTTGGTTATCATGGAGCGACAGTTGGGTAAACTAGCACAGTTATCCTGAGTTAATTAGAGAAGAAGAATCAATTAAATCAAGATTGCAAACATCACCAGAGAAGATATTCACCATCAAATGCCACTGTCTGTTCTATAACGTATCAGAATGCCAACCTTTGCCCATAAGGGTGTCCATACATCTATCTGTCAATGTCTTGGTTGCTCTGAAGCCTGGAAAAAACTTATTTCAAAAAAATCCAGAAGTGTATCTGCTAGGGCTCATTCTAACATTACCAAAACAGTGAGGCAGCTGCTTCCCTGTGGCTCCATCTGTACTGCTCCAGTCATGTCTGTATACAGGAAATTACATGAGATGGATTGCAAAGTGATTGTTCCCTATACCGCTATTGCTTTACCTGGAGGTAGGCAGCACTGCTGCAAGAAACACATTAATAGTTCATCCAATGTGATTTCCTGCCACATAGCTCCAGTAGCTTAAGAGCAGGCCCGGTCTGTGGAAGTAGTTTTATAATAACAGCTGTAGAACATTCATTTGGCACAAAAGCCAGACCTTAGCTTTAGGTCACTAATCAAATACTACTTCAATGCCTACAAATTGCGACTTCTGGTACTGCTGGCACATATATGTTGTAAGAACTTTTCCCAAATCATATCCTTATTTGTGATCCTCAAATACTATTTTGCTTCCCCAATATTCTTTCCCTAAGGCAACCTAAGATACCAACTACTTTCTCCCTCTTTTCAATATCCTCTCCACAAGGCCTGGTTCTTTATTTATAGTTCCTACAAGTTACCATAATGCAGTTAAGTATAACTACTCAAGGAACCCATTTTAAATTGGATATAGGACTCCAAAGAAAGCTCACTTGAACAAGCCTAAACATCTATGTGCTTTTATTTGCTTTACCAAAACAAACAAACAAAACCTGATGTTACTGTAAAGTACTGTTATGCATGTAAACTATCAGCTCAAACTTTGAAGCAATAAAATTCAATTTCTCAAGTACATTATGTCAAAACATGCTGTGTCAGAGCAAAAAACCTATTCCAATTACAGGCTTGATTGAAAATCCAAAATATTATGTTCAGCCTAAATACAAACAGCACCTCTTTAGAACTTACAGAGATTTTTGCCTCTGGAAGGGGTTGCATTTAAGAGCATTGTGGCTAGAGAAACAATGGTCCTTCATTCTTCCTTGCAGAAGAAACTGCAGTGAGTACAGGCATATGGAAATATTCTCTTCCAGCACACAATTTGGTTTGCTCTTAATAATAATAATAATAATAATAATTTATTATTTATACCCCACCCATCTGGCTGGGCCTCCCCAGCCACTCTGGGCGGCTTCCATAGAAACCAAAAATACATTAAGTCCCAAAACCCATCAGCAAAAAGATCTAGCACAAATGAAAAGTAATACTCAAAAAGAATGCCAAGTTGAAAGAGACAAAAAGTAAAAATGAAGAGAAAATGTACTTTAGGAACAACTGCTTGGCCTATTCAGTAATTCTACCACCTGCTGACTCACTCTGTGAATATAAGAAAAGGTGGGCGCAGTGGGTAAGACAATCACACTCTTTCTCACTATAGACCTATAATCCGCTCTATATCCAATGTGATAAGGGAATCGCATAAATTGAGTGACTCTATGCCTGCATATTTATCTACTGTAAAAATGAACAGCCGGAGTAGCAAAATAATAAAGCAAAACAAATTCAACTCACCCAAGGATTGTCAAGTCACAACCAAGTGATTATGCCTGTTTCCTTAACAGATCCGCCTGCTGTGGGGCAATTTCAGACCCATTTGTTCCAAAAGGCATAATGGGAGGGAGGACAATATTTTCTGGTTGCAACTTGGCAACTACAGCACATTTTTACTCCCTTAAAAATTCATCCAAGGCCTAAATCACAATGCATCATTGCAGAGTTTAAAAAAGAATTTTAAAAGATGGGGGGGGGTTTCTTCCCAATGAATTTTTCCCTAAAAATATTCCTACACATTATACATTCCAATAAAGTTTCACTTCACGGGAGTGTTAGGCAAAGATTTTTTTAAAAGAAGCGATAAAAAGATCATTAATTAGAGAGCCTCTTAACACTCTTCAAACAAATTGATAGCATTGCTAAACATTCTGGCGCCATTAAAGAAGATATTTCAAAAAGCCCATTTAAGGTCACATTTTACTGGGGTGAATGTCTCTCCTGCACCAGTAACTTTCCCACACTAATTACAAGGGGGAAATAAAGACATTGTTAGCTCTATATCCTATAAAAATCTTTCAAACATCTCTTCTATAAGAACTTAATAGGGAGAGAATTATTGGAGGTGTGTGATGTATTTACACTATACTAAAATGTACACTTTTTAGCTTACATTTAAAAACTCCATGAATTGATATAATAATCATTTATAATATGTTTCAATGCAGTTTCTTTGGACAGCATTTCTTATTATAGCACTATGGAACTCTGAAATTGCACAATCCACAGAAGCCACGATTTTCATAATCTGCCTTTTGTCTCCTTCCTCACGTTGTCATACACTTTCACCTTAAATCCAACTCTCCAAACCAGAGTATGTGAATAGTGCCTAGGACACTGACACAGTGTCCCCAGGAAAGGATAAACACTGCTTGCTTAGAAAAGTGAACATTGTCAACAGCGCCAGTGAAGTCAATGGGCCTGCTCACACTGTATCCCATTTCACATTAACATAGTAAAGTCTGCTTCAATTCAGGCCGTTAGATTACTTCACTACAAATATGTCTTTTCCCTCCCACACACAGTTCACTTCCCATTAATCATGCCTACCAGAAATAGCACGTGCAGACATAAAGCCAGATTTTACAGAGTCTAAACCTTCTGTCTCCCTTTGCTACTAACCATGTGAAATAGGCATTCCAGACATGTTTTCGCTACCCCAAAGCCCCAACATCTTTCATCCTGGGTTATGCTTGTATTTACAAAATAGAGAGCAATTGAAGGCACTTGCATGCACTGAACCCTGGTCATTACAAAGCTTTCCGTTCTCATTTTCCTGTTCTGTACTGTTCCTATAACAACCTTCCCTTGGAAGAGAATCACCCTGCTTTATAATTTCTCTGGCTGCTATCTTAAGCTCCAGTCACCCCACCGAGAGGGAAGTCCACTAGGACAACACCACCAAAAATAAAATAAAAAAGAAGGATCTAAGGGAGAAAGACCAGAGCTTTCCCCAAGAACAAAAGGAGCAAAGTTCAGAAGAAGCTTTCGTGCACAGACATCACCAGCAGGGGCGAGGGGCAGGCGGAAGTGAAGGCAGATCCTGCGCTTGCCCCGAGTGATGGATTGACAGAGCAGCCTGGCTTTTGGAGGTCACCGGCCGGGCCCAGGGAAGGATGCAAGCCTGGCAATAGGCAGGGCAGGAAGAAGAAGAGGAGAGTATAGTCAGGGAGGGGAGGCCGGCCCTATGGAGAGGGAAGCCATGTGGAAAGTTTACCTGAAAGCACAGATAGAGCTCTGTGTGAAAACAAGAGACAGGCTGGCTGCAACCTAGACATGCAAAGAAGACACTTTGCCTGGGCTGGCTTGGGGGTGCCTTGCATAAAGGAAGGAACGGAAAAGCAGGAGGAGAAGAAGAAGAAAGCAGCCCCCGGGTGTGGCATGGGGAGGAGAGAGCGCATCCCACTGAGGCGTGGCTGCAGTGCAGGCAAAGGCGCGCAAGGGGCCACCCGGCGGAGGCCTGGCTGGGCAAGGGAGGCGAGAGGAAAGGGGCTGCCCTCAGCCCCTGCCTGGTTCCTAAAGTGCCCCCAGGAAGGCGGGGAAGGAAAAAGAGACCTCAAGGTGGTCCCTCACCCACGCGAGACGGGGAAGCCGTGGCCGCCAAGCCCCCTCCTGCTCTCCCTCTCAACCCCCCCCCAAAAAAACCCGCCCGGCCGAGGCCAAGAAGGGCGACTCCGGCCTGAGCGAGCCCCGCGCCGGCTGGCAGAGTAGAAGGGCTCTCAAGGCGCTGGCGGCGGCGGCACTCACGTTCTCGGTGTCCCGCTCGTTGACGGTGGGCAGCGGCGTGCGGGTGGACATCTTGCGCGGGAGAGGCGCTGCTGCAGAGCCGGCCCGGGCCAAGCTGGGAATGGCCGAGCCCGCCGCTGCCGCCCTGGACTCGCAGGCCTCTGCGGCGCGGCTCCTCGGAGCGAGGCTGAGGCGGCCCGCCTCTAGGCTCCCGGAGCCCTTGCCATGGCTTCTGGGTCGCCCGCCGCCGCCCCCTGGGCCGGGATTACCGCGGCGGCAGCGGCAGCAGCCTGGCCGGCTCCTCCTCCTCCTCCCGCCGCGGCGCGCTCAGGTGAGTGGCCGGCAGCGCTGCGTAGGGGAGCCGGAGCTCTTTCCTCGCCGCATCCGGCGGCGGCTGCTCCTCCTCCTGCTCCCTGTTTTCCTCCTCCTCCCTGAGCTGGGCCCGGCTCGGTCACAGGCCGGAGAAGAGGAGGGGACGCGGCTCGGATTGCGGAGGGGACGGAGCAGCCGGAGCCGGCCGCTTGCAGCGCCGAGGAAACACTAGGGGCGCCTCATCCCGCCTTGCGGAGACGCTCTCGCCTTCATTCATTGACGCCGACGGCACCCAAGTCCACCCCTCCCGCCTTGCCGGGGGTTGTGGTTGCTCCTCCTCCTCACGCATCCAGGGCAGCTTCACACGCTACGAAATTCCTCCGGGGAAAGAGTTTCCGTCTAAGGAAAAGAAAAGAAAAGGATCAACGCGAGACTCGCGCGTGTGTTGAGGGGCGCCCTCCTCCAGCTCCTCACGGGTGGAAATGGGGACGCTCTTGTGCGCTTGTAAGATCCTTACTGTATCTGCACCCCAAGAACCCCTGCCGGAGTCCCTTTCCAGTCGCTCTGTTTTGCGTTTGGCCAGGTGTTTTACACGAGTGGTGCTCTGATAGATTGCTGTTTACTCTGTCATAGCCTGCCCAGTATTGATTTGCAAGCAAAGAGAACGTGTCTGGGTTTTGCGTGTTTGTTTTGCTTTTGGCTACTAGCAAAATATACAAAGTTCAGACTGAATCTCATCAGCTGCCTGCAGCATTTGTGACTACTTAATAGCTTAGTGTTTATGTATGTGCATTTAACATGTATGTGCACTCGAGGCAAAATTCTACTACCCAGTCAAAATATTTAACTGGGAGTAAATTCCACAGAATTCCCTGTTAATGTCCAAATACTTGGGACATTCATACAGACAGAATGGCAAATCTAGTAGCAAACGTTTTTAAAAAGACATCCCCTACAGAACAGAATACTTTGAGTGTATGCTGGTGCTGATCAGACACACAAACTCTGGAAACCGAAGTGAATCCCAAATTTACATGTGAGCAATTGACACCGTCTATGAAGTGTGTTAATTCCCACATGGAAATGTTTTTAAGTGTAATAATTATAAGCACATTGATAATTACACTGATACACTTGTTTCTATGTAGGAAATTGCGTGCATAAAAATAGAGCCACACCATACCATGTGAGAACATGCTGCCAGCCAGGACTTCCTTTGAAATACAGTATGCAAGAACCTAGATAGGAAAACACATGTGCAATGCACACAATTCTCTGCAAAGGAAATTTTCTGTGCATGTGGGATAGAAGGGGTTTCTGTGTAAACTTGGTACCAGAAGGTTTTAAATTTATTATTTGAGTTAGGTCTGATCTATTTGTCCAACCTTTCACATCTGTGAACTGAGAGTTTCTTTGGCACTGAGATTTTAAGGCAGGGCTCAACTTGCTACAGAGGGAACCCCATCAGTGCCGCCACACGGTGAGCACTAGGAAAGGATGAGGGCTGCTGAGCCCAGAGAGGGTAACAAGCAGCTATCACAAATTTACCACCCTATTTTGTATCCCATATGCTTTTCTTGGGGAGAAGGGGCAGGATGAAGCAGGGTTGCCTGCTGGTAGAGGTAGGAGTAGAGAAAACAAGCACTGTGTCCTTCATCTGGGAACTGTAAGGCACAATTATAGGAAAATAATAAAAGTATCAAACTTTTATTGTTGGTGTTGTCTAGAAGTACTCTAGGTGACCTAAAGTAAGGCAAGTCATCCTCAGCTGCATTTTTCCTTATCAAGATAATGAGCTACCTTACATTGTTTTCATACTAAGTCAGGGGGCAGCTTGGAAGAACACTTTTACAGTTCTATATAAGCAAGAAGTAGTATTACTATGCCCAGTTCTAATGACATACCTTTGAAAATCTTGTTAGCATCCTGAGAATCACATTTCTAGTCCTCAGGACTGTAGAGAGAAACTTGTGAAATTATTGGGAAAGTGCCAAAGGATCAGAAATTGTGAAGCATGTGAAATAAGACTAGATCATTTCAAGAGTTAAGGTAGCTCTGTTAGTCTCTAAGAAAAATTCCAAAGAACCTAGATAGGAAAACACATGTGCATTTAATTTCCCGAGTAGGGCTTTAAATGTCTTGCCCTAATAAGGACTTGCTTCCATATTGATTGCTTCCAAATGTGGTATCTAAGACTATTAGTAGGATGATAGCTACCAAGCTGAAGATGCACACCTGGTGCAGGGATCTTAGGTTTCTGTGGCTATTTAAAACCATGCAGACTAGTAGTGACTGGAATGGGATTTCCTCCATTCACCAGCTTGTGTTTTGTGGTTTACTGGTGGTCTAAGGTAATCTGCATATTACTGTGGTGTAACCAGCCTGATATAACCAACCTGCTTAAGTGTAATTAATGCATGAAATGGTTAAGACCATAAAGTAAGCTGTCCTGCTAAGCTTAGCTCACCTTGGGAGGGACTAGGCAGTCAAGTCTTTGTTCCCCCTGAGTCTACTTGATGAACTCAGCATGTGAAGAGGCTAAACTGGTTGCTCCATCTTCACCACATGACTCTCACAAGCCACTATTGAGTTTGTATACCAATAATTTAGGAACTTTCATCACAGTAACTAAGCCAAGTGTTACTGCTTGTGCTACATTTTCTGAATGCTGTATGGAAAAGTCCATGAATCTGACCTTTGGAGAGTTTGTAAGTAAACCATTTTTAACTTTGCATGCTTTACTTTGCTGCATACTTTTTGATTTTATATCTCTGCTGAGGTTCTCTCAGCAAAGAGTACTTGGATCTTCGGATCCAGAAATTCTCCTTTTTATACCTCTCTTTTTTCCTTCAAACAACAATTACATGGCCAGAAAGCATTTTAATGAAGTATTTTCTTTTTAAGGAACAGTTCTCTCTCACTAAGTTAGTTGACCTAATCAACAGCCAATATATAAATTATGGAGTTTGGACTCTTACAGTTCAGAATAATAGCTGTAGATTTGGGGAGCAGTTTCATAATACTATACTATATTGACTCATGAAAATGGTACATTAAAGAACACATGGGAGTGGTTCAATTCAAGACTCCCAAGGCTTTTAAGAATAAAATCTGCAGGTTTCTAAAAGTTTTAAAACTTTGAAGTTAATGGTTCTCGGAGTTTAGACCAGGTTTTCTTGCTCTGCTTTTCAGGTATGCCGATTTTCATTCAAATCTGAACTGCAAAAAAGAGTACTCCTATTATTTTGTATCAGAACACCAACAAAATTGCTTGCAGTTGTTTTCAATGCTTGCTTGGTATCTAAAAATTTCAGCATTATTCCAGATCAGAATTGCTCAGAGTGAGCCAAATGAACGTTTTTCAGAAATACCAATATCGATTCCTTCCTGGATTTGTGGTTGTAGGAGAAAGCAGCTTAAACTAAAACCCATATAAATGTATTCAGTGTCACCACTGAGTCGGGAAAGACTTGCTGACTTCCTAATAGCATTTGAGCATGAGCTGACTAGCAATACTATAGTCCCCTCAGGGTGACCATCATGCATAATGCTGCTTTATACCTTTTGCAGCCTAGAGATATTATTTTCCAATACTCTCATTTTTGTCAACGTTATTGCTTGCTACTTTAGTGCCACTTGTGTTTTCAGAGTTCAAATACATTCTTCTTTATAACAGAGCAGTAGAGAGGGCTGTGTTTGCTTTAACTGATAGAGAAAGGTCTAACTAGGATGTGATAACTCAAGAGGAGAAATGACTAAAGTTTTTTTCCATTTTCCATTTGCTGGAGTCCCCCTTTAAGAACATAAGAGCCTGCTATGGCAGGCCAAAGACCCATCTAGTTTGTCCTCACATTGGCCAACCGTAGCAAAACCTGAGCACAACAGATTCTCTTTGTATAAATAAAAATGCTTTGTTACAAGGTGTGTTTTTGGCCATCATAGGGGCTGATTTTCAAGAAGTAGCAGCTCAGGACAAACCAACAAAAATCTCATTGTTGTGGATTTGCCTGGAACTTTAAGACTGAAATTACCACAAACTGTAAGCAATATTCTGTTTGGAGGGTAAAAAATTAAGCTGGAGTTGCTCTTTAATCAGGATTTACCACAACCCTTTCTATAAAAAAACCCCCATAAACCTTGTTTTCACTTCGGGAACAATCAGTTTATGCCAACTGGAATTCCAAATATATAGCACAACCAGGAAGCTTTTAACTAGACTGAAATGTTCAGCCTCGTGCAGTTGTGCAGGGCAGTAATAAAATAAAGCAACAGTAGGCAGTTCCATTTCACCAAAGCCTGATAAAGTACTCCTTCACATTGTGCATGGTTAAACTATGGGGATTGTACCACATGATGTTATGGCAACCAACTGGGATAGCTGGTTAAATTAAAGGGGATTAGACAAATTTATGAAGGATAAGGCTATCAATAGCGGCTAATCATAATGCCTATATACTACAGTACTTCCTGATCAAAGTCATCATGCCTTAGAGTAACATTTACTGGGGAACAACAGCAGCAGAGGACTAATGACTCAAGTCTTTGTGGTCTTCCCATGGGCAGCTGATTGGCTGCTGTGCAAACAATGTGAAAACCAATTTGAAATATAGTCGTACCTCAGAAGTTGAACGGAATCGGTTCCAGAAGTCTGTTCGACTTCCAAAAAATTCAGAAACCAAGGCACAGCTTCCGATTGGCTGCAGGAAGCTAGCTCCTGCAGCCAATGGGAACCTGTGGAACCCACGTTGGACATTTGGGTCCCTAAGAATGTTCGCAAACTGGAACACTCACTTCCGGGTTTGCTGCATTCAGAAGCCAAAATGTTTGAGTCGCAAGGTGTTTCACTTCCGAGGTACGACTGTACATTGAAATCAGTGGATAAATCCATTGGTTTTAATGGGTTTATTCTGTTATGATGTTGGTATCACCCAGAATGCTGGACTAGAGGGGCTTTATGTCTGATGCAGCAAAACTTTTCTTATTGCTTCATATATTTTGTTTTGCATACATGCTGTGCTTTCCATGTAGGGAAATATATTGTGTTTGAAATGACCTTAGTCCCCCCCCCCCCCGTCCCCAGTCTTGGAGTCTGCTTTGTTTTATACCTGACTCGTGATTTCCAAATGCTCGGGGCCAAATTAGAGAATTTGCAGGTTCAGAACAAGCCATTCTATCTGCTGAATCTCTGCTTGGTGATGTCTACCTGTCTGTCCCTCCCAGTCATATCTGTTC